AAATCAACATTGAAACCTCTTTTTTTTTTGGGTAAAATTCAAGGATCTTGAAAACAACCCCATCATTATTTTTATTTTTAATTTGCTCCAAATCTGCTTTACCCAACTCTATATATTTAGCTACCAGTCTACCTTAGTTTGATACAAAATGCACAAAATGCCTTCGTAATAAGATAGCAAAATGTCCTCTTTTGCTAGCTTTAAGCCATTATAATTAGCCAGTGGAGGTTATTATGGAAATGAAGGATGTTTGAATATTGTTGAAGAACAGACTAGCTAGTGAGTATGGCCATGCCTGTGGCCCTGCATTTCAATAGACGAAAACCACATGGCTCTGAAGACTTTATTTAGAATCCAAGAAAAATGAATTAAAGAGGTTATGGCCAGATTTTATTAGATGCTTCTTTTTTCCAATTTTTTCCTCACCTTCCCTTTCTAGTTCCTTTTCCCTCTCAACTTTGAAGCTTGCCCTTGAGAATTTCAAGGGCAACAAAAAATAAAGGGAATCACCCACTTCCCACATGTGGTTAGATATTAAAAAAATGCCCTTTAAACATGCCCAAAAATTTAGACATTACACATAAAGACTCACCCTTTATGATGATCATCCCCTTAGATCACATGACACTCCCTACTTTTCACACAACCTTCTTCAGTTCTTCCCCCCTTGATAAATATGCTTTGAGTGTTCACACATCTAATCACATTCTCATCCTCAAACACATTTGAGCTACCCAAGCCAAATTTCATTTCTCAAAGTTACACTTGTACTTGAATCTAGCCGATGAATGAAAACAAAACACATTGATCAATCAGACACGCTTACATAATTCTTGATATACATTCAGCAGTTTGTCTAATATCTTAAGTGCTGATATGCATCTCCTTCGGCAACTTAATTTGTATTAGTTTTCCCTTGGATGGTTCTTTTAGTGTGTGTTTATAGGTATTTTTTTTAATTGGAAATATAAGAAAGTATATTAAAAATATAAAAAGTATGTTAATATGAAACAGTTATTAATAAAAAAGATTCTGAACAAACCTAGTGAAAAATGAACCAAACAAAGCCATACTCTTCGTAGAACGAACTTAACTGGTGTGCAATATGCTTAATTAATTAGGTTACTTTATAACATTCTGTATTATTGGTTACGTTAAGAGAGTCTTCTTCTTGAAGGACCCCAGAAAATATTATCACAGGAGGACCTAAGAAACAGGAATTTTTCTTTGCTGGGATGTGTACCATTTTCTGATCCATCTTAAAATTTGGGTGTGTGTGTGTGTGTGTGTGTGTGTATTTCAAACGCAAGGAAATTTGTCAAGAAGAAATTACAAATGGTCGTGAAATGGGGAATATGTAGGCCTAGTGTCTCCCTGGGTGACTACAATTTTTAAACACAGGGCAGTACCATAGGACACACAAACTACCAGGAAGGAAGGGGAGAAAAGCGTCCAATAATACTCAGTTGAGGGCTCAGAATTCAGATGTGTTTTTCTGGGTGGGCCTAGAACAGGCCAGAGGGGGTCCTAAACAAACCCATTGAACTGTCTCCAGATCATACTTCTTCCAAAAAGGACCAAAACCCACCTGTTCTGTCATATTCCTCCTGAATTTGAAAGCCCACCAACTTGGGGTCAAACTCAAAATTATCAGGAAAAAGTGACTTTGTTTAATCCAAATTAAATAATTTGTCACACGATGCGGATAAAATCATAAAAGTGCACGCTGGTTGGGTCAGTTCCTTCATTGAATTTTGTGTCTCTTCTTGCACGTTTTCTCTAAGATAATCATAATGTATCCGCCACCAGAGGATAGAAATTTATTGATTTTGTGGGATTTTAGTTTTTCTCTGATTGGAAACGACAAATTTGGATCTGTTTTGATGGGCCTGGTGAATGGTGGTGATGTTTTGTGCAGATACCAGAGATAGAATGTGTGTCTTGGGCGTGTCTGTATGTGTGTTGGGTGGTTGTAGCCCACCAAATTTGGCATGGATGGATGACTCCGCCATAAATTCTGTGGCGTAATCAATCTAGGTATACTTCTTAGCCCATTTGTTCATTTGATTTTAGCATTGATAATTATTTGTATCATTAGAGAGGTTCGTAGTATTGTTTTTTGTAAACTCCTCCCCCGGGAGCCCTTTTGTAAACTAAGCTAGAAAGCTTCCTCAGTATGTAAAAAGTTAAATAGTACTCCCTCCGTCCCATAATTATTGCCCAGTTTAGGTTTTCATTTCTAGTTCAATTTGTACTAAAAGTGAAATCTCAAACTGGACAATAATTTTGGGACAGAGAGAGTATGATTTTTTGTTAGGAAATCATGAAATTTGGGTATATTCTTTATATAGCCCTAATTGAACAGAATAGTCAATAATTTTGTTTGGTATTGTAACAAAAAATAATAATAATAATAATAATAATTTTGTTTGGTGATAATTAGTGTCAAACTGTCAAAACTCCCCAATAGATAGAACTCTAGGAATTTTAGAAATAGATATTATAGATTGGCTAAGTTCAATCATTGGATGATCAACTCAAACATTTTACTTCCTCAATCTACATTTAAAAGTTATTCTCTTGTCTTACGATAATACTTGCAGTTTGAATTTTTATATTTAAAAACAAATGATTGACGTATAAAACAAAGTCAAGAATCTATTTAAACACTGAAAATGTAAAGTGAATTTTTTTTTTTTTAAAAAAAAAAAAGAAGCAAAAAGAACCTGCCTTTAGACTGAATGGTAGCATGGAGAGTCTATAGGCACGTTGCGAGTCAATTAAGAATAAATCATTCAATTGTACACCATCCATCTTAATCAGCATGTTATTCTCCCTCTTTAAAGGAAGGGTCAAAGGACCTCCTCTACGTAAATGTAGTTTATTTGTGTTTCGAATTGAGGCGACCTACCTTTAATGAGCTTTTCGGGAAGAGAATTCGCAAAGAATAAGCATTCTCAAAATTGCACGAGCACTTCATGTTCGTCCATCCCTTCAGTAATCATGCATTCGGAGTTTTGGGCATTTGTATTGCGCTCGTAAAAGATAAATTTCTGGGAAACGACCAATCTGATCAGTCGGCAACAGCGTGATCATTAGAAACTGCTGAAGTATTTATCCATATTGGTGTTTGAAGAGACTTTGTATCAATATATATATATATATATATAAGTTTTATGGGTTACTCCCCTCATAGACAATTAATTTTGAAGTGGAATCTCATGGACTTCTATAAAAATTAATGATACGTTTTATAAAAAAGCAAATTTTGCGGCACATTTTGGATCAATGGCTTTTGGATCCTCATTCAGGTTTTCGAATCGGTTTAAGTATGATGCGTGGGGAAATTCTCATTTTTAATAGTATATATCCTTATAGTATAATTTATTTTGTTACCGCGGGTTATTTTAGTTTAAAAAATTGAATTATTTTCTTGAAAAAAATAATATATATATATATATCTTCATACTCAAAAAATTTAGAAATGTGTACTGTTTAATCCTATCTCCTCTCTCTATTCAACTTATCAAATACTACTCCGTTGCTGCTGACTTTCTTCCACATGCACTCCGATTTTTCCAAAAGATTAGTGCGGCACTTGTTAGAATTTTGCTCCTATTCTATTCGTCCTGTACGTGCTTTGCTTTGGTCTAAGATATTTTCTTCGTTGAATTCCTCTTTTTTTTAAAAAAAAGATATTTTATTCGAAAACATATTTAATTGTTATTTCATGTCCCCATCTTCATCAATTGTATAAAATACGCTAATGTATACGTAAGAATACACATGGCTGCTTGAACTACCTTAATTGGCTTATCAATTTCCCACCCAATTTTGGGGAAAAAACGAACATCGTTGAAATCCGCACAACCGTAACACCATTTTTTTTTTTTTTTTTTTATTTGGATAGTTGACTGCTTCATTCAAGCACGAGAGGGACGAAAGTACACGTATTCCATCCGCCAATAAGGTTTAAATTTTTTTTTCCTTTTTAAATACACATCTTATTTTGTTTTTCAACGGCGAAGGTGGATTATTTGTGACTCCTTCTATCTCCATAAACATAATCTATATTATAAATTATAAATATTCTTTTAAGACAGAGTGAGTACAATTTATTTACAATATAGATTAATTTATCGATTCTAAAACAAAAAAGCTTTGCATATTAAGTTTTAAGATATATAGAGATAATTTATTATTATTATTATTTTGTGTATTTTACTGCTATCAATATGAATTATCAAGTCAAAAAATTTAGTTAGGTTTTTTTATGGTATTTTTAAAATATTTAAATAATAACTTTTCCATCTAAATATATATTTTTATATTTCTAATATAAAAAACACCTAAAAGCCCACGTAAAAAAAGACGAACAAACATACCCAAACACGGAATGCAAATTCACACGGCTAAAAGTCGTACAAACCGTCAGTTCACTACACAACAAAAATCCTTCACCCTGTTTTTTTCCTTTTTTTTTTTTGAAACGGTCTTCACCTGGCCATTATTTATAAGCTTTCGTGGGTTCCATACGTCCATTTCATAATTTTTCTAGTCGGATCTTAGCCAGAAAATTCAGCTGATTTTTTTTTTTTTGTCTTTTTTTCCCACACGAAATTATTAATTATGAAAAAGTCCTATTATAATCACCTAATAATTTGAAAGATCAGTTAATTATTGATTCCAAATCAAAAACGTATGGTCTTAACCAACAAGACAAGAGAAGCAGAGAAAACCCAGGGTTGCTGTCAATCTCTCACAGGGCAGCCATTGAATTGAACACTGCTGCTTCCTTAAATCAATCACTCCCGGTTGCCCACGTGGAACGATCGCACCCGTCCAAATCAAAGCCAGCACCCAATCAACGGTTGAGGACGCGTCGGTGGTGGAGCCTATGGCGTCACTTGTGACCTCTGGATTGTGCAAAGTCATCAGAGTTAGGACTGACTGAGACGCAATAATTTCCTCCCAGAATTTCCACAACGAAGCCGACTTTTATGGAGGTGCGCGCCATATTTTTCTCAAACAAAAGTTTTATTGATTCCTTTCATTCCATTTTGATGGTTAAAAATAAATTGGGCTAATCATGGAATCTAATAGCTGCTGCTTTTAAGAGGGAAGATACGCCCACACACAATTACGTGTGTTCTGTGTGTGTGTGTGAAATGTCTGACTAATGCGGAATAGTAATAACTCAAAATAATAATGATTTGGCTTTTTTGGGTAACTAATCGAATAAACAACCATTGGATACAAGTGGAAACAGGCATCTAGAATTGAATTCGGATTGGATATTGTATTTATATTTTCTCTGGGTCAAAAAGATTTTAATGTTGTGGGGTACGAATTGAATTCCAGCTACAAAAGGGGGAAGGAGAGGGAAGGCTGGCTTTTGGGGCATTTTCGCTGGTTCACAGCGACGACGAAGAAGAAAGCGTGTTTCTGCTAGGGAAGGAGTCAGAAGTGCGTGGTCCGGAGGAGGCCTCCACACGGGCGGCTGAAGGAGGTGACGATTTTGCTGCGATGGATTCCGACCGGCGCCAAAACGACTCCTTTGGGGCTGGTTCTCCTAAGAAAGTGCCCTCTGATGATCACGTGGCCGTTGAAATCCCGGATACTGCCCATCAGATCAGCCACGGTTGCCTCTCTTTCTTTTTCATACAAGTACTTACGAAGATTCATTTCTGCTTTTTCTCTTTTTTGCGGATTTTTTTTTATATGTTTTGTCGTTTTTGGAATTGGGGCTCAGCACTTTCGTGTTGGGCTGTGGCTTTTGTGGATTTTGCCTTCTTTTGTTTTGTGATTGAATTCGCGGTTTGATGATTTGAATGAATTGCGCGAGCGTGTGTTTTTATTTTCTTTTCCGTATAATGAATAATGATGAAGTACGATTGGAAACCTTTTGGGATTGGGTCCCTTGTCATCAGAATTGCTTGTTGTGCAAAATTCCTGTAAAATATTACGGCTTTCTGAGAGAAAATTCGTTTTGCATGTTAAAAGAAGAAAGTATTGTACTGCTGCAACGTGTGGTGCAGTTGTTTTGGCCTAAAGGTGTGCTGAACTGTGATCAGCACAACAGTGACGTCCTTTCCTGCATTTTTTTTTTTTTTTTGGTAGTTGAAAATTGAATTGAACGCTTCAAGCATGTCTGTCTCTCATGCCCTCGTGAGAGGGTTGACCTTTATGATACTGGAAACTTGACAGTAACATTCCCTTAAGAAGTTATTTTCCCCTTTTGTTGCATGATGAATTGATGATATGGATAACTTTTATGAGTTAATTTAAGTTCTTCTCTTTTCCTGGTGCAGATTCATGGTTTCAGGTGGGCTTTGTTCTTACCACTGGTATAAACAGTGCGTATGTGTTGGGATATTCTGGTACAGTCATGCTTCCTTTGGGTTGGGTAGGAGGCGTGGTTGGATTAATTTTGGCAACTGCCATTTCTTTGTATGCAAATGCTCTGGTTGCCAAGCTCCATGAATATGGAGGGAAGAGGCGCATCCGGTACCGTGACCTTGCTGGAGCTATTTATGGTAAAATTATTCTAGTAAATATTTTGTGAACTTTAGCGAAGCCTCTTTTTTCCTTAATGTTTATCCTTTTGCAGATCGGAGGGCTTATGCACTCACCTGGGGATTACAATACGTGAATCTTTTCATGATTAATGTTGGATTCATCATTTTGGCCGGCCAGGCTTTGAAGGTAATAATATGGTAGAATCTGTGATGTTATGTGAAGTATGCTGTGTTATGATGTTCAAGAGTTAAGAGACGGTTCCCTGGGTTGGTGAGACAGACATAGAGTATTAAAGTTGCTTGTTCATTTTTCAGCAAGAGGAGCAAAGAAAAACAATTGTGATTTCCAAGTTTTTTCTGCATTTTATATATGGTTGTTAATGTTAACCTGAATGACTACTTAAGCACGCAAGCAGTCTGTGATAAACAAAGATGAGCAGAAGAGTATACAAAGATTCTGCTTGTCTCTTAACTTCCGAATCCCTTCTGCAGGCTGTTTATGTTCTTTTCACGGATGAACCCACGATGAAGCTGCCGTACTTTATCGCATTAGCGGGTTTTGGATGTGGCCTTTTTGCGATCAGTATACCTCATCTATCGGCATTAAGGATTTGGCTGGGGTTTTCAACCTTGTTCAGCCTTATTTATATTGTCATTGCTTTTGCCCTGGCTCTTAAAGATGGTATGGTTCTATTCCTGGTATTCTCTTACAATAAGAAGTTGTACACGTGCAACATGATTGTTTTATAGGTTTTTTGACTCTTGCTGCTCGGCATGCTAGTGTCATTTGATGAGGTAGTTCTGATATATTAAGAAGTCATTTGTATTTGAATAGAAACTAGTCCATGACATTTGGAAGCAATCTTAAGATACTGAAAAATCAGCTACAAAATGTGGATATATTATGTTGGACATGCCTGGATTTGCATTTTCGTATCTTCTACTCTTCTTTAATGGACCCACTATCACCAAATCAATGCTGTCTTCTTATGATCTTTTAGTTCTTGAGGATGACATGTTTCCTTGCTCCAAAGTTTGAATGTTTTTAGCTAAACGAACTATTAATATAATGGAATTGAAAACACCTAACCCCGGATGACATTTGTAATTTGTAGGGATTGAAGCTCCACCAAGGGACTACAGTATCCCAGGATCCAAAGTGGACAAGATTTTTACCACTATTGGTGCTGTAGCAAACCTTGTGTTTGCATTCAACACTGGAATGCTTCCAGAGATACAGGTGTGTAGAACTTTGTACTTTTTACTTAACAATGACTTCCCTTTCGAAATCACTTTTATGAGACATCTCTTTAAAATTTAATCCGAATCTGAGGTGTGTTTACAGTAATTGACTGACATTTGAGATTTCGTGGCTCTTGATTCATTGTTATTCAGACGCGAATAGTCATCTTTACTTTTCAATGTATATCACTTATCTGTTTGCTTACACATTTGAGTAGTTGGTACTATGCTCCTTTTACCGTGCTTCTGAGAAGGGACTATTACTGCCTTGTGATTTTTGGACAAAGTTCAGTCATTTTTATTTTTGGATTTCGACTCTTTGTTGTTCTGCTTGGAGTCCTGTAGTACTAATTTAGTGCTGCCTACTTCAAATTTTAGTATCTTGTATCTTCATTCTATGGTCTGAAACTGACAAAGAAATAAATTCTTAATGTAACAGGCGACCGTGAGGCAACCTGTAGTTAAGAACATGATGAAAGCTCTTTACTTTCAGTTCACAGTTGGAGTTTTGCCCATGTATGCAGTTACTTTCATAGGGTACTGGGCATATGGAGCCAACACGTCAACATATTTGCTCAACAGTGTCAACGGCCCTGTTTGGGTGAAGGCACTAGCTAACTTTTCAGCGTTTCTTCAAACCGTGATTGCCTTACATGTAATCTCATCTCTTCTGATCTCCTGTTTTTCATTTCCATCTGTTTTTTTGGGGATCTTCATACACTAAAATCTTGTTGATCTTCTACCATCACGGTTTTGCGATTCAGGGATCCTTTTTGTTTCCTGCTTATTTTTGGTTCTGAAGCCAGTTTTCGATTTCTGTTCTGCAGATTTTTGCAAGTCCAATGTATGAATACTTGGATACAAAGTTTGATGTAAGAGGAAGCGCATGGGCTTTACGCAACTTGGCGTTCCGGATTGGAGTAAGAGGTGGATACCTTGGGATCACAACATTCATCGCAGCTCTGCTGCCATTCCTGGGCGATTTCATGAGTCTTACTGGAGCTTTCAGCACATTCCCTCTTACTTTTATACTTGCAAACCACATGTACCTCATAGCCAAGAGAAACAAGTTGACTTCCTTACAAAAGAGCTGGCATTGGTTAAATGTTGTTTTCTTTGGTGTAGTGGCTGTAGCTGCAGGAGTATCTGCTTTAAGACTGATTGCAGTAGACTCAAGCACTTATCATGTTTTTGCAGATTTATGAACATCCCTAAAAGAGAAGGAATGTTGTACCTCATGGTCACATTTAATTATACGTGTGATGATGCTTTCCTCTAGTTAGAGCATATATGTCATCTCCCTTTTACTTTATTCTTTCAAATTTAGCGGGGCTCGGCCGCTTCTGCACCATTTATTTGGAATGTCTGAATTCCATTTTGACATTTGAACAACAGATTTCAGAAATAGAAAAGTGAGAACGGCTAAGTGGAGAAGGTAGCGGAAATATTGATCACTACCACGGGAAGTAACAGTAGTGGAAATATTGATCACCTCTACGGGAAGTAACGGTTTACATTTAGAACGCCGAAATAAAGAAGAAAGAATCGAATACAGATCTTGTTAAAAAGCATAAGATACAGAATACACTTTCATTGATTAATTGTGGAAATATAGTGAAAATGATTCCGCTAAAACCTTGGTTGGTGAGCGTTCAAACCAAATACATGAAACCAGTCGAGCTCGCATCAACCTTACAACTTTGAATACATAAATCCAATATCTTAGAAAATGCATTGGCTTCTAGAATAACCTTTTCTGCGGGCTTCCTCAAAAGAAATGCATCCTTATGGCATCAAACTAATCTGCAAAACAAAAGAAACGTAACTTCAGCCTTCAATGCAAGGTGTAAATGTTTTAGCCTAGGCATCAATATGAAAAGTCAACAGAATAAGAGACTCCTAGCCTAGAGTTTTCAAATTACTTCAAATTCGCATTCAGACCATTACATTGATTGTTCTAAGTATAATCTGATGCTTCAAATCCACCTTACAAGTGACAGCTCTTGGACTAACAAAAGAAAGAAACTGAAATGCATGCTTACAAGAATGTGTGTTAACTTCCAACCAACCAAGTCCGGAGACTTGCTACCACTAGGTACTTTCCACCTTTTCATCGTGCACAAAAATTTTAGAATAGAAAAAAGAAAGTTAAAGGGGTGAGAGACATATGTAACTCTCCAGAAGAAAGGTTAACACTTGATAAATAAAAGCGAATTTCCGACAATATTAAGAAATTTGCTAGTTCCTGCTTATACTAGGTCTACATAAATGGGTTTAGGAATCTGAAGAATTCTAACAACATTATGTCCATTTAAAACAATGCAACTGTTTGCTCATCAAATAGGAAATCTATGTTTATGGATAAGTGTGTGTTGTTTCTTTTTCTTTTTGAAATAAGAAGTATAATTTGTGCAAGAATAAATTCTGTTTTTTGACGGAAACAATTAAAACCTTAACCACACAAAAAGCAAAACCAAAGGCCACATCACTTATCCTATCCAACGTAAGAATCAAATAAAACTTTTCTCCTGCCTTACGATCGTAAGACAAAGACTAACCAAAATAAGATCTGAAAAAGGAAGGGAAATTCATACAATTAACCTGAATTAGCACAGTGCAGACTTACCATGCCAATATCATCCAGAAACCAATTTCAGAACAATGCACAGGGTATTCATAAGTATCAGAATAACTCTTAAGTACTGTGTGGCATATATGAGACCGATAATCTGCCCTTTCAATGAGTTCCTACGGACTCCTGAATATTCTTGGAAGCTCCAACCTCTGGGGGCAAGAAATCGCTCCTCATTAAGTATGGCAAAGGCATTTGCAAGAAGCAAGCAGCCCTCTAGCAATGTCCACAATCCCATTTATCTGCAAAATGAGTTATCCGTCTTAATCCTAAATAAACTTTATCAGAGAAATGCATTTTTTGAACGTTAACCTTCATATGTAGAACATTGAAAGTAGAACAACACACCAAAATTTTTAAGCGTAACATGAGAAAGGACAGATTATAGCACAGCATCCAACATCATAGCCACCCGTGAGAAAAGGGAAAATAGACACTAGACGGAAAACTCAGAATTGGCCAGTTGAGAACACAAACCAGTTACATCCTGTCCACAGCAATAGATCAATCCACAGTAGTGAAAAAGGGAAGCTGACTGGAGTTTGTAGCATCATGAAATCGGGTTGAAAGTAATCCCAATTTTTTAAAAACAGTAAATTTCATGTGTCAAAGTGGCATAGTTACTTTAAAAGCTCAAAAGATCGGTTTAAAAAGAGAAGCTTGCCCAAGTGATGACTAAAAAACAATAACCTTCGACTCCCAACATCTCGACCAGAATCCGAACCGAACCTGACAATCATCCCTCAAGTATTCCTTATAAATCTCAATGAGTAAGTCTTGGTTTAGATTCACAACTTTGGACAATAGTGTGAGAGGAATGTGACAAAAATGGTATACAAACTAAAAGTTGCACCAGTTCTAGACTAATTAAACAATGGGCATCAATGACTGACTTCACTAATAACAACACAAAAGATAATAAAGGTTAAAATTTATCTAAAAATTAAGCAAAATACAACTTGAAGCAAAGATCCAAAGGATAGATCAAAACCATTCACTAAGAAGAATGTAATAAACTCCTAAAGGGGCAGAATTTGAAGCAAAACCCACAGTAATTAGCTTTACAAACACCAATTACATCGAAAGACAAACTAAAAGGAAACGAGGGAAGTAAACAAAGATCTAACGGGTTTGAAGAATACCTGATTTTGTTGTTTCAGGAATCACTCCGCGATTCTATCGTGAAAGGCCGTGTGAATCAATTTTTACTTCCAGAAGCAATTCTGATGATGATTCTCACAGTATAAAATTAACCCAGAAAGAACCGAGGCAATGAGAAGACGTACGAGAAAACGGAGAGATATATATTTTTGTTCAACGATTTTACGTCATAATAGTAGCTCTACTAAAAGCGCTGAACTTATGGAATCTTTAAAAAAAAAAAAGAAAAGGCATAAAATTGTGATGGCGAGTGGCGACCCACCTCATATAATATAAGATTGAAGCCCAAAAATTAAAAGTTCCACCAACCCAAAACCATAGAGAAAACCTAAGCCCAATAAGAAGCCCATTCGATATCCACAACAACGAAATGTGGTATATAAATAGATCTAACTTGGGAATTAGGGTTTTAAGAACTCCTTTGTCTACGAAGCACAGCAGCCCTGTTTCCTCCATCCTCAGCCTCTTACTCCGCAGCCGAAAATGGTGAAGGGACGCCAAGGAGAACGCGTTAGGTGCTCAATCTTCTCTCGTCCGATCATTCTCCTGATTGATTTAGCTTATAATTTTGTGCATTTTTTTTTTTCTGAAATCGTCCGTTTTTGTTTACTGTTTGGATGATTCTGTGCAGGCTCTATGTCAGAGGAACTATTTTGGGTTACAAGAGGTCGAAGTCAAACCAGTACCCAAACACTTCCTTGATCCAGATCGAGGGAGTGAACACCAAGGAAGAAGTGAACTGGTACCTGGGGAAGAAGATGGCCTACATCTACAAGGCCAAGGTGAAGAAGGATGGAACCCAGTACCGCTGCATTTGGGGAAAGGTTTGCAGGCCTCATGGTAATAGCGGCGTCGTCCGTGCTAAGTTCAAGTCCAACTTGCCTCCTAAATCTATGGTACACCCTTTTTTTCTTCTTGATACTATTGAATTTTGTTGCATTTCGTTCTTTCGGTTTTTGATTTTTATTTTGGTTTCTGAGACTATTGCGATGTATTGACAGGGTTCGAGAGTTCGCGTCTTCATGTATCCTAGCAATATCTAAGGTATACATTTTACTAATTTATGCTGTTTTTTCTAGGGTTCTTTGGGTTTATGAGGTGTTTTGATATCTGTAAGTATTGGAATTTTATTTGTTTTAGCTGTCAAAACGTGGGCTTTATTGTTTCTGTGCTTGTGTTGAGGCAATAACTTCTATGCCATCGGGATAATCTGTGATTCTTGTTGTATTTGTTTGGTGAACATAAGCACTTTTCTTCAGGATGTTGTTTGACCTAAATGCTGTGTAAGTTCTATATTGTTGGGTTTAATCTGCTATATCTGTTATATGCTGGCAGAGAAAGATTCCTGACCGACTTTGTTTGCTGTGTAAGTTCTATATTGTTGGTTTTAATCTGCTATATCTGTTATATGCTGGCAGAGAAAGATTCCTGACCGACTTTGTCGTTTCAATGTTTCTGCTGTTTCTTTTATTTCTGGTGATTGTAATTAACGAAACGTGTACCTTTTCAACCCTTAATTTGTACAACCACTGGTCTTATTGGCACACTCTATTTATCTTCCTATTGGATCAGTATGTTAGTTTTTGATGCTTTGATATTACTTTCATGGTTCATTTATTTCTGCGTGTTTCTGACATTTCAAGTTTGGCATCAAGAATGAGGAGCTTTTATTCCCTTGAGAGTTTCTTCTCATCATTTGGATTTCTTTTTGTGCGTGAAGCGGGGTAGGGGATATGGGTGAAGATTTTATGTTAATCATGTAGTTCCTACTTACATGAAGAAGTTGAAGTTATAAAATTTACTGAAATTTCCTTACTGTTCCAGTTCTTTTCCGATTGTTATCTCTTTGGAAATTTAGAGTTTCTTTTTTTCTTTTCAGTTAAGACTTTAAAGACAGCTGAGATCATTGGTGGACTTCGGAAGGTGTTATGTGCCAGATCAAAGCCATTAGTGATTGAAGGATAGCATTTAGATTATTCTCCATTTTGTGAACTCTACTAGTTATTTCCTATTGGCATGTTTGTTGAATAGCAAGGATGGAAAATTTAATGGAGTTACAATTTTGTTTGTTGGGATATTTCCTTTTCCCTATTCCTCTTATGTTAACTTCTTTTGAAGTTGCTGTGTATTTACATCTTAAGGGATGCTCGAATCGTGGTCGGTGATCTTTTGATGTAGTGGTCTTGTTTATTTTCTGCAGTTTCTATTGCTAACTCGGCAGTTTTTTACTGGTCTATCTGCTAATGTTTTCTACTCGGTGGATTTGTTTTAATCTTGAACTGCCAGTTGTGGATCCTGAGGGCATCAATGGTCCTTGTCTCTTTGCTTTGGTCTATCTGCTATGGTATATTTATTTTGCTTTGGAGGATTCGTTACTTTTCTCACTTTGTTCCTACTCTTCATTGAGTTGGTTATTGTGAAGTTTTTAACAGAAAGATTAGTTTTGGATTTTGATATTACACAGCAAGGTTCAAAGTGTACTTCTCCAATAAGAGAAGGCATTTGATGTTGATTGATACTGTTCGTTGGTAACTAGTTTTTCTGTTTGATGGTTGAGTGCTGTTGAACATTGCAGAAATTGGTTTTCTTTGTTACTTGGTTTTTCATGTAACATGGTTAGTGTGCCTTTACTTTCTATTTCATCTTCCAATGTTGCAATTTCAGATGGCTAGAGTGACTTAAGTCTACTCTTGTGAACTACTGTATGCTTTTTTATATGATGTACAAATTGTGCTACTTTGGGTGTTTCTATCCTTATTATGGGTAAATGTGTTAATGAAAGCATGATATTACTTGGTTATGGAGAGTGTAAAAAAGAAAAAATGGTTGCAAGCGCCTGAGATCTGTCTTCGAACTCAAACTTGCAATGGTAGTAACTTAGCTCGCTTTCCTCGAACTCAAACTAGCAATGATAGTAACTTAGCTAAATGAGGGATTTACATGCCATCATTACGTGATCTTTAACTGTATTTCGTCCAGGTGGATTATAGAATTGATGATACTGGTGGCACGACATGAATTGTTCGTTTCCTCCTACTTGAATTAATCTTAAACGAACCAAATTTGTTAAACAACAGTAATCCGTCATGCCATTTTGTCATCAAAGTTCTGACATTTATAGTAAAGAGGCTGCAAAACTTGAAGCTCTTGAGAGGGGTATTTCACTCTCAATAGTCACAAGGAAAACACGCGCACAAAGAAAATAATTACTCTCTCTCTGTCTCTTAGGAATCCACACAAAGAAAATAACGAGTTACACCCTTAGGAATCGTTTGGAGTAATACTTTAATTGTATTATTATTATTATAGTTAGTCCCATGTCAAATGTCAACTCAGTTCACCCTGAGCATCGAAGCAGCCATGCACAGGTTAATGATGTAGAATGTGATTCCTTTCTTGATTATAGTTGACCTTGTTCATGTTTAGGTCACCAGTCATGGCATCTGGGCTTGAGGTAATTTACCATCAGAAATATGTATTTGCAGTGATAATTCCAGCTCCCGATACTTTTTAGAGAGAATTCGTTTAAGATGTTTTTTGTGAAAGGTTTCGGACTAAGTCGTCTAGGTTGTATAGTAATTTCTTTTCACAGCCCGTCTTCAGTTGTCTATGCGAGCTTTGAGTATGACCTCCTTTTTTTTTTTTTTTTTCCAGTCAACCCTCCAAAACTATAACATCATTGCTATGTGCATTTTTACATGTTTATGCATATGTCTAGAAACTCTTATAAATATTATTAAAGGTAAATAAATTACAACCTGCAACAATGTTTAGAATTTCTCTAGGCGGAAAACAATGTATACAGTGTAAAAAGCTCATAACCTGTGTATTCTGTTGGATGGGGAAATTTTCGAATTCGCCGTGACAATGTACACTTAAAAACTTGATCGTGCTTGATAAAAATTATAAGGTGTAGTCAAAAATTCAAAACTATATAGTGCACGGGTTTTGAACTGTTCATATTTTGTGCAAGTAAATCTGCTAAAAACATGGGTTGCAGACTTGCAGTTGATGATGGGTTGGATTCCTCTTGTGTGTTTTAATTTGTTAGTCGCATTCCCACGTAAAGTTGACAAACACACACAAACAATTAGGCATTTCGTTTCTCACACTCCACCATAAGTGCCATGTTTATTGGACTAACTAATGGACTTCCATTCAAATCATGAAAACAATTTTCATACTTTACAAAATACTAACACACCAGTTATTTCAGGTGGAACAAACCATTAACCTCGATCTTGGCTAATACGGTATATCAATGATAAATTACACTGGGAAAGATCTCTCTACTTGAAATTATGAAAATTTTCACATTATACAAACTGATGACATTGGAGTAGCATTTTGATACAAAAGATGAGATTACTGTATAGTTTTTTATTTTAATTTAACTCTACTAATTTGAAAAAAAGAAAAAAAAAAACGGAAGAAACACGGCTACACCTGTTCGTTTCCTAATTCAGATTGTTAGCTTAGACTATTAAGATTCATTAAATATCTGGAAAGGGATCCCATTTCTTACGGCTTGGTATTCTCTAAGCTCCCATCTCTGATTGTTTTTTTCATTTATCAAACCTCCTAAAAAAATAAAAAATAAATTATGATAAATGTAGAGAGTAGAAATTCAAAGACTAGTGGTAAATTACTAGTAATACAATGTCATGTTCTCACATGACGGAAGATGGCATATGCTTTGGAATCTCTTTTACCCAAAAGACACGAAACTTATGTGGCAACTACGTATGCATCTGTTTTGGCTCCAATGTACCATATTTCAGATTTCAGAAGTCTTTTTACCACGTGTAAGTCTCTTTTAATTAGAAGTTATATAATTTTTTTTTAAAAAAAAACACATATTTTAATACAAATAAGGATCAGTTACATTTCAAACGAATGGATATATTAATTTAAATTCAAACATCCAATCGTATAATTTTGCAGGCTTAATATAAACAAAAAATAAAAATACCTAAATCTAACAATTAAGAATAATGCCTTATAAACTAATTATTTATTATTCCCTTATAACCTCAGATTTATAGGTATATTTTTTTAAGCCCCAAACCATAGCATAAATGATATACACGTCAAATTAATTCCTCAAAAAATAGTAATTCAATTAAGTTTTAATAAAATAGTAATTTAGAGGAGGCGCCCGGGCATCTATCCGGGCCAAGCATCTAGTTAGGTTTTAAGGCATGATGCATTATTATAGAGACCTACAGACTACAAGTCAAACTATAATACCACCCTTTACTTCTTCCCTACATTATTAATCTACAAAAAAATGAACTACTCGTATTACTATATTTCTAAAGTTCTTAACTTCTAACCCCCATTGAAAGTTTCCTGGAATCATCGCCCCCGGCGCCGGAGCTTGAGAAAATCACTTGAATGAATAGATACCTATAACTCACATTAAGATTTACCAAACATGATTTGTTTTTTTTTTTTTTTAAGATAAAGTTCTTTGGTAAAAAAAAAAAAAAACAAAGTCAATAAAAATACTATACTCAATCCATTTCTAGGCTCAAAATTTACAATACAATGTGTTACATGATAAACCATGAATTTAATTTGGCAAGTGACTCGCCTATGTATGATACTAACTAATTTATTTTACAAATAATACGAGTTTATAATAATATGTTGATACCAAGTTAACATCACATCCAGCTTCATTATAATTCAATTTTTTCTCCTTATAAATTTTTATACTCCGCAGTTATTTGTATTATTAGTAGTATACCGTTTATAATCCTTTAAACTTTTGGATTAAGAATGTACATTTTCACAAATGGAGCTAGAATTTTAACCCCCCCCAAAAAAAATAGTCGTTTGAAGATAGGATTTCAATATAGCTCCAAAATCCTAATGATTAACTATTAATTACTAACCATTATCAATTTATCATAAATTCATTTCAGATGATGATAAATGACTTACCTAAAAGAAAAACCTAAAAGAATTTTCTTCACTTTTTATATTACAATTTATTAAAAAAAAAGAAAAAGAAAAAAAAAGAAGTGAAAATTCAACTCACAATTCCCTACGCGTTTACCTCTCCGATTGTTTTAAAAATCTCAGCCCTGCAATTCCTTCGTCGGTAGTCCTCAAAACTCGACCCTCCCCTCAACCCAACTTCCCTCCTCTTTCTTCCTTCTTTCTTCCTTCTTCCTTCTTCCCCGCACACACACACACAGTCACACACTATCGTACTCCTTTGGAAATCATTTTTACTCATACGGAAGGAAGCAAGAGAGACTGAAAAAACCATTTATTTATACATTTATTGGACGAACAGAAATTTGTTAAATTCAATGCTTCTGTGATGACACTGAATCATCAGATCCATGGAAACCCAAATCAAGTTTCTTCCTTCTAATGCTTCTCAGATCTCTTTAGATTTTAGCCCTAATCACCCCCTTTTTCACAAGTAGCTGATTCCCTTTTTTTTTTTTTGACTTTTTGTTCTCGTTTCCGGGTAAGGAGGGGGGAAGAGAGACAGGAGGCGTTTATTTGGACGAGTTGAAAAATCGTATTAACGATCCCGGGTCGGGTTCTTAATTGGAGTGATTAACAATGTCAGCGATGAAGGGAGCATCGGCGGCAACCTCCGGCCGGTTTTTCACGTTCGGGCTGGTGACGTCGTGGTATTCGTCGAACATTGGAGTGTTACTCCTAAACAAATACTTGCTGAGCAATTATGGTTTCCGGTACCCGATCTTTCTGACCATGTGTCACATGACGGCTTGTTCTTTGCTAAGCTACATTGCGATTGCTTGGTTGAAGATGGTCCCGATGCAGACTATAAGATCTAGGCGTCAATTCTTCAAGATCTCTGCTTTGAGCCTCGTCTTTTGTGGTTCCGTTGTTAGCGGTAATATCTCTCTCCGTTATTTGCCCGTGTCCTTCAATCAGGCTATTGGTGCTACCACGCCTTTCTTCACGGCCGTCTTTGCTTATCTGATGACTCTGAAGAGGGAGGCTTGGTTGGTTTATGTTACTCTCATTCCCGTCGTCACTGGGGTTGTTATTGCCAGCGGGGTGCGTATTTGCTCTTCTTATCTTTGTTTTGCTTTATTGGACTGCTGATTTTTAATTTGGATTTACATTCATTCGTTATTGATGTTTTTTTAGGTTTTGTGGTAAACTTATTGAGATATGAGTGAAGTGATGGTGTTTTTCTTCTTTTTTTTTTAATTTTTTTTATAACCCTCTAGTAAAGAGAATTGAGAAAATGCATTTGATTTTATTCTGTGTATTGTGTAAAAATGGAACCAACATTGTGAGGAAAGCTGGGCAGTTTGTTCTTTCTGGTGTTTAGACTTGGGGTTAAGATAAAATCTAAGCTATACGTTCTCAATAGCTAGTTACTAATCATTAAATCGCTAGTACTAGTATCTTAATTGGTAGGGAGTTTAGGTGACTTGTTATTGGTCATTCCTGATAGAATATTTGACCATTGACGGACCACTTAACTTAATGGATCTCATCTTATTGTACTATTAATGCATTGTGTTTGTGGGAAGTTTTCTGGCTTTGTTTTCTAACTTCTTTTTCGTTTCTCATGCCCTCAGGGTGAACCAAGTTTCCATTTATTTGGGTTTATTATGTGCGTTGGTGCAACAGCTGCTAGAGCCCTTAAGTCTGTGCTTCAGGGGATTTTGCTCTCTTCTGAAGGGTGATGACATCTAAATGATGGTGCATAAGTTGTCTTGTTTTCATTTTCTGGAGATTGGATGCTGATTCCTTTTTTTTTTCTTTGGGGATATTAGGGAAAAGCTGAATTCCATGAATCTTCTACTTTACATGGCTCCCATTGCTGTTGTGCTTCTACTTCCTGCCACACTCTACATGGAGCAAAACGTAGTTGGTATCACGTTGGCACTGGCTAGGAGTGATATCAAGATCATCTGGTTATTGCTCTTCAATTCAGCGCTTGCGTATTTTGTGAATTTGACCAATTTTTTGGTCACGAAACACACCAGTGCTCTGACTCTTCAGGTATTTCTCCCTTGCTTTTAATGGTTTTGTCTAGGATTGCGTTTGCTATATCTCTCTTCCATCAAATATGCATCTCTCTAATTTATCCCCTTAATACTTTGTTCTACACCTTTTTGTTTTGCCTTAACCATGGGAACAGAGGAGACATAGGATGTGTTTGGGTTTGTTGTCCTTGATTTCCGTTGTTTGGTTTCGTCAAGTTTGGATTCATAGAACTGGCTCTTCTGGAGCACTGGCTTGAGAATCTTGTTATTAGTGAATAAAGCATGAGCTGACTATTTCGTTAACTCATGATTATTGGAAGTTTTACTGCATAAATGTCCGTCAATGAAGACTCCTTGCTATTGCTTCGTATCTCGCTTTGTTTATGAAACTATCACTCAGAACCTTCATATATTTACTCTCATGCTAAGTTTCTATAATTTGATATTCGATCGTTCAGATTGCATGAGATAGTTTGTTTGCGGTTTGCAGTTTGCTTTTTCCATGTGTTTTGTGTTCTATAATTTTTTTTGGGGTGTTTTACTGACTTCATGGTCTTTTAAGTTAGCTCATGCCTTCCCTCCTTTCTCTTATTTATTCAGGTCCTAGGAAATGCAAAAGGTGCCGTTGCGGTTGTTGTTTCAATTTTGATATTTAGGAATCCCGTGTCAGTTACTGGGATGCTCGGATACGCTCTCACAGTTTTTGGAGTTATACTCTACAGTGAAGCCAAGAAGCGTAGTAAATGAGAAATTTTCACATAGATAATCATCATACTGATCCCTACTGAGTCATTTGAGGAGAGGTGCAACCTTCCTGAGACACGATTAGGTTTTGTGGTTCTGCAGTTGGTATCTCGAGTTGTTGCCCTGATATACACATTTTGGATGGAAACCCAGACCTGGCCTCCATCAATTTTAGCAAATTAGTGGGTAGAAAGTTTTAATAAGTGTTTGTACGTTTACCCATTCTTCCCAGCTTGAAGTCATGGTATAGTTATATTATTCTTTCAGGAAAGGGTTGTAGAATGCAGTCCCAAAGTTACAACACGTTGTTACAAATTTTCTTTTCTTTTTGTTATTAAGTAATGATGGACACGTGAATTTTACTGTACTGTGGACAACTTCCCGCAGAAATATAGTTCAATATATTTAACAGTTTACCAGTTTGTGCAAAATATGAATGCCTCTGTTGGTATACAATTATAAATAACATGAGAGATCGATTGGGATTAGGCAGATGCATCATGGCAGAGAAAAATGAAACTCAGCCAGGCGGATCTGGATTTCAGCTTGTTCTTTTCCAGTTCTTCAATTCTGACAGCAGGGTAACATTTTCATCATCATTATGCTCTACAGTGTAATGAGTAATTAACAAGTACGCCCAAAAGCCAACCATTTAAAAAGGGCTGCAAGAAACCCAGAGTTCTAAATAAAAATGCTCTAAAACTTATTTCTGCAATCATTACTTTCAAGTTTTATAAGCTGATATCGGAGTGATATTGCCAAAAAGTAAGACATCGCAGAGTCTGTAATTAGAAATCCAACTCTAATATCACTATTCCAGAGATCCAACTCTAGTTACCAAAAGCATGAACCTTCAACAATCAGTCAGACTTCCTGTACCTCAAAAGATCTATACGAACTAACAAAATGAGACTCCTGAGTCTAGACAGTCCTTATCCACTAATAACACTAAGTGTTCCAAATACTACTACTACTCAACATCCATGGCATCAATTTCACCATTGGTACTTGCTTTGGGCTTAGTTTCCACTTCAGGTTCGCTTTCTTCATCCTCAAGATCCTCTCAAGCTTGACGTTCCTCTTTAGGCTTCACTTGCAGCTTGCATTCTTCATCCTTAAGACCTTCCAATAGTAGATATTCCTCTTTAGGCTTGCTTGCCTCCTCCTCTTCCCTCATTGCTTCCACATGCGCAGTTTCTACCTTTGGCTTGTTCTCCTTTTTTGACCTGGTTTCCTTAGATTTGGTTTGCACAGGAGCTGGTTCAGCGGCCTCCTCCTCCTCTTCTATCTTAGGAGCCAAGTAAAACCTGATATGGCCCATCTCGGCAACTTTGTATTCAACTACCACTGGCAGATCAGAGGACAAGCTAATAGTAACTTGCTCAGAAAGTGGGGTGGCCTTGGCAAATGAATTCATGTACCTCAGGGCAAAGGTCAATGTAACAGGTTCTTGCATTTCAATGATGGTGGCTTCATGTGGCTGCAGCAAAAGAACCAACGGCCACAACTTTAGTGTTGCTCAAACTAACAAGAATGCAGCAAACTGTAGTAAGCTCCGCCACAAACTATTCCCATTACAACATTGCTCTACATTTATTACTAATGTAAGAATCTGCCTTAATAAAACATTTATAGCATGAAGTCACATTCAATACAGTAAAATCATTCCATCCAGGGGAATTCAGATTATCAACTCAAAACAGCTATTTAGATGTAAATTGGTTTTCAAGGAGGAACCTTATCCACTGTCGTGTTCTGCCTGCAAACGATGTTTGCTGCACCAATGTCGCCTCTTGTTGAAAACCTCACACCTTCTTTAGTGACAGATATTACAACTGGCAGTCCCCAAGGATACATTAGTATAAAAGCATTGTCTAAGGCACAAGAAACCAATGAGTAGATGAGGAAAAAGATAGAAGAGCTAGCGCATACCAGTGTCCCCAATGCTGCTGAGATCTTTGCAAATTCTTGCGAACTCAGCTGATGGCATCCTTAAGATGGATTCATATTCAGCTTCTGGAATCCCAAGATGCTCGCTATCAATATCCATAAGCTTCATTTCAAAGTCTGATATCTTGTCTTGAGCTACAAGGTCAAAATTTTCAAACAAAAGGCAAAAAGAACATTGAGTTCAGACTTCATAGAGGTAAAAGAAAAAGGAAAAAAGAAAAAAAAGGAGAAACCTACGCTGAATAAACAAGAATAAGAAACAGAACAAATCCAGTGATAATAAAGATACTCTAGCTGAATAGGAAAAACTGAATATGTAAACTTTAACCGGAAGAAAAAAACCACTAAAAATTTGATTAACAAACAATAACAGATATTGAAAAACTTATTTGGTTTCACAAGATGTAAGAATCAAACAAGAAGTTCACTAATGTGGTTAGATACACAAATGAAATTCGATGGTAACATAGAGAAACATGGACGACCATTTCACTAATGTGATTGGAATAACAAAACCAACAAAATTCGCCAATGCATGTATTGAGACTTTAAGCTCTAAGCCTAAATCAATTATCAAACACAAATTCCCATATTAGAATCCCGGCTCAAAAACAGACTAAACTATCAGAATAACCATCTTCAATCAAATTAAAACGCAAACAAGAAGCATGCAAATGATTTCTAGGGCACAAATCACCGAGAAAGTATATCCCATTACCGTATAAATTCGGATTAATATATACTCAGTCGAAGTAGCAGGGAAAGCAAGAAGCATACAAGGGCTTTCAAACATGAAGGTGACGGTGTCAGTTCCGTCATCAGCCTTGATAGTGACGATGTCATCATTTCCGGCACATTTTAGCATCTTAGCCATATTGGCCAAGTTCATGCCCATGGTGACATTGCGGTCGCAGCGGTAGTGCTCGAAACCCTCCGATCGGAGAAGAAGGGCCACCAAGGCAACGTGACTGGAATCCATGGCCTGGAGTGAGAATCCGGTAGAAGAACAATCGAAATTCGCATCATTCACCAAATCCTTGATGGATTCAAGAACTTTCTTTAGCAAACTCCCTTGAACCAGCCTCAGTTCAAACATTTCTTCTTCGTTCCTTTCTCGATCTCAGCCCTAATTGTGTTCTTTCTCTTCAGAGTTAGTCTCAGGATATTGATTAATTACTTAGAAACGGAGGTTATGAGCCAAGCGTCAGGGTGGGAACGGCGAGGTCATTCTTTGGCGGGAAAGTGAATACAATCCCGCCCTAAAAACGGCAGCAAATTCTTTCTTCTTTTTTGAGATTATCGACTTCCCTTATTTTCCATTTAGTTTTTTTCATAATTATTATATATATATATATATATATATATATATTTTCCCTTTTAGAAACCAAAATGAACTTCATTGCCTTATGGTTTTGTCTTCTATCCTATTAATTAGTGTCTAATTAACTTCTATCAACTTCTTCTTCTTCTACCCAATTCAAATGTCCGGGTTGCCAGACAATTAGAGGTGTTGATAACAGCAGATCATCAAAACAAAATGATCAAAGTAAACAAACAGCAATTCAGGGAAAAGCTTCTTGACTTTATATTAAACCCATGGAGACAAGAAGCCAATCTTTGAATAGCACACTTTCAATACAAACCAAGGCAATTCCAAGGGAGTGTGGATGCCAGGGCTCGGTAATAAGTTAATAATATCAATCCTGGAGATTAGTTCCTTGAATCAGGTACAAAGTACAACAACAGATTTCATGGCCGTAATCAAATTGAAAATGGGAAACACACAAAGAACAAGCAATCCCGTGTCGATCATATAGCTTTGTAATCTCTATCAGGTAATCTGTGTTAAGCAGCAGCATCGGGTACAGGAGTTGTTGGCCGCTTCATTGAAGCAGACTTGATTAAATGGTTGTAGCTGCCTTTCTCCTTGAAAAGCTGTGAAAAATGAGGTTTACAATACAATATACCGTTCAATGCTGCATAATTTGACGGAGACAGTGAACAGCCACCATGCGAACACTTAAAACAGGTTTTGTGGTAGCTTTGGTTCTCAACTGTAACCTGATTAATTTCCCAAAAAACACTGTGAGCAACAGACTAATATTTTCATATAGTAATCACGATAATTCATCAAGGAACAGAGGAGCAGGCATCCCCATAAAGTCATCTTACAACAAAGACGTCATGGTTTATCTTTACAATCACACCTCTGAAACAAGCAGAATAAGGGCAAAGAACAAATGTAGTCACTAACGCACACCCCAGTTTCACAGGAATTTCAATGCAGCCTTTTCTACTCATGAAGCATATCAGTCATGAAATGAATTAACATTACAAAAACTTATGCCAATTACAGATCCTCTCCTAATACCATCCAATCAATAAGAACAGACCATTTTCCCCATTCTGATAATCACGTGATCACAGATATATGGGCAGATGTGGAATGTAAGCCCAATAAAAGTGATGTTAAGACCATTTCGCAATACAGGAACAAAAGAATTGCTAGCAATCTGAACTCTTCTAACTGGCACTATATTCTACATCAGCTTTGAACAGTTCTGCAATTCTCGAAAGAGCGTCACTAACTCCATCTTTCAGGAGTTAGGAGACCAAAATGTTTCAAAGTAGATTAAAACTAGGAATAGTTTCCAAGAAGGGACTGCGGTTAGGAAGTTCACGCATAACCAAACTCCAGATTGCACGAGTTCATCAAATAAGTAATTATCAGCAAAACAGCAAGCTACCAAAGTTTCATCACAACGTAACTCTTTCCAAAGTTCAAAGTTTGTACCTTTTCTAAGGGGTAAGCAGTTTTACCGCAAGTAGCACATTTATCTTGGGTCCCAGAGAACATGCTCGCAGCTTTGCTAGGTGACCTTGTCTGTAGATTGAATTCAACAAAGCAATAAAGAAATAATCAGGATTTCAGTCTGGAATAAATACTCCAAAATTCAGTAACTCAAAAGTTTAGGAACAGATAATTCATGAGAATAATTTTACCAGCTCGGGAGTCAACTTCTCAGCTGACTTTGCAGCTGTCAGAAGAAAAAAAATAGTTGCAATTTAGAAATAGCAAATACATAGGAAAACTGATTAAGAACGGTAGACAATCAAAAACAAAACTAGCCGAGGAAAATGCAAGAGGAGAGAGGCATACGTGATTGGAAGTTCTTGACAAAATTGCCACTCTCCTTAAAGAGCTGCTCGTAATGAGGCTTACAATACAAAACACCTTCCATCGAGGAGTAATTGCTCAGCTGGAAATAAAATGAAATCCGTAAAGATAAACATTACAAACAGCTGGTACCAAGGATAAAAGGATCAAAACACTATTAAAAATACACCAAATCAGTACTCTTAATTGAATGCTAAAAAGAACAATGCTTTTCAATTTTTTTTTTTAAACTCTGTTAGCTCAAATTTCCCAAGAAGGCATATCAAAATTCCTATCAATTTGGGTCTGCGTCAACTTGGGTAGATAGTATATACCATACCTTGAGGGTGCCTTTGCAATGGGAGCACTTGAAGCAAGATTTATGATAGTTGATTCCATCAGCGGACAACAGCTCCACTGGATACACTGTCTTGTCACAAGCCTTGCACTTTTGTTGTGTCCCGATGAAAGACATAGCTTTAACTTCAAAGAAGATGTATAAAACTCCTTAATTTGCTAGATCTGATCTGAATTTGACCCTTCTATACTTTTACCCTTTTTCTCCGCACCGATTAAACTCTAGTCAAAAAAAGGGGTTTATGATTAGCACATTGCATACAAACATCTTTCCCCTTTTTGTGTACAAGTATAAAAAACCCACCCAAGAAAAATCAGATATCAGAAGATGAGTTGAACAGAAGCTCTCAATTACGGTCTTGCAGACACTAATTGCATTTAGCTAAAAGTAAACATTCGTAGTAAAAAATTCATACCTGTGGCCTGTAGTAGCAATTGAAGATTTGGGATTCTGATCTGAGAGGGTTTAGGAAGTGTATAGCTCGATCAAAGGAGGGCCAAAGATTGAAACTTTGCAGAACCTTGGAGCAAAAATGGTGGCCCTTTTTTTTTTTTGGTACTAATTACAGTCTCTCTTCTATCTCTCTCAAATTCAGAATCCCAGTAAAATGGAGGAGCCTTTTGTGGTTTGCACGCAAACAGAAATGAGTTAGGCGGGGGGATGCAGCGAAGTGGATGTCAATGATGATGGAGGTGGTGGGGAAATGGAAATTTAATCGAGATTGAGAAAAGGGAAAACAAACAAAATGCAAAAGGGGCAAAAAGAAAGAGGGAGATATCTTCGCTGGAATTGCAATTTGATATTTTTTGGGCTACTAGTCTACTACTAATCAAACTTTGTTAAAAACTAAAAACGAACCTGGTCAACCCCTAGAAGAATATTTGTCAAGCAGGGGATTAAACAAGTTTTTTTTCTTTTTTAAAAAATTAATCGCAAAGAGAATAATATATAGAGATAAGCAAAAGGGGAACTTCTTTTTTTTTTGATAGATATGAAGGGAAAAGAAGTTGTAAGGAATTTGGTACATATCCCCCTTAGACTCTTTTTGTTTCTTGGGAAGTAAAAACTATCAGGACCTAAGTTTACATTGATGATGGGTTCTTTCTTTTTTCTGTTAATCTTATCGTTTTTGCTTTGTGAAATAGGAGTACTACTACTATTTCGTGTATTCATTTAATTAATAGACACGGATATTTCTAGCTTAGTGAAACTACAAAGTCTAATGAAGTAATGATCATATGCTCCTCCACCTTAATTCAGAACAACGTGGGTCCACGCCACGATGACCGTTTTGGTATTATTTTTGTTTGGAATATGGATATGAATGAATATCATTATAGTAATCCTACTATCATATGCTTTGTTAGGGAGTTAAATCAATATAGGTTAAGGCATGAGACTATCACGTCTGGTTTGCCTGGTGTCTTTTGCTGTCCCTCAAGAAATGATTTGGGTTGGGTTTGATCCAAATCATGATGATTACCAAAAATTAAAAAAACGCAAAACCAAAAGAGACTTTCCCTTCAAATATTTAATGCATCTGTTGTACCACAATAAAACTAATTATTCTTGTAAGATACAACATGTTAATTTTTTGATAAGAAAAGAAACGTGCATATCTCCCAAAAGGTTTATCTATAATTTCTATTTAATATATGAGTTTTTTTTCGACTATTTTAATATATGAGTTTTGAATATAATAATATAATATTCCTTCTGTCCTAAAATTATTGTTTACTTTGAAATTTTACTTTTAATACAATTTGAACTAGAAATGAAAATTTAAATTGAATAATAATTATAGGACGGAGAGAGTACTATATTTTTAGCAATGTGTACATTGATTTTTTTTTCCCCACTATGTTACAGATAATTTAAGGGCTTTGTGTTTCTTGTTGAATTGCAATAAAATGCTGCTATTTTATTAGGCCCTAGAACACAATAAGGGCTCTTTGCCCAATTTGAGCCCAGTTCGTTTTGCAGTAGTTAAATTGAGGACTAATCGGCTGATTCCATAGCCAAACTAGGACTATTTTGTGAACCCGGAAAATACATTTTGTCAACACCTTCAGCTTCAATCTTAGAAAAATTAACACTAAATTGGCGTAGCTCAACTCAATCCTGACGAGTTTGACTTTTGTAATCTAAGGTGCTGTCTAGTTCAGGGGTATGGAGGGGTTTGAAATGAAAGATTGGGATTGAATCCCATTTTCAAGTGGTTGGTTCAAATATTTGGAATGAATTAGACCCACTAATTTGGATTTCACTCCCAATTATCCATTCTACTAGAAAATGGTGGGTTTGATAAAATTTGTTCATAATCAATTTGTTTTCTCTTTTAAGCCCTTATCATCACCTCCACCTTTTTTCTCTCCGTCTCATCCACCACCCTTGCCATCAGCTGTCAACATCACCAGCCACACCCCTCCTTTTCTTCTTCTTGTTCATCTTGGTACTCCTCTTGTTTCATTTCCAACTTTTGATTTTGTTGCCGTATTTTGTCATTCTGTTTTCTTATTACTTTATTTTTACTGCAAATCTCTTTTCATTAACATCTAATATCGAAATACCAATCGGGTCAATCTCTTTCAACAACACATCTCTTCGATCCCTATAAATTGGATTTTCAATAAACCCACAAATTTATACAACAAAAGATCTTACAAATTCCCAACATTGATTAAAGAGGCTACCATTAGGTCTCTTTTTTCTTCTTTCTTCTCTCTCATATTAGATTTGGTTTGAGTTATCTTTTATTCAATTTGAGTGTTGTTTTCTATTTGTTACATTGAGACTGTGCCGGCAGAGAACGGAGGCGGCCATGGTGAGGGAAAGGGTTGTTGGTGGTGCAGAAAATAGATGTAAAAAGTAATACATTTAAGCAAACAAAGAACATGCTGACGGAATTCGATTCGAGATATGTTCAATGTTTACTTTATTATGCCTTGTGTTGTCTGTTATCTTTTGCAGAAATAGATTTGCATAAATAGATTGATGGTAGTGAGAACAGAAATGTGAGGACAGAAATGGAATTTTGAATTATTTCTAATTTCAGTACACATTTGAACCAAGCACTCAAAAATGGAGAAGAAAATGAAGTTTTGACACCCATTAACCTTTGTTTGGAATGAATATCATTTTTTATGATTCTCAAACCCATAGCCTTTGTTGAACCAGGCACCTTCTAAGTTTTGCTTTGCGGGTATATAAAAAAAAATACTCCCTCCATTCCATAATTATTGTCCACTTTGCCCTAAAAATTTTGTCCCAAAATTATTGTCTAATTTGATTTTTTATGGATAAGTTACACACTTGTCCTTAGTAAAAAACATTATCCATAAAATCTTAGTGGTTAAACAATAACTTATATATGGTATATCCGGTTGTTTAAGATAAAATATAGTTAAGTTTGACAAAAAATAAAATCTTTCATTTTAGGAACTAGACAATAATTATGGGATAGAGGGAGTAAAAAGAAATAAAATTGAGGACTAATTGACTGGAACTTGCAATATAATTGGCCTTCTCTTTCGCAAACAAAACAATTGACCTTTGTAGAGTTATTACCAGGCAAATGTCGAAATCCTCTGCTCTTCTCCACTGCCTCAAACAGTAACTCCGTCAATCCTTTCCGTCTCTTTTTTCACACATTCACACACCTCGCGTGGAGTAGTACATAAATTTTGGCTGTAATTGCTTATTTAACGACACATACTTTTGTTTGTCTTACAATGGTTGCAGATTGTCGGAAACATTTGCGGACCAGCTCTCGAAATCGCAATACGCTCCTCCTTCCGGCGCCAACTTCTCCGTTAAGTCTCTTCTCCTCTCTCTTCTTCAGCCATCAAAAACCAACCCATCAGACCAATCTCTCGAAGCTGTTCGGCCCTTAATCACAGACTTTATTTTATGCTTTGCCGCTTTGTTATCTTCATCCGATTCGACCTCTGAACACCTTTCATGGATACCGAGGTCTCTTTCTTCCGCCGCCTCTTCCGCTTTCACAGAGTTATCCAATGCTTATCGTGACAGTTTTGATACTGGGAAGGAGCTAATTAAGATAGGCGAGGTGGAATTAGAGGTGGATGTGAAATTTGTTTCCAGTGAGAAGAGATTATTGATTGAGTTTATGCCTCTGCTTCTGCCTTTGTTGAAAGATAAAATAAAAGAGAGTTCGATTGATACGGCTGATGATATTTCGGCTGCTAGCGCTGGGGTTCCGGCGGCATATGCGATCGTGGCTGCTCACCAGCTCCGATGGATTGTCACTCAGGTTGAAGCCCTCATTTTTTTTCTTTTTCTTTTTCCCTTTTTGGGGTGAAAACTGGTTTTTCAATTCAATGTGGCTGTGGGTTTTTCTATACCATGCAGGTGGATTATCCTTACTTGGGAAAGCTCTGTTCTTTGGTGATCCCTTGCGCATTAACGGCTCTAGACCACTGGTCCCCTGAAGTCAAGGTCTGTGTAAGAGTGTTTGGTTCCCCTTTTCATTTCAACACTTGTTGGGTAATTTGTGGTTGCGTCATTATACTTTTTTGGATTTTTTATTTTTTATTTTTATATTCTTGTGTTCTTCAATTACAGAAGTAATCTGAAAATATGTCCTATTACCTTTTCATCTGATCACTCCTGCTTATTTTGCTATTGCCATGATCCGGATAGATCCGGATACTTAGTCATTGGCCTTCTGTGAAGTTCAGAGTAGGAGAAAAGAAACTGTTTGATGGACTAGTTAAATTCCTCTTTCTTGCTAATTGGAATCATTTGCTGAACTATTAATTTGACAGGTCAGTATGTTAAAGATTACTAGGCTGAGGATAAAAGTACCATGCCTTATTAATTTTCCCTGGTTGATATTTTTCCATCAGTGTATGTACCTAGAAGTGAAGCTTATCCAAATTATATAAGTACAAGTTTTACTTTCTAGGGTGTTCATTATCTTAAATTCCTTTTTTTTTTTTTCCTGAAAAAAGCCTTTAGACAGTTAATACTTGTCTGTTAGTCATGTTTATTAGTCTGTTCTGGCTGTCATTTGCGTATCATCTACTGAACTCATCAATCTTTGTCTTCATGCTCTCATTTCCTGTACCATTACTATTTTTTTTTTCGTTAACTTAGTATAATAATCCGTCTTTAGCTACTATATTGGTGTATTATCCCATGGACTCTGGAGCCTCATGAGATGCACATCTTAATTCTATGTTATTCTGATATCCATGTATAATTTACCTTGTGTGTTTGTTTTATTTCTGTGGAAGTTGCGTACTTTGGTTCTGAAAATATAGTTTTATGTATTTTCGTGGAGTTCAGCTCATGCACCTGCATTGATAATGATTAAACTCACATATGTATGTGGGGTTTCTTTTATCTTAGTTGTGTGGCTTACATATTTTGCTTGTTACAGGGGCAGGGAATGGTCAGCTTTATTCATCTTGCAAGAAATGTCAATGCCGCAGAAATCAGTTGGTATGAAGACGTAATTCTTGATGCTTGCTGCCAAAATGTTGCTTCAAGTGAAGAGATATGGAATCATGTGGTTGAGATGTCAGTACTTCTTGTGACTTTCACCCAACGAAGTAATCCTCGTAGCTCATGGTATTATCTATTCATATGGTATTTGTTGGGCTATGCCCTCAATTGCAGTAATTTCTAGTCTAAACTACTCTGAGTTCAAGATCATTTCTTTTCACTGTAAACATGATGCTTAGATAGAAGTTACATTGTAATGATTGTAGTGATGATAACTATGATGATTTCTCCTCCCATTCTGTTGTTTAAAAACCAGTAGAAGATAATTCTGAAGAATATGCTACTTCTGATAGGCTTTAGAGTTTTTCATGTACAACTTTGGGTAAATGATGTCAAGACATCATGTCTTTACCTGATAAGACTAACCCTTTCAATCAAGAGTTGGTGCAGTTGTTTCAATCACTTTTCCCCCCGTGAAATATAGGTATGAGAAGCTGCTCAACGAGATGCTAAATCACTTGGAAAGACAACCGCGGAATAAGGAGCGTCGAGTTGTATGGCTTAAATACATTGAACCATTTTTAAATGGCATGGGTCTCATATTAGTAGCTCATTTTAGACGTATATTTCCTCTCTTCTTCCGGTGGATGCATGCCGATGATGATGAAACGGTGATACTTGTAAGAAGTTATGCTTCTTGAGAAGCAGGAACCCTATCATGGAGACTTTGATTCTTCATTTCTTCTTTTTTGGCTAAGATTGTGATCAAGTCAATGATGTTTGTCCTCTGATTAGGTTCTTGAAAGAATCCAGACAATTTTGAAGCTCACGTGGATTAGGCAATCCACATACATTGAGAGGTGAGTCTTTCTCTTCATCTGGACCCTAAGATTGGATACGTAAGTGACATTAATATGCATCAGGGAGAAGATTTCACTTCTATTCAAATTCTTTTCTCTTTTTCTTTTTTCTGTATTTTATATTTGCACATTTGTTTCAAGGTTGGCACTAGGGACTGTTCAACAGTTGTAGGAGCAAGTTCAAACTTAACTGTTCAAGACTTCATTGTATATTGCCTCGTGGATTTCAAATTTAACAAATGGCTTTTCTTTACTGATATGACAATCTGAAGTCAATTCAAAGAGTAATCAACTCTAATGATATTGAACCCTGGTGTTTTTTCTTTGGAAGCTCTTCTCTCCCCTTCTACTATTGTGCAGCCATCACATGTTTCCGGTGTTTTGAATCATGGCTTCCAGGTTGGTGGATGAGCTAGTGATCTTGTACAAAGAGTCTGCACTGAAAGTTTCTCGTGAAGATATCAGAGCATTATGCCTTAATATACTAACTTTAATCCAGCAGTAAGTATACACGCAACTTGTCATTTTACATTACATGGAGCACACTGCTATATCTTTTGATGTTGATGAAGTATTCATGTTTGATGTTGCTATACAACAAGATCCAAGGGTTCACAGTTTGAAGCGGTATGGAAGAAGCATAGCGAGGATCCTGACGTGACTGAATTTCGTGAACTGTTTTCCAGAAAGGTTACGGTATCATAGAGTTTCTCGTGACTTGATTGAAATTAACACTGGTTCTGCGACATCTTTGAAGTCTTGTTAGCTGATGTTTAGAAGTTAGCTGTTTCTAACGGTTTGGTTAGTATAGGTTGTTCAGAGTTTTGACAAAATTTGTTCCTTGAAGAGAACCAATTGAGTTCAAGAATAACTGGTCATGGTTGATTACAGATTAGGTCCGTACTATATGGGTTTTTATTTTGATTTTCTACATGTTTATGATAAATAGGAATACTATTTCTCTTCCTGTGAACATGAATAGTATCTGAATTTTGTTGAACGTATGAGAAGACACAACGATGTCTAGGTTGCTTGATGATAAATTGACATGAGAAGATAGTTACGGAAACAAATCGCGCAGCTGTGTTGCAAGTTTAAAAAAAATTTCTGATTTAGTAAATAAATGCCATTGATCAACCAAAATCTTGTTTGAGCCCTAAAGTTCTCCGGGTTCTCTATAATGCGGGAGATTCGGTTGAAACAAAACCTTGTTTGCAGGGGTGTATAGGAAAAAGTGTGAAACATATGAAGCTAAAAGGACTTTTTCAAAAAACAGAACAAAAAAATAAAAAATTGAAGCTAAAAGGAGAAAGCAGGAAAGCCATGTGGTGTCTCTGGGGAAGAACAATGATGCAGGAACAGAGTCGTCCATATTACAAACAATTGCAAGAACGTAAACCTCAAAATGCATTAGAAAAGCAGGCAAAACGAAGAAACTGTAAACCCCTAGCTGCCATACTTTCATGCATCAATTTTCAGTGAATACTGTGTGATCTTCCAAGCAAGAGAACAAGCTAATTGTTTGGTGATCACGAGATAATCCAACTACAACTTAAACCTTAACAGTAGCTTAGAATAAGCAGCTACTTCTCCTCCAAATACTCTGATTAATAAGCTCAAATTGCATCTACTGTGGCTCTGCATTGAACTAGTAATACAAAACTAGAAGCTGGACAGGATTAAAACTTCACCTTGCTGACCATTACAATGGTGCTACAATTTCAGAATTCCACCCCACACAAACAAGGAAGGGACAGAAGATCATTAAACACTGAGCCGTATAAGAAAACTAGTCGAATGATCCATATAAACATGCCCAAATCATAACACCCATACCGGCAAATGCTTCTAATTTGATAGTAAAAGACTAAAAGTAGCACAGGAAAAGAACAGAGTGCAGATGCAAGGAATATCAAGAGCTTTTGAATTTGCCCATCGTATCAGCAGAAGAAACAACAGAATGTCACTAAAACATACGCCTAGCATAACTCCGATCAATCTCTATCTTAAGGGGAAAAATGACAGGGGAAAAGCATATCTCAGTACTACATTTCGAGGATCCTTTCAACAGGTAAATGCATCTTCATCACATATACTAACTTTACTTTCTGGTTCAGAGTATCTGCCGCTATTCAGAATTTACCACCTGCAATTTAGCACAAAGAGCATAATCAGAAGCATTTCAATGAAGGAACTAATTAATGAATTATGATACAGAAGCTGAGAAGCACTCACAATAACTAAAACATCGACTAACATCTAAACATGGAGAAAACAAAATTGAAGAAAGAAGAGGATCAACTTGTAACCCACGATAATACTTACAAATTTGTGAAGCAATTGCGAGTGTCAGACTGATTCACAGGGTCAACGAAACAAAAATCCCCATCAGAAACGGAAGGACAAGATCGACCAAGAGCGAATTCCCATAGATTCCAAGGTTTCCACGTCCAAAAGCTCTGGCTGAACCGGAGAAGTCAATACTGAATTTCTTAGTCATATTTGGATACAGAATTCCCCACATCTCAGTCCGATTGCTGTTGATCACATCAGAAGCCTCATCGAACAATTCATAAACGTAAACTTCAGCCAGACCATCCTTCCTCAGTGGAGTACCAAGCCCAGACTTCAAATGCGAGATTAACCCCTTCAAGTAAATCTGAGCAAAAGCAGGACTAACCTCAGAACCATCCCCATCCTCACCGGCGCTAGGCCATCCGGTTTGAGTCACAATCATCGGAATATTTTGGTGCCCGAAGTTAGCCAACGCAGCGATCACTCCGTCAACCATCATGTCAAACAAGTTCCTATAACGGGCTCCAGTTATAGCATCATCCCGGAAGTTGTAGGGGATATCCTGAAACAGAGCAAACCCAACTGGGATCTCAGAGCGGAGCTTGTAGACGTTGAAAGGATGAATATCAATGAGGAAAGAGGAATTATTCTCGTCCAGGAACTGTAAAACTGGTTTGATGAGTAGATTGTTGATGGGTTCCTGGAATTCGGCGGAGGAGGGTGGGAATGTGGTGGTGATGATGCTGATGTAGGAGAAGGTGGTGGAAACGGGTATGGTTCTGATGCCCAGAACATAAAGTGACTGCTGGAGATTGCGCATGGCCGGAATGAGGAGAGTGGAAGGGTCGGTGGTGGGGTCTAACATGGAAGGAAGGGAAGAAACGACATCAGAACCGAGGGAGATGAGGGAAATGCGAGCCCGGGGATGGAAAGGGAGGACGTAAGTGTAAACCCATTGGGTGGCGGAGGAGATGTTGGCGGCGAAGGAGGAGATCAAGTCGTTTGGGATGGTGAGGAGGAGGGAGATGTTGGAGTAGGAAAAGGCTCGTATGGCGGCCGGAGTTGGGTTGAGAAGGTGGACGGAGGAGACATGGAGGTGGGAAAGGAGGGTGGAGGCGACTTGCTCAGGTGTTGGGAGGTTGTTGGTGGTGGCGGAAGGGTTGTAAGTAACTCCAATGGTGGTGGTGTTAGCTGTGGAGGTTACCAAGGAGAGGATAGAGAGAGCAATAATCTTCAGTGAGAAGAGATTCATGGTGTACTGTGCGTGTGCGTGGGTGTGTGTATGTTTCTTTCTGCTGGATAACTAACTGAATGAAGGAATATTATGTATACAAAATACAGGGGAAGTTTTATGTATGACAGAAATGATGGATGGCAATCTGTTAGGAGAGACGGTGCATTAGTCGTGCCATTGTAAGTGCACTGTGTGACTGTGTGTGGCAATGTTGGTTACGTGGAATTTGACTCTTCGGTTTTTCATTTAGGCGCCACTTAGCAGTGAAATTCGGAGCCTTCCTAAGGAAAGATTTCCGCTGTCAAATTGGGCTCTTCATTTCTGCAATCTGCATTGCTCCATAGCCTGCATTTTCCTTTTTCCTTTTCGAGCCATGTATCTGTTGGATTTGCATTTCATCTTTTGGATGCAATTTCACTTTAGTGGGTTATTCGTCTTTGTTTCGATTTGGTATAACCATTAGTTCAGCTCTTAACTCATTGACGAACTTTGAAATTCATAACAATCTGATTGTATCAAACATGTATTGCCATTTGCTCTGAGCCAATTGTTCATCACTGTGTAATATTACAGAAAAGAATGCGGCTTCATTTGAAGCCTAATTGCAAAAGCCTGAATTAACAGACTTCAATGCCTGTACATCACAAAATTGACCATGGCTAAACATACACACCATGCTTTACATACTTCAGTTCTATATACTGTATAGGAGGCATTTTCTGAGTGACCAATCAACGGGGAGTGAATTGATCAGCGTCGTTGATATGAATACAATGGGTATTGACATACAAAATTGGATATACACAGGGTATGAAGCAGCAGGTATGACATTTGAATCACTTCCGGGCAAAACAACGGCTGTTTTCACACTTCATCTGTAAAGACATGATGCTCTCTCTTACTGATCCACATAATGTTGGGAAGCTTAAAATTGAGTCCCCTCATGATCGGCCCTGCAACAAAATCCATCTGGCTGCTAATTGCTCCTACAATGCGAAAACCTTGTTTTTGAATGGCGGTCTTCTTTCTGGAGATATATTCTTGGCTATCCAGTGGCATTTCATCATCAACTCTGCAGTAATAATTAACATAACCCATTCAGCTTTGAAGCAAACTTCATTCAGTAGGATCGTAAAAGCAAAGGTGCTAAATATTAACCGGGATTTATTACTAGAAGATCAGAGTAGCTAATCTATAAAGTATCGAACAGTTCAGATTGTAAAGCAAACTAGAGGGAAACCCTCAAGATTCTAGACCTAAAGTTAATGTACATAATCTTCCTCTAGCACTAGCAATGGGACTAAGGATAAATCAATTTCATATGTAACGTGCTGTGAACTCTGATACTCTTGTGTCTGCAGTCAAATCTTAAGGAAGGACAGAAGTGAGAATTCGACAATACAAACTTGTTCTCTTAAGTGCATCAGTAACGCAGAGAAGTTAAAAAACAACACCATACCTCATGATCAATGATGACCATCCATTGCATCCAACTGAGTTAAGGTACTCCACCATTGTGTTCCTAAATCTCTCATGTTTCCTTGACAACAAAATCAAATTCCACCCACCGTCTCGTAGTTTCACATATAAAGTTTGAACGCTCATCTGTTTCACATGCCTTGCATCCATGCCATTAGCACTGGTATTACGCTTGAATCTACACAAACGAAAGCAATATTGTCATTTTATCAAACTATATCAGTGCTCAAACCCTAAAGATTTGAATCTGGTTTCCCAAAATGGATAATAGAAAATTTGATCATTATATTAGGTTGGGAACCATCAACAGCATAAGGAGCACAAAAGGAAAATGAAACTACCTGGGAAACGATAACCCATCAATAGAAAAGAATTCTGAAGGAAACAGATCATCCACATCCATCAATACAACATCTTGACCATCATCTCCAGGTGTGACATTACTGAAATGGATCTCGACCATCCTCAAACTATCATTTAGCTGTCTCAAGTAATGTCCATCTCGAATATTTTGAAGCACCATTTCCTTGCAAGGTGAAGGTAAAGAGCTTGAATCCAGATTGTTGAGCTCCACATGAAAAGCTAAAATCCTACAATACTCAGAATTCTCAGCCCATTTTTGCATCTCCACAACACCAGCATTTTGACTCTGGCAATCTTGTAACATCACAATAAGTGCAATAAGCAGTGTCATTACGGAGACACCAACTGTGACAAGCCCACCAATGAAGACAGTAGCAGCAAACGATGACATGTAAACACCCATCTCTAGTGTGGACTGACTTTCATTTTCTGCACCAGAGAGAAGCAAATTAGTAGCTCAGTTAGTCGACAACATCTGTAAGAACAAACTGCAAAATTTCAGTTAGGCTTATTCCAAGTTTATAACAAACACTGTCCCTCTTGAACCTATATAGATCCTTTTTAACTGCCTTTTTTCAAGTTTTTGGATGCAAGTACATCTGTTTAGAACAATTTTATGGATCAAGCTGAACTTTTATATTTTGGGCCATGTCTAACCCTTGTAGCTAACACCAAATCCTCACTGAAGACTCAGTACTTCATAATGTCACATAACTCAATAGTTTTTATGAAACAGCTGAAAGTTAAATTGTAAGACCATTGAGACTTGGGCGAAGATCAAGAGTAAAAGAATTCATACCCGAACCACCTCTGATCAAAAGGTTCTGACCCGAAAATTCACGCTCCATTTGATGGCCATATGCAGACATTGTTGTGGGATCTCTAGAAAACAGGAAGCTGCCACTAATGATTTACCTGCATCAAGATCCAGCTTCTAAACATAAGCCTATCAAGACTGAGAACAAACCCAAGTCCAAACAGAGAAAAATCATAAGAGAACAAACAGCCCAGCATCAGATTCTTTAAAGTATATGGAATAAATCAAATCAGTGTGAAATTGCAATCGTAAGAAATGGAATCATCAATCAGTATCCATCATTGAAATCACAAAGAAAAGGTTCAATCTATCAGAAGATCAACAGTAAACCGAAACAGGAAAAAAAAAAAAAAAAAGGTAGTCAGACTGGACAGCAGTAACAGATAGGAAAGAAGGAGCAATAAATACAAATATTAAAGACCTGGAATCGGCGGCCATGTTCTGGAACGGAAAGAAAGTCCTCTTCATCTACGTTTCTCGTCCCAAAGAAATCGGATTGAGTTGTTCATCATAGTCACTGAATCGAACGGAATCTTCATGATGATGATGGAAGGATTCCTAGCTGACGCGCAACACCTGCGTAATACATTTATCCAAACGAATAATTTGTTTGATGGAGCCCACTCCCACCTCCAACTGGCGTCCTATTATTTTTCCGGTAAACAAAAGTAACACAACTTTTTGTACTGCAGTCCTCAAAATGGAAATGCGAATTAACGGCGCATTGACTGAGAGGATTTTTTTACATGGTTTATTTATGTTGCACTTATTAGATTGCAGTTTAATTTTTTAGAATGAATATTGCACTTTAATTAAAAATGAGCAGACAGTACATATTTCTAAGACCCATGCATATACTATTTATTAATTAGTATTTTGGACAGAAGGAGTACCATTTCTTAATTTAGCTACGAAAAGTATGTCTAATTTTGGTTTTTCTCTTTGATTTGAAAATGTCGAGTCTTTTATATTGTAGGGAAGATAGTTTGTGACTTTGTGTAGTGTAAAATAACAGGTGTATATATGCATAGAATGGATGGATGGATATGGATATGAGGATATGGATGTGAGCCACAAATGGTGTGAGCGATGGGTAATTAAAACTCAATTCAGTCCACAATATTTTAGCCTATCTTTTTAGTGTCCATTCCCTGAAGAAGAAGAAAAAAAAAAAAAAAATATCAGTTAGAGGCTGACAGTAGTCTCTACTCTACTAGCAAAACCCAAAAGAAAAAAAAACTCAAGCTTGAATCATCAATTCACAGTGATAATGGAGACCGGATTGGCTCGTTGTCATGGCGGAGCACTTCTCCCCAAAGCTTCTTCCCAGCGTTCAACTGGGCTTGTCTCCCCAAGTTTTGTTTCTCCTTCATTCAGCTCCAGAGTATGTCATCATCTTCTTCTTCAGGCTGCCATTTTTGGTATTGCTTTAAGTTTAACCCTTTTTCTTAACTCATGATTTTATTAAATGCTGGCAGAGTCTGAAATCTAGCTCATTGTTCGGGGAATCCTTGCGCGGGTTGCCGGTAAGATCATCACTTAAGGCTTCCAGGTCGTCCAAGAACTCGACTTCCCTGGTGACTAAATGCGAGATTGGTGACAGTCTGGTGAGTTGATGAAGTTTGAACGAACTTCACTGAATCATGTTGATTTGAAATTATGTGTTTTTGTTACTCATAATTGTAATGTAGGAGGAGTTTCTCACAAAGGCAACCCCAGATAAGGGACTAATTAGGCTGCTGATGTGCATGGGAGAAGCCTTGAGAACTATTGCCTTTAAAGTCAGAACAGCTTCTTGTGGTGGAACTGCTTGCGTCAATTCTTTTGGTGATGAACAGCTCGCTGTTGATTTGCTTGCCAACAAACTTCTCTTTGAGGTACCAGCTGCTTTTATTGTAATAGAAACCAGAGCTTATCTACCAAATATTTTCCACTTCCCGGAGTTTTGATTTTGATTGCTCACAAAGATCATATAATTAAAGATCGTAATCCCTTAATCCTTGTACAGTTTTGAAAGCGTACTATTCATTTGCTGTAGGCCTTGAAGTACTCTCACTCCTGCAAATATGCTTGTTCAGAGGAAATTCCTGAGCTTCAAGACATGGAAGGTCCTGCTGAAGGTTAGAAAAAGGCGCAGTTAAAAAACGTTTCCTTATAACTCTGATTATTTCTGGATGGGATTGACGATGATTGGAAATCTAATCATAGCTCCATTATGTATGGCCAGGAGGATTTAGTGTTGCTTTTGACCCTCTTGATGGTTCCAGCATTGTGGACACAAACTTCACCGTGGGCACCATTTTTGGAGTGTGGCCTGGAGACAAACTAACTGGGGTGACCGGAAGAGACCAAGTGGCTGCAGCCATGGGGATATTCGGACCTCGGACGACATATGTTCTAGCTCTTAAAGATTGTCCAGGGACCCATGAATTTCTTCTCCTTGATGAAGGTATGCCTATCTGTTTTTAGACGGGTTTTTTTACTGTCTCCTTGTCATTTAGGCCTTTAAGCAAACATTGGTCTGATGATATGCTCAGGTAAAAATCTTTCAATTTCCAATATTGATATGTACCCTGCGTTTGATTCCAGGAAAATGGCAACATGTCAAAGATACAACTGAGATTGGAGAAGGCAAAATGTTCTCTCCTGGAAACTTGAGGGCTACATTTGACAATCCTGACTATGCCAAGGTATCAGAATCACTATATTCTGAACTTCCCTTTGTTTCTTACAATGCAGAAATGGTTATGTGGATATATGATTGACAATGAACTGGCACATTGATCTTTGATTCTCAAATACAGCTGATTGACTACTATGTCAAAGAGAAATACACCTTGAGATACACTGGAGGAATGGTGCCTGATGTAAACCAGGTCCTTACATCATCCTCATAACTTCCCTTTTTATATGATGAAGACTGCAGCTTTAACATGCTTTCATTTTGCCAAATCTTGCAGATCATTGTGAAAGAAAAGGGAATATTTACAAATGTGACATCCCCTACAGCCAAGGCCAAGCTGAGACTGCTATTTGAAGTTGCTCCCTTGGGATTCTTGATCGAGAAAGCCGGTGGATACAGCAGTGACGGAAAACAGTCTGTGCTGGACAAGGTTATTGAAAACCTTGACGACAGAACTCAAGTGGCGTATGGATCTAAAAATGAGATCATTCGATTTGAGGAAACTCTATATGGATCCTCCAGGCTCAAGGCTCCTGAACCAGTTGGAGCTGCTGCTTGAGTGATTCCTGAGCATGGTCACGCGTAAGTTTCTGAGTTTTAGGCGCTTCAAGCAATATACAGAAGTTAATGAAATGATTGATCATGTAAACAGAATGTTACGGCAATGTAGTATATTTTGTCTTCCTTTTCACTCAGGTTGTAACGTATTCACTTGGCCTCTTTTCCCAAGTTCGTATATTATCAACCTCAAATCACCCTGCTTTGTCTAATTCAGCTGTTGTAAAGAAGTAGAAACCGAGTCGCAATCAATTGGAGTTATTTGTGCTAGTATCAACCGTTGGAATGATGTTTAAGGATGAATTTTGGTTCTCACATTGGAGGAAGAATCATTTTAAAAAAGACACTCACATTCGTAATTCTATCTTCGTGATTCTCGAGTATAAGCAAAGTCATCTATTACATGCCTGAGCAGCATAGTGATCATCTAATAAAAAGATGCTAATCTGGTTGTCCGCCTAGTATTATCCAAAACTTGCCTACCTAAGACAATCCAAAGAATTGCATTGTTTATAACAGCTACTAGAAGACCTTTCACATTGTCAATCTTCTCTCAGACAGCCCTGCTCGATCAATAAGAGCTCACAATTTGCAAATTGTTAATCTTCGTTCAAGGTGGAAAGATTTGCTGATTTCTCCATAGAAACTAGTCTAGCAGACTGAGAGATGGAGGAGAAAACATACATGGTACATACGTGCAGAGGTCTAAGTGGTCATTTCTGTATCCGATCATAATTATATATCTTTTTGTTTTATCTGCAATCTGGACTAAAACACTCAAAACTGTTTTAACTTTTCCAGCCCAAATCCGAGTCCGGAAAGGCCAAAAAATGGCGGGGATCAGTCGGAGGAGTTGTCGATGTACCAATCGATAAAGTGTGGACAATAGTGTCGAAAAGTCGTAGATTACACGAATGGATGCCAATGGTAGAAAGATGCACAGATTTGGGTGGAGAAGAAGGGGTTCCAGGATATGTAAGGCTAGTTTCCGGGTTCATGTTTCCTCAAGAACATGGAGATAGATCCTGGATCAAGGAAAAACTTGTTTCCATGGACACTTCAAACTACCGTTACGTTTACAAAATGGAAGCCAGCAACGTGGGATTGGATGGGTCTGTGAATTCATTGAGGCTTGTGGATTATGGAGATGATTCCACCCTTATTGATTGGTCATTTGAGATTGATCCTGTGGCGGGTGCATCAGAGGAATACACCATAGATTACTTAGCTTTTCTGTATAAATCCTGTATTTATAGGATTGGGCGGACGTAGTATAGCGGCCCGGAGAAGCCCGAGCACGCCCAACAGCCAGAATTTTAATTTTTTTTTTTTTTGTAATAGATTTACTTTGATCATCTACAAAGCACGTCCAAAAATATGTGTTTTCTCATGTAAAACTTCAATTTTATAGTTATTTGTTTTGTTGGGTAAGTATTATTAAGAAAAAAATTTCCCGAGATATAAGCGAGTACATGCAGGTAAAAGTTTCTAGATCCGCCACCGGGGCCCTTGAAGTTTCCTTCCCCGGAGCAGACCTGAATCATGCACGTTGAAAGATAGTCTGCCCTCCCTCCGAATGTCTGTACACAATGTAATGTGTTGATCGTATATATCATTGACTTAAAGTGAATAAATATTAATGAAATTGTATATATTCCATCCATCCCAAAATGATTGTCTAGTTTGGATTTTTACTTTTAGTATAATTTAAACAAAAAATGAAATCCAAACTGGACAGTCATTTCGAGACAGAGAGATTATTATTTAAACAAAAAATTCATTATAAAAAAAATGGTTAGGGAAATCGACGTCCAAATCAAAAATAAATTGTATTGTAATAATTTCGTACTTGGTCCACTTTCCTATTCGTCAAGAAAACTTCCCACTCAATCTTACCATAATTGGTGTATATTTTCATGCATAAATTATTTAATCAGCTTTTGAAACTATGGTAGTTCAATAAAAGATAAAGTTGTTCTTAAGAACTTTTAGTTCTTATGAATTTAATTAAAACGTATAGATTATTATTCTAAAAATAAATTAAATTTTATATTTACAATGAAAATATTTTTAAAAAATAAAATACTCTTAATTCATAAAAATATTCTAAGCAAAATAAAACAGAAAATTCAAAAACTATTACGTCGACTTTATCGTCGGTTTATTTAACCGGACAGAAAAGTCGACGCATTCTATTTCTACCCCCAAAAAAAAAAAAATGTCCTGCCGACTTTTTTTGGTATGTTTAAGAAAACCGACGAGGAAGAAGCCAAAGTTAGAGTAGAAAGTAAACCATTAGAAACAGATTTCTGTTATGGATTGCTGCATATATAATCAATGGTTCATCTTATCGATATAGTTTGGAAGGGTTCGAAAAAAGACTGTTGAGAAAGCCTCTCTGCCTATGTGCCATGATGCATCTACTGTATATGACTTCCCAATTTTCCTCCTTCATACTGGAGTCTGGAGATGGAGTTAATTTGGTAGAGGTACGTAGTTGTTAAAAATACAATAATGCTAAATATTAGTATTACATAATTGGGTTTTTGTTGGATTTCTTCCTGTAAGAAATTCAATCCATTACGTTTGGTTCCTTTTTTTTTTTTTGTGGGTGCTGATGATTCTCCAAATCCCCAGATTTTAGTGAAATTTGGTGGTTGAACAATCGAACATGAGGCATGTCATTTCCTAGTCCCAAATAGGAAAGTAAAAGGGAGTGGTGCGCTGTTACTACTTAATCCCACATCTAATCCTTCATCTAATCCCTTTTTTAAGGCATTCTAGCGACATTTTTACCTGAAATTTTCTTATCATTGACAAGTATCGGTCAACTAATGAATTTTGTTTTTTTTTTGTTAATCCCAGATTCGATACTGAAACAAACACCATCATGAACAAAACGACCATCGTTTTCTGTAGTGAATAATTGAATTCATACGCTTCTGGAAGACAACAGTTGATATCCTGCCACAATTTTCAGTTACCTACTTAGTACTTCGTACTTGCTTATTCTAGATACCATACATCATGATGAAATGTATGAAAATTTGACAATGTTTGAGATAATCACAAGAAAATTCAGGTTTCATCACCCTGATGCAACTTAATGATTCAAATGGTTTAATGTTTCAAGAATAACTGGAAACTCTAATGTGCTTGGACCAAAGGAATGATCATGATGAAGACCATTTCTCTGTAAGTTAGTAGTCTTTGTTGGCGTGACTAGTAAACACTCATAATCAGGAAGAAAATATACAGGGCAGAAGTATGTATCAAGCAGCTGCCTGGATACTCTTAAAAACTGTTAACATCAGTTGCAGTCAAATATTGAGAAGATTTAGAATGGTGATTTGTATCTCTAATCTATATACATAAGTATACATATTTGGGCACACATATTATGTAAAACCACTTTATGTAATGTGCAAGAAAGCTCTTGAAAAATGCACGTCTTGGATTACTTAATACTCACCTAACTAGTTAAAACGACACAGCATCAAAAGAACAATCTCTGCTCCTCTTATAATGCTACAGGCGTTCAATGGTCTTTAGCTCGTGAAAAACAGCAGAACTTTCGAATTGTAAACACAGACATTTAAAGAAGGGTGAGGGAAAGAAAAAAAAAAAAAGCCATGCAGAAGATGGCATTTTGGTTTCGGATTCTACCCCTGCTTGCAGTTTCATTAGTCCTTCCCCTTTCAGTTCAGTCCATTCAGCGTCACTACAAGTTCAATGTAAGTTTATTTTGAAAGCCGCCGATCCCGACAAGAACAATGCATATAGCTTTACTGAGAAAACATTCTATTTGATTTCTATGAAACTGGATTATTAGTTACTTACTTCAAGCCAGCTTATAATTACATAAACTACTGACCCTTTGGGAGCTTAATATTTTATGTGCAAAATCATCTTGTAAACAGGTGGTGATGAGGAACAAAACAAGGCTTTGTGCAACTAAGTCCATTGTCACTGTCAATGGGAAGTTTCCAGGGCCAACTCTCTACGCAAGAGAGGATGACAATGTCATAGTGAAGGTCGTCAATCATGTTCAACAAAACGTAACCATTCATTGGTATGATGATGATAAAGCATCCATCTTGGAGATTAGCTGATTTCTGAAGCATGCGAATTTGATTAATTTATGGTGACCTTTCATTCTTAAAATGACCATTTTCAGGCATGGAGTTCGACAATTTAGGACAGGTTGGTCAGATGGACCTGCATATATAACCCAATGTCCGATACAACCAGGGCAGAGCTATATCTACAACTTCACGCTCATGGGGCAAAGAGGGACACTTCTTTGGCATGCACATGTTAATTGGCTCAGAGCAACTGTCCATGGTGCCATTGTCATCCTTCCAAAACCTGGAGTTCCTTATCCATTCCCTAAACCTGATAACGAGGAAATCATAGTATTAGGTGACCTAACGATTTCGTGTTATCTGTTAAATTTCTAACTGCCCTGCATAAATGAAATGAACCCATCAAAAAAAAAAAATCTAATGAATATGGAACCAAACAAAATGCAGGGGAATGGTGGAAATCCGATGTAGAAGCTGTAATCAATCAGGCAATGCAATTAGGTATGCCACCTAATGTGTCTGATGCTCATTCCATCAATGGTCACACTGGACCTGCTCCAAATTGCTCTGCTAAAGGTACTGATTTTTACTACTGATTTTGTCAAAATCCATTTTTCTTGATTGTCTCGCTGACTGAAAATAATGTAAAAAAATGCAGGTTACACCTTACATGTTGAAACTGGAAAGACGTATTTACTGAGGATTATTAATGCAGCACTAAACGAGGAGCTGTTTTTCAAGATTGCTGGACACAATTTAACCGTGGTCGAGGTTGATGCTACTTATACAAAGCCCTTTAAAACTGATACCATTTTCATCGGTCCAGGCCAAACCACAAATGCCCTGTTAACAGCAGACCAGAATCCTGGAAAATATATCATAGCAGCTTCTCCATTCATGGACACTATTGTGGCCACTGATAATCAGACCACAACCGGCACTGTCCGATACAACGGCACGGCTGCATTTTCACCGACGGCTCTTACGAGCATTCCACCCCGAAATGCAACTCCAGTGACAACCAGTTTCCTGGATTCGCTTCGATCCCTGAATTCCAAAGCTTATCCGGCTAATGTTCCATTGACAATTGATCATTCCCTACTTTTCTCAATCGGAGTCGGGGTGAATCCTTGTTCAACATGCCTAAATGGAAGCCGGGTTGTGGCAGATATTAATAATGTAACATTTGTGATGCCAACTACAGCTCTGCTTCAAGCACATTACTATGGCATAAGTGGAGTTTACAGTGAAGATTTTCCAGGAAACCCTCCAATGCCGTTCAATTACACCGGTACTCCACCGACAAATTTGCAGACTACAAATGGAACTAAGGTTTACAAATTGGGATTTAATTCTACAGTCCAGTTAGTGTTCCAGGGCACTAATATAATTGCACCAGAAAGCCATCCCACTCACCTACATGGCTTTAATTTCTTCGTGGTTGGTAAAGGGGTAGGGAATTTTGATCCCATAAATGACCCAAGGAAGTTCAATCTTGTTGATCCTGTTGAAAGAAACACTGTCAGTGTCCCAACTGGTGGATGGACTGCAATCAGATTCAGGGCAGACAATCCAGGTACTAACAGACTTATCTTTTTTCCTGAAAAAGAAAAAAAAAATGCAATTATTGGTTTAAAACCATTGTCCCCTTTATCTTGTGGTATATAGGTGTTTGGTTTATGCATTGTCATCTAGAAGTACATACAACCTGGGGGCTGAAGATGGCATTTTTGGTGGAAAATGGTAAAGGGCCGAATGAATCAATATTGCCACCTCCAAGTGACCTTCCAAAATGTTAGGCAAAATCCAAAACCAGCCGGATTGACAACATGATTTGATGGTTTGTTATTTTATGTTCATTCACTTTGCAGAAAAGAGGACTAGAAGTTTGCTCTCCGAGAGTCAAGATGCACATATGACAGACTAAAATTTGTGACTAAATGGGAATAAATTACTTTTTAGAAAAATCTGATTTGAGTGTTTGAGTAGCACGTTGAAAGCCGTTCAAGATTCAAGAAACATGTAATAAGCTTATTTCTTCTTCCTCTTTTTTTTTTTTTTTTAAAAAAAAATTTAGTTATCCATTTTTTGTTTTTTTTTTTGTTTTTTGGGGAAAGAGTTATCCATGTATGATCTTGCTTTTTGTTCTGTTTCTTTCTGGGATTTAGAGTGTGAAGTAAACTGCTGTATCCTAAAATTTCTAAAGTCAGACACAAGTCCATGAACAAATGTAATATTCTTTCTTTTCTTTTCTTTTTCCATTGTTCAGTCAGTCTCTAAATCGAGTCAACTGAATTATATAACATGCAATCCGATGACAAAAAATAAATAAATAAAATTGAGTCGTAAGATCATCATCATTTTGGTAAAAAGCATATTTTGATTTTACCTGGCGATGAAGAAAAGGATATTCTGACACCTTTAGTCAAAAGGGCCCGAACTGCCCAATAGACAAAAAAGTGGGTAAAAGCCCTATAGGCCAATGAAGTTTTGCCGACAGAATTGGGAATTGGCCCAGTTATAACTAAAGATGCCATCGCCGATTCGTCCTGTTGGATCTGCTGAACTTTTTTATCCAACGAAAAGGAATGGTGTAAAATGGATATTTCCGTCTCTCCCACCTGATAGGTGTCGATCCTACGACTTTCTGCTTAGAAAACAGACGCTTTATCCACTGAGCTACGGGCGCAAGACACCCACATCTGTACACTAAAATTATTTACTGCGTGTTAATTTAGTATCAGTTGGAGAATGGAAATCCATTATTGCATTTTCCTCTATCCAGCTACAATTTTAATACTTTGTTACCTAACAGAAAAGTTCAACAATCTTCTTTTGTGGGTGGACAAATCTAGTGATTTAAGGTAACACATCTCAAGAATAAGTAATTCTCATAACATTGTACCTAATCCACATCCCTGTATCCTGTGGATGATTAATCAACCTATACATTTTTAATGGGGATTTTGATGCAAATGATGCCAAACAATTGTCATTTTTAACAAGTCGTCGAAATTCAATTCGTAAAGGCTATCTTATTCTTGTATAGGTCAAAAGAGATTGAGTATGATGAGTTAGAGAATATTTAAGCAAAAGAAAAACATGAAAACGAACGTGTGTGTTTTGTGTGTCTTATACATGTGTCTATACAGGATGATGATAAATCACAAAACCTGTAATGTTCTTATGAATAAAGACTTCAGCTAGTTGAGTAGATGGAGTGGTTTAGGGTTTAGCGTCTAGGCTCAACACATAAAAAGAATATCAAATTGACATAAACTAGACGTTAAACTCGTTCGTCGGACAGGACAAACAAATTTAAATAAAAGTAATAATTTTGTTTTTTTTTTGGTACCTATACCAATAATACATAGAATAAATTGTAGTGCTATTTTATTATTGTTTCAAAATATAATATTGAAACATATTGACACAAATAATTGTATTGAGTATCGGAATATTTTATTCAAACATCAAATAAAACATAAGGAAAAAAAATGAACATAAGCATTCGATGATGAATTACGTGATGAAATATCTTGCAACACTTCTTTATAAACTACAATTGTGATCTTCGTGTCGATATTATCATCTTAATCACATATTAAAATTTTTATTCCTTGTCCAGAAATTATCTTTAATGAACATATAATTGGGTATGACTGAAAACTGGATGTGGTAAATACAAATCTCATTTGGGAGATACACGAGCACTAACTTCTATTTATTTTCGTTGCAAAACAAATAAATAACTGAAACTGAGCTTTAATTTGTGCAGAAGTAATCCATACGCATTAATACTATTAAGAAAATATGAAGCAAAAATATCATCTTCAATATTTACATTGTCTTTTGAATTGCATACAGTATCTAAACTTAAGTACATAATTTCCTCTTAGTCTATAAGGGAAAACATGTGATCATTCATAGTTTTCACATTATCAGGCGTGTCAAAATTGTCCTCAGCTAGAGATAACAGAAATATTCAGGATTGTTTAGAAAATTAGTATAGGTTTTCCTCACCTTGAATGATCATGTATGTAACCTGTAGGTATGTCAATCTCCACTCCCCTATCATTCGTTTATGCAATTTTTCTTTGACCAACCTTCAACAGTCATTTAGAAAATTCTTTAACATCTTCAATACTTTTATTTGAGACTCCCGTTTGATGTTGCATGTTAATGGTTAACCTAAGTACCTCACAATTAATGAGGTTAGAATAAGAATTTTCAATTGAGGAATCAATAGTATCTTGTCTGTTGCCGTTGGGTACTGTAGTAAGAATGTATATGAAATCACCTCCCAACACGATGGTTTTTTCACCAACAGGTTTCTCAGCAGCATTCATTGGATCAATTAATCTAAGGATATCTTTCAATTATTTGTCAAGAGTTTGAAAATAATGTTTGTAACTCGTTAGTTGCTTTATCCCATATTATAAGCTTAATACGTTTCAACAATGGAGCCAATTCGTTATCAGGCTCTATTGTGCATATTGAATCTTTTATGATGCTTTTACAGACATTAAAAATCCGTATACAATTTTGCTTCCTGACTAAAACTCAATGCCACTGCAATTACTATATCACCTTTACAATGAGTAGTAACTGATAAAGGTTGTCTGTATGAATGTTATACCGACGCCTCCATACTCGTAAATTAAGAAAGAACAGTCGTCCATCGTTGTCGGCAACTTTGGAGATTACATGCTGATAAACTCCTTTTCGCTCCACCATTAATTTCTCAAAAAACATATTATGTTCCAATCTACAATTTTTCCCTATCATAATCAAACTCATCATGTATCAACTTGTTATAGGTTCCCCATAATGCATTCTTGTCCGGGTGAGGCCACGTTTTAAGCTTCTTTAGGTTGTTAATATTTGCTCAGTGATATGCTTTCAATTTAAACCAATGCTAACTATGGAAATTCTTCTTCACTTAATGCCATATATATTATTCCCTATGTCCCAAAATTATTGTTTAGTTTGAGTTTTCACTTTTAGTTCAATTTGTACAAAAAATAAAAATCCAAAGAGGACAATAATTTTGGACCGGAGAAAGTATAAATCAATATAATACGTAAATTATTTAATTACTGATTTAAATATAATATAACATTTCCGTAAATATTAGTAAAATGCTTAAATGTTCATGCCCTACAACATCGTAAGTTCTTCTTTGACTTTCTTAAATATCTTCAGCTAAATGCGTCCAAGTTGATTACTACACAAGCTCATGTCTACTTAAACTATCTGCACGCAATAACATTTAAACTAAGGATTGTAGATAATACGATGACTTGTCTCGGTAATACATCAATGCATTCGTCATCCTCTGAAAGACCCAATGCATAGTGCTTCCTCGAAAGTTTTGGATGGAGGAGGTTTTTTTTTCTATTTTAATCTTTATTTTGAAGGAGGAGGCGAATATTTTGTTGATTTTCTTTTTTTTTTTCCTAAAACGATGAAAATTTTATACCTTAAAAACACCAACATCTTGTACAAATTATGACAACAAAGCCTACACACAAACTGAATTGATACTATATAAAATTATCTATACAATAAATTTTGTATCTAATAAAAACTTGCATTTGCCACTTTTCTGTTTGGAACAACAACATGTTATCCTTCATTGTAACTTCTGCAGAATCTTCTTGACCACTTTACCCCCTGAAATTTTCTATTGTGCAATTTCGTAGCCTTATATAAATGATACTTTTTCTAACCCCAAACATTCAGTTGGAGGTTTGTACTATTTTTGCTTATGAACTTGATATTTTAAGTTCATAGTGATTATTAATTTTATTTAATATAAGTTCCATTCTCAACTTATTACGTTAAGCTTTTTTCTTACCCGTTTCATCATTTATTTTTTTGTATTTTCCATTTAGCTAGTTATTATGCCTTATGTTTTCCTTGAAAGATTTTTAATTCAAACTAAATGTTGGGCATACATTTTCTTTTTCTTAATTATACTCAAATATCCTTTTTCCCATTTTATCTTTTCTCACATGAGTTAAAGTGATTCTCAATTTTTATTTTTGCATTTTGACTTATTATATTTTATTTGTTTTACCGATTCATTCATTTTAAGTAGTTTACATTCACAATTAAATCATTGTTTTTTTTTTCTTGACTCCTCCCATTATTAGACACAATTTTAATAATTATGAGTATTCCCCCTAATAGTATCATTCAATTGTATATTTCTCCATATGATCTCTCTTAGGTCACTTTAAGTCATTTAAAAAAAAATTCATATAAATTGCATTCTCAACTTATCACATTTGAGTTGTTTTATCCATTTTTTCCCATTTAATCTTTCTCGTGTCGGGGGGATGGGATCTCTTTTCTGCAACGGAAAAAAAAAAAAAAACAAACGGAGCATATTTGACTCGGCATAACCTAAAGATACATCCAATACTAAAGATCTGTGCTTTCTGTGCCCAAGAAAGCTATGCTATACAGGTAACAACGAATGCGGATTGACCCCCGGCTTATTGAAAACATTCAATTCAAAAGTAGTGACGTCATGATTGAATTGGATCATTTTATTATAGACTCTCTTAACAGTGAAAATCATAAAAGATAGTTCCGTTCCAAAATTATTGTCTATTTTGGATTTTTTAGGTTATGAATTAGCTTTTACTGGCTCGATAAAGAACTTGACGTCATGGTACATGTATTATAGTTCAAGAACTTGACAAGATAGCTTTTCTTATAGCAATAATCGCTTCTTTGGTATACCTGTTGTCTTTTGTATAGGAATAATTTCCAGCATAAAGTGGAGAGATCTATTCAGCTCTTGAGGCAACCAATTAATTTGAAGTATATCAAAATCATGCACAAACAAATCAAAGCTTTCACAGATAGATACTACAATCAATGAGAAAATAGTAAATTGTATTATTAGACATTACTTTATTGCCTTAATTAATTCTCTGTAATCAATAGAGGAATGCCTACCCTATAAGAAGAATATCACCAATGACTTTCACCTCTCGCATATCATCAAATTCAGACTTAGTATTGCTTTTGATACCACGGCCATTTTGATTCCATATTCCTTCCACATTTCTGCATGCAATTTCTCAGTGAAGTTGAATTTAACATAATACTGCGCATGAAGACATGATAAATATTGTTATCTATAAAAAGGAAACATGTTTTACCTAAACTCTTGGTTGGATTAAACCCGTTTCACTCATTTTTGCCAAAACAAATTTAGAACTAATCCCTTTTCCTTTGTTTGCCCAACAGCTACACATGATGATTGAAAGTGCAATAACCAAATGTCTAAAAGAAATAAATTAGAACAAAATAATAAAGCAACGATTTGATTTTGATTCAAAACAACTAATTAAAAGTTTGGATTGATGAAATGATTACCTTCTTGCAATAGTTGCGCACGACAATCATGGTTGTGAGGTTGCCGGTTGGTCGACTCCGAAGACCTTATATTTATGATCAATTGTGTTCCCAAAGTCGCAACTGGATTGAGATTTCTTGTGAAATCTGGAAAATAAAGCTGAGAGCAAAGGAGCGGAGCTGCGGAGGAGGCCGAGAGAGAGGAGGAAGAGATCGCCAATTTGATTCGATTTTTTTAATTCCCGTTTGGATATAGAGAGGATTATTAGGGATTTGATTGTTAAGATTGAGAATCTGCTGTATAAGATTTCTGTCATTAATAAATTCAGAATTTGAGCGATTGGTATTTTAAAGGATAGATGATTCTCCTTCGTTCATGGAAGTTTTGACTATCTGTTAGTCTGTTTACTGAAATTTGGTAATTTAATTAGGTTCTCTTAATTCATAAAGTTTAGAAAATTGCAATGTAGGACTAAATCCTACGTGGCAAGCATATATAACTAAGGCAGTCTCTCTGAACTTTGCCTTAGTTATATACTAGTGTTTATATACTAGAGTTTATCCCGCACGTTATGCGGATTGTTTAACATATATATGAACTTGATGATTTAACTATTTAATGACATTTCTGACGGAGTGATATATGTAAAAAAAAAAAAAAATATTGATGATATAAATTGCGATTGTGTTATTTCTAAAGTCAATGTGTTTTTTTTTTTTTTATTTTAAGTACATTGGAAATAGTTGTCAATGTCCGAAATCATCCAATTTAACTTATTTGTCCGTCAAAATGTTTTATTAATTTATGGTTTATAACTTTTAAAAGTATTCTCTTAATTTTTCATAATGATCTCTCTAAATTTTTCTATTCGTGTCATTTTTTAAACAGTATCCCTCTAACGGAAAACTTTTTCTCATTATTTCTTTCCATAAACTTGTGTTTATTTTGCATTCTATATACTTTTTCCAACATTTCTTTAGAAGTAAGTTCCTATATTTTCCCAATTTCTATAATTTCTTTAAAAGCAAATTTGCCTAATTTCTAAATTCTTGATTTTGGTTTTTTTGCGTACATGGACTTGTAGATCATATTAACCCGATGATCACCGTGAAGAACAAACAAATTTCGGCTTTTTTTAAAAAAAAATATTTTTTCTAGGGTGGGAGGGTTGGGTGGGGTGGTTAGGGGATTAAAATGGAAGATGGTTATTATCGGGAGTTCGAGGGTTCTATTTTCACTGAAGCCATCCAATTTTTTTTTTTTTTTTTTAAGAAAAAAAATTCTTATATTTTTCCTATAAAATAGTGTTTACTTCAAATTTTCACATTATAAGGACGAATCAACAAAGCAATGTAATAAACGGATAACCCCATAAAATGGATTATGCTAAATGCACCTAGCTACCGAAAAATCTTGAACAATAAAATTTATGATAAATGGATTCAAGACGCCAACGATGCAAAATGCAGACATCTTTAGAAGAAAGTTGATATCAGAAAAAAAAATTCCTTTAATGTAGAGTGATGTAGTTGAAAAACAATTAGAGTACAGCTTTGTTATTGGTGGTAGCAAAAAATAATTAAAATACTACCCCTAACTTCAAATGGGTTTGAAAACATGCCTTAAAATTTAAGGTGATGTTTAATCCGGCGGCTTGCATCACAGAAGTTAGAGCAAAGTTTTCTAATGGTATAAACTCAAGTCCCTAATTCCGAAGCCACAAACACTAACCTCGCAACTTAAACTGAACTCCACAGTTCAAAAAGTTTAGAACTTCAACGAAATAAATATATCGGGAGTTTGGATGCCATTTACGGTATGTAGACAATAGCAGTAATAAGAGAAAATTTATTAGAATTCTATCATAACATATTGCGAGGAATGATCATATAATGATAACGATTAACAAAACCCCAAAGATACAAAATTATACATATAAAAACTAAATCAATGCGAAGCATACAAATACAAACATTTTTATCCATGAAAAGTATCCTGAAAGCAATAAATTGATCATGACCATCGTTTCCCAAACTCACAAATTCCAGCCGCATCGGATGGACTTGACCGTCATTATTTTCGCTTGCTATGGTTACAATGCAAGCTTTCTGTTGATCAAGGATAGTGATTAATTGTAGAGAAGCAACTATTTATAATCTCTGTGGCATGAATTTTGGTGGTCGATTGTACGTGGTCTGCTTGGAGAAGTATTACTCCCAATTTGCCATTCATGAAAAAGTAAAATAACGATAATACTAAATTAGAAATTAAGGAAATTTTTATTATAAAAGAAGGGCACAATAAGTAAACTGGATAAAATTAGTTATTTATAGATTTTACAGATTTGCAAATAAAAGTTACCGTTAAATGATGGAGTGATGTGAACGCGATACGTGGACTTGACTATCTAATTTTTTACCATGTAGATTAGCCTATCTAGTTTTAAGTCATGTGTCTAATTGAAAAATCTCCCTTAATATAAAATTCTCCAATAATATAGAAATACATCACAATAATCTTTAGTCGGGACCTAAAACTATCCAATCTCAACAAATGATTTGCTTGTGTACAAATTCGAACTTGAAACCTAAAATCAAGAGAGAACAATCATCAATTATCAGTGAACTCTTTTTTCACTAGGCAACAAGAACACCAATTATTAGGCCTTTGTTTGTGTCATTATGAATTTAATCAATCAAGATTAGTAGCTCCAATCATTATGCGAACATATAAATTCAATTAATTTGTTGAAGAAAATGATCACAAACGCTCAGAAGTTAGGGCTCCTGATTTAGTCTCTATATACTGTCTCTATATATTAGTGCTTCAGTTGAATTCTTCTGAACCAAACTTCATGCACAGCCGCCTTTCCACCAAGTGCCTCTCCCTGTGTCCTGCAAGCCCATTTCCCTCAGTTTAACTGAAAAGCAGCAAAAAAGCTAACAGAGATTGATAACGAAAGACGTATAAATACAGATTTTTTAACCAAAAAGACAAACAAGTTAAAAAAAAAAACTAAAATTAAAGCCTTTCCAAGCTGGCTGAGACCTTCGATGTGATTGCTTGTTTTTATTGAGAATACATATCCAAAAAAAAGCCAAGCCATAAGATTTAAGGGCCGCCGGGGGCCTTTGCCAAAAACCTCACTTTGATCTTTGTGTTAACAAGAAGACACAACTTCAACTGTTTGTTTGTTAAGAGGTTCGCAATTTCCCAAAATTTCACCATTACCACAGCCCAAAAGATCACCTCTGTTCAAAGGTTTCATGTCACCTTTTCTATATCTCATACTTCTCTCTTTTGCCTTCGTCCACGACCATCACAATTCCTACCATATTCCCTGCTACTAGCGCCACTTGTGTGTAGTTACTTTTTTGGATTGCCGACTTTCTTTGCTATAGATTCATTTCACATTGATTTTTTTTTTCCCTCTTAACTCTGTTTTTCTCTGCCTTGCTTTGGACTATTGGCGAAAAGAAACGAACTTTCCCGCTAGTTTCTCACAGCCCAGTTCAATTTACTGAGAATTATTCTCATTTCTGCTCGTGGGGTTGCTTTGATTTCTCTTGCTGATTGAGTTGTTACCTCAGTTGGCCCAACTTGGGTCTGCTTTTTCCCAAGATTCCAGTGATTCTGTGAAGCTGCAGGGATTTTTCCTCCTCTCCTCCCGATTCTTGGATTGATGCTGTTTTGATCGAAAAAGGGTATTCTGATTCTCGGTAAATGATTCTTGAATAGTGCCCCTCTATTTGGATCACTGGAAAAAAAATCCCCAACTTTTTCATCCGGATACTTTGGAATATCTTGAGCTTACTTATGGCTAATTGAGGGCCTGGCTGATTTGTTCATCTTTGAAGTTTTTTTTGGGTTGGGAGGGAGGTAACTGAAGAAGAGATTTGTAGATTATGGAGGCCTTGTATCCAGCTTCATATTCTTTGAACTCCAGTTCTGACTTTTTGCTGCCACAAATTAAGAGCACTAAATGGACTAGAGAGGAGAACGAAGCATTTGAACGGGCTCTGGCAGTTGTTGATGAAAAAAGGCCAGATAGATGGTCTCTGGTGGCAGAAATGATACCTGGAAAGTCTGTGATTGATGTGATTAATCAGTATCAGGAGTTGGAGGCAGATGTTAACAATATAGAATCTGGGATGATCCCAGTCCCTGGATATCTAGCCTCTTCTTTAACTTTTGAGTTGATGGAGAATCGTGGCTTTGATAATTTCAGGAAAAGGGGAAGATCTATGGATCAAGAAAGAAGGAGAGGCATCCCCTGGACAGAAGATGAGCACAGGTGAAATCTTCATAACCATGTTTTCATTCAGTTTTTCCCTGATTGAATTAAAACTACAGGTTTCCTTTCCTTAATTACATCAGTAGACTCCATATTCTTCTGATTTCAAATGCATGAACCAATAACCTAATTTATTCTCAGCTCTAGTTGCTTTCAAGTTGATCCTCATTGATAAGAAATTTAGAACAGTGATGAAGGTTTAATATTTTAAGACTAACATAAGCTCTGTACTCTGAAATCAGGTGGTATAATGTTACAGACCTATTTATTTAGTGCCTTTATAATGTTACACTTGAGCTTTACAATTGATGTAAAAATTGTTGCTAGAACTGTTGACATTGTACTTCTGTGCCAAATATTTTTTTAGGAGATTTCTCATGGGACTTCAAGCACATGGTAAAGGGGACTGGAGGAATATATCCCGGAATTTTGTGATATCCAAGACTCCAACCCAAGTTGCAAGCCATGCTCAGAAGTACTTTCTCAGGCAGCATTCAGGTGGGAAAGACAAGAAGAGACCGAGCATCCACGACATCACCACCTTCAATCTCCCCATTGTCAATCCCACAATGCACGACACCAAATGTGCTTCTCTTGATCACAAGTCCCTGGCAATGTCGCCGCCGCCGTTGCAAAAACCGAGTAATGCATCCAAAATAGTGCTGGATTGGAACGACTCGAATGAAGGGCTTCTGATGGTTTTCGACTCAATGGACTATGATGACTCCATTGGATCTCTATTTGATGTTGCAACACGAGGTCGTTATGCAGCAAATTTCTGTACTGCCGATTCCAAGTTCCATATTCAACCAAGAAAATATGTTATCTGAGGATGGAATGAAGTGAAGAATCGAAGGAAAGGGTCCTGTTCTGTTGTAAGGGACCTGCTAGCTTGATCCTTTGTTAGAACATTAAATAAAAATTAGCATCTCTACGTCGCAATGTTATTCAAACTTACTTAAAAAGACTTTAGATAAAAAAAAAAAAAGGTGTATATTTCTCTTGTTGAAAAGTTTGTGTGGGTTAAAATCTCTTTTTTGGTTGCATGAAATCCCTCTCGTTTTCTCAGCTTCAGTATATGATCATAGATTCATCATCATTACGGTATATAATCAGTTGTCCTCATGAGGTAAGAAAAAGGTGGCCATACAAGTCAACTGAAAGATGTTCAAACTCAGTCAGATTAGATTACTGAGAATTTAACTTGATTCTGCAACATGTGTGATTTCATTTGTCTGATTAAAATTGACTCCTTTGGCTGCAGATTCATGATAACATTTGCATCTTATCATTGAAGATCCAATTAGCACAAATTACCTTTTATTTTCTGGATTAGAGACCTTACAGGTGTTGATTTTGGGGATTTTAGTTTGTCATGTTGCAGTTGTTTAATATGCATCAAAATTTGGTTCCTAGTTTGTGGAATAGGTACATCATTACAAGGACACTAATATTTTGGGTATACTTGGATCACTCAAAGCCACATAAAAAGCCTATTTGAAGCGCACCAGCCAGAATGGGTTAGACGTATTTATCTGACTCAGGTACCACCCACAAATAACTCTCATTCACAGTGTCTTCTGATTGCTCTCGTTTTTTGTTTTGTTTTGTTTTTTTTTTTTTTTTTGTTCTTCTCTATATGGCCGCTTTCCGCCATATGCTTTCATTTCTCTTTTTTTGCCCAAAGACTAATATTTGGAGGCTCACTTTGGCCAAGTTGACTGAAGCTCTATCACTATCACTTTTATCAAAGGCTGAGTCTGAAATCCACTTCATAAAAGGAAGGGCAAAAAAAAAAAAAAGCATCTTCTGCTTTAACTCCATGTAGTAGAACACATTAAAAAGGGGCAAAATTTTAGAAAAAGATACACATCATGTGATGCAAGAATGATGTGAACACTGCAATGGAGGGGGCCAGGGATCCATGCATCTTTCCTTTTCTTTTTTTTTTTTTCTTGGTTTTTATTAGAAAATTTCTGTTTACACTAAGGTGGAGTGGGAGTGGGAGTGGAGCTTCTCCTACAATACAACTCGTTTTTTTCTTCCTTTGGGAAGATATCATGAACATTAGTTATATTAGCTTTTCGGGGTAGGAAATTCCATTTTTGCCGACCTTACTAGATTTGGCAGTAAGTTTGAAGCTGAGTGAGATTCAAGTTTTACACATTTGCAGTGATTTATTAGGGGAAAGCATATACATTAAGATTGAGAAGAATAAATCTATCTGTTTATCTTGGTTGCCTTCTCCTTTGACCTTGGAATATCTATAGGTAGGTACCTAGCTTAAAGCTTGGTAGTTTAGATAATGATCACGATTCCATCCCTCCCTAAACTAAACTATACATCTGTTGAGGTAATTTTAGCCACGACGGGTAGAAACAATTTTCTTTTTTTTTTTTTTTTTTCCAATATCGCTTGCTCCACACACTGTTTTCAATTCCTGTATTTCGTGGGAGCCAACTTTGCACTTTGTTTAATCAGCATGTGCAGCCTAAAAGGGATTCCAGGATAGTGACTCTTTTATTTTATTTTATTATATTATATTATTTTGCTCATCGTTAAACTAACTAGTAATATTCGAGTAGCTAGTAGGAGCTAGAAAGATATTGATAATACAGATTATAGATTTGGGATTCATATATTTTTTACCCACTTCGCTATCTTCTTGGTTGTATGCGAAAAATAACGTGGATCATATACTGTATATATGTATTTTTCATTAGACTCTTGGATTTTTCAGAGAAAATTCTTTACCATAAAAACTAACTGAACTACCTTAAAACCGATTTTTCCATAGGCAGGGGCTAGCAAACCTGATCGGCTGTACACATAACTCTGCTAATTGCTGCAACAATATACTCCCTCCGACTTCTAAATCGGACATTTTATATGAAAAATAAAAATTCAAACACAATAATTACTTTGAAACGTTGAAAGTATGTTATACACATGAGAATACATTGACACAGGCGAGTTTCACCCTTCAACTCAGTTCTGGAACTCCAACAAGGTTGCAAAAAAGAATTCGGGGTCTCTTGAAAGTAGACTCTACGATACTTAATTAAAAAAAAAAGGGTTTTGAGAGAATGTATAGTTGTTGAATTGTGCTATAAATTGTGTATTTGATTGTGGTGTAATGTTATCCGAATTTTATTAGTTTTGCACTCCTTTGACCGCCTCTTTTAAGTGGATTGGACCGGATTAGGGTAATGAGCCGGATGTAACTGTATGGTGCGGAATTGGATCCTTCATACACGAACAAATAGTGAAATAGATAAAATTTTGTTAGTTCTCGTAAGCAAAGAGTTAAAGATGCAATTGCGAGGTTATGTATTAATTGTATACCGAATAAAATGTTTTTTTGGTTAACCTATCCATGCACACCCGTACAATGTAAAACATTTCCGTAGTGCTAACAATGGATATGTATATTCTTTTGGTAAACATTTTAACGCTTTAAAGAGCTTTTGGAGATATCAGCTAATTTGTTACTACATGCAGCACAGAAAAATAAAGCTAATTCGTGTAGTAGGGAAGAAAAAAGTTGGATCATATGGCTTAAGTATAATAAAATAACTTCTAGAGCTTTCCAATTTCTATTCTAACACGAATGGAGAAATTTAAAAGTTTGTGAGCACACCGATCACAAATCAATATCATTGTTTGATTTGGGTCCAGATCACTTCATATATTCATCTTCTTTATTATTTTTTGAAGGCGATTTGTAAATGATCATAAACCCATTTTGGTGGGATCTTGTATTTCAAGGTTTTTGGTCGCTGTTAGAATGTGTGATTGATCACTATACCTTAGTGCTTTGGCACTACCCAAATTAAATAAATAAAAATAAAAATGATGTACGTATCCACTAATTATATGTATTGATGATGATAGATTCCAGAAAATGGATATAAATAGTTAAATTACAGGGGTCGCGTAGCACTCAACTTCCATGGTGCTCCCCTCAATCAACACAACAAAATTATTGCAATAAAAGTAGAAATTTAACTGCATGGTGCTGCTATAAAAGTGCTAACATCAATACAGTGAGATTGATTTTTGTTTTTCTCACCCCTCCAATTTTTATTTTTTTTTTGGAAATGAAATTTAAAAAATAACTCGTGACAATAAAGTGCTTGCACAAGGAAACCCCTGTTACACCAAATTAATAATTCAATTCACAAATAGCACCTTCACAACTAGAAATACAACTAGAAACAGAAAAACAACAAAACCAACATAAAACCCTCGGTCAGTTATCGGCCAGTTTTAATTTGTGAAAAAGAAATAAGCATTAAGTTAATTTTTACTACATATATTCTGTAAGAGAATACTACAATTTAAGCACCACTTAATTCATTAAAAAGTTATTTTTCATTATCAAACATTTTGAAAATAAACACCTCCTAATTTAATAATTTTAATCAATAAGTCAGGTATTCGAAGCCCCAAGCCCCGCTCAAACGTCAAATTATAAGTTCCGATTCTTTGCTTTAAAAATGTTAGTAAATTTATCTAAAATTCTACTTTGATGTCTCAAAATGATTATCTAATTTTTTTTGTTTCAAATTATACAATCATTTTGCGATGGAGTTAATTTATCTCGGACTAAGGAAAAAAAAATAATTATATGCCCTTTTACCTCTAGTTCTTGTTTAAATTCTGAATCACATACAGCTAGATTATGTAGTGGTCCAAGAAAACTTTTGTAACATACACTTTCATAGTTTCATTGGCCCAATAAAAGGATGTAAAAGTCTTGCTTTGATGCTTTTAGCCCGTCGTGAAGCCCGACAAATCCAATCAACATGGACGTACGACTATATGAGTACTTTCTAAAACAATTGTAAAAGTGAAATCTGAATTGGGATCCTAAAGTCCTGACGCTCAAAAAGTACTAGAATTATTTACACTACTGGATAAACATCTTGATTTTAACCCTTTTTTTTACTGCCTTTTACATCATAAATACTTGGATGGAATTTTTTTTTGAAAGTACCTTTATATTTATATAATACTTGGATGGATTGAGCAAAGGCAGACCAGCTTTTTCCCTGAATCTGCCAACGTCCAAATCAGATACATAGAGTTCAAATTCCCAAGTTGATATATCTTACTCCCTTTTTTGCGACTTCTGACTGCTCTGCCAGAAAGGACTTGAACTTATGAGATGTATACAAATTGCATATGTTCTTTCTTTTACTTTGGACAACACTCTTTACAAATTTCTCCAGAGTCTCCCTTTAGCCACCTTTAATTTCTTTAGTTTTTGACCAACCCACCCCCTCAATTGTCCAGGAAAATTTCTGTCTTGAAAGAAAGGTAATATGCTGCGAATCCGTAGCATGCTCATGCTCATGTCTAAGTTTCTGTCTGTTTGCATTCCTCATTCCTGAAAACTTTTCAAACTGGTCCAGGCAATACATCAACCACAACGCTATGGTTACAATCATTCATACCTAAAAAGCTTACACCAAGCGATTAGCAACTAGTAAATGATGTTCAGAATCTAACTCTGACATTAGCCAAAAATCCAAAATTTGGGTGAACTTGTATTCATAATTCATATCGTGTAATACTAATATTACAAACAACAGGGGCAACTAGGCACTCATTCCAGTACATTAAAAAGTCAGAAAAAAAGTTAGCATCAAGCACCCAGTATGATTCCTCAACATCAATAGTAAACAAAATCTTACACGGAAAATAGTATGGCAAAGGGTATCTAAAACGAACAAGGAAAGACTCGCCTCACTTGGGAAAAAAGAACTACACAATCCTATATGAACAAAAGAAGGAAGAAAAAGAAAGACAAGTAAAAATAACAAAACCTTTCTGAGTGGCAGTATACACGAGTCCATCAACTATGAAAAGCAGCTGGTTGCAAAGGGATAACAGTTGGAGGGAAGTCTGTTCTCTGTCCGGCAAGTGAATAATATGCAAGTATATGAGCTGGATGTTCGAAAACAACCACTTCACCATTATCAGCAGGCGCTTCAACACTTCTTGGAGGAATCAACTCAATATTCCAGAAAGGGCGAACCATAGCTAAGAGATCTTGCCCACCTATTGATGATACCCTATACCCTTGCACCCATAAGTACCTCAGGGATTTTAGCTGCAAAGTAGCCTGAGCAATTGCACGCTCACTGAAGACACAACCCCTCATTTCTAGCTTTTGCAGGCTAGGACAACCTTTAGAAAATTCAGCAAGACCAGCATCTGACCCCCCTACATAACCAAGAAGCATCCATCTTACATTCGGGCTGTGTTGCCCGATATATCCAAGACCTACATCAGTTAGTCCCCCTGCCCTTAGATATAGGGCAAACCTTCTAAGACCAGAGCATCCACTTAACAGAGATCGAACTCCATTGTCTAGTGGAAGATCAGTTATATTTTCTTCTCGATCAAGCAATACCAAGCGGAAGTCAGAGAGTTTATGCAAGTGCATACCTACACACTCGAGAGCTTCATTTGTAATATCAGAGACATACACAGCCATATACTCTAACTCTGTGCACCCCTGTGCCAATGAGATTAATCCTGCATGTGAAACAATGCCTTCTTCATCCTCTATCTCTTGTTCATCAGCACCTCTTTCAATCCTGAGTCTCCTCAACCTCTTACAAAATTTAGCAAGAATCCCCAAACCTCTATCGCCAATAACATCCCTGGTCTACTCCATATTAAAAATGTATACAGCAAGTCAGTAATTTGACTATTTAATACAACCAAACTAATTTAAGACGAGAAAGAAAAAGGTCAATACATATACATCCAATGCATCTATTGCAAACAATAGTAGATCCATTCATAAAACACAGAGACTAAGGACATTCATGCTGATTTCAAAAAATAGCAATCACAACTTCATTTCTAGGAGTAAAATGTTGCATTCAAATACTACAACTATTACATAGGTAGACATTTAATTTAAACGAAATCAAATACAAACTGGGAAACTTCTTACCTCCAGAACTTCCAAGTTGGGACATCTACGCAACACTTGACAGTGACCTTCTGTGTTGAGAAAAGCATAGAGAAGATCCAATTTCTTAAGCCTGGCACAAACCGGAAATACAATTTGCATTTCAAGATTCCCAAGGTATGTTAGACCCAACTGGCATAACTTTTGGGGGAATGATACAGCAGCATATCTTCCCAATTGTTCATTTAAGCTATTCTCGTCTTCAAGATCCTGTTGGACATTAGTGGATCCCCCAGCAAACTCCTCTAGTGAAACTGCAGCTCGGAAGAAGCCAATTAGATCCACAATATCACAGTCACTGATCTTTAGCGAGATTAAAGGACATCTTCGGGCAATCAGTTCAAGGTCTTGAAAGTCAACATTGCCAATCTCTGTCAAATAAAAATTCAAATTTTCAAGAGCAGTGTGGTTCAATGCTATCTCACGAAGCCACTGACCATCCTTGTCAATCACTTTGCTCTCCTCTAAGAACAGGGTTTTTAAACTCCTGCCAATACACAAGATTATTGGAATAAAGAAAGTCAAAATTCCATTTAGTTTCAGTCAACGGTCATCAAAACTAACAACCAGAAGAGGTGCAGAACTGGTAAACATAAATCATGAAATATGGAAAACCATCTCCAATTTGAAAATTTAACAAGAAAATAAAGGAAAATTAATTTTCAAGATGATGTAACATCTTTTCTCATGGCTTGCCTCCTTTAAGCACAAGAAGAACCCAAGATCTTGTCTCCAACTCAAAGTGGCCATTTATTCTTCCATTCCCAATGAGTTTTGATACTCCAAACAAAGGGAAGAAATTCCGCCACAAACATGAAATGCAGAATAAAATCATGAATACATTTTGTAGAGAAGCTTAAAGTTTGTCTAGGGTATTAGCCAAATATGCCGGCACTACGATTATAGTTTCTAAACGGCTGCTCAAGCAATGTTTGACATTGGCGATTACTGCAATATTTGTCACTTAAAGTCAAGTTACAGTTTGAGAATGAGCAAGCTCTAGAATCAAATTCGTTAATCCCACAGCAACACAACTATAACGCATCAACCAAACAATTCCGGTGGGTTAACAAATCGTATAATTGTGTCATAGACTGGAACGAGAAGAACCTAAAATTTCGGTTTACGAGAACCAGAATTTTTGGATTTTCAAACTGCACGGTTCTAAATGTTGGTAAAAAGAGAATTAGTTCTCATGGTAATCAATCTAACTCTACAAGTGGGTACTTTAGTATGCTGCCACTGAAAATCTATCTTCAAAGTCAGAATTATGACCCACTACCAAACCTTAAATTTGAAATGCACGAAAACTCTATAGATACAGTGAAAGACTCCAAATCCTAAATGAAGGATTCCAGTAAAGATAAAATTTGAAGGAAAAAACAAAAAGTCTTCTCAGTAGAACTTCAACCGTCCCATACTCAAGATTCAAAAAAATAATAAAAATAATTCGAATATAAAATTCAATAATTTTGCAAGGACATCACGCAAGGAGTTGGAATTAAGTCAACCGGAGATGAATATTAGAAAGAACAATATAAGTGTGAAGGAATTAAAAACAAGAGACAAGAAACAAGAAAAGAAATCATTACCTACAACTGCGAGTGATATGAAGAAGTCCATCCGTAGTAAATCCACAGCACTTGTCGAGTTTGATCACTTCAAGGATCTTACCCCTGCACCTGGCCAGAAGCTCAAGATCTGAATCGCCAACAATCATCCTCCGGAAATGAACAGCTTTCAACTGAGCAAGTGACCGGCTGATCTCTTCCACCCAGGGGGTCACATATCCTCCCCAGTCCTCGGGAATCAAATTAAACATGGCAGCGCGAGGCTTCCCCTTGAGCTTCACCGACTCCAGATGCGGAAACCTCTGGGACAAGCGCTGGGGAGTAGCCGTATAGCAGAACGCCATGGTGATGTGCTTGCGAGTCAGAGCGTCGATCTCGTACCATCTCCGGCACACCAAGGAGACCGCGTCCCGGTCACGCGGATCAGTCAGATATGGTATAACTAGTTCGAAGACAGTATCGTATGCTCCGTTGTTCATCAGCAAAGCTGGGTGCCGATCCTCCATTATTATCCTCCTTATTATTACTTTCCAAAAAAAAATAATAATAAAAATTATAGAGTCATCGGGAAAGAAACAAATCAAAGATTCATTGAAACCGATTAAAGCAACAGAATCATGGATTGGATGGGGGGATTGAATAGGAGGAGGAGATGAATGAACATGGAGAAATTGGGGGTGAATTTCTTGGTTAGTGTGTGACTGTGTGTGCGGCTGAAAAGTGGAATGGAAAAACAAAAATAAAAACAATGGTGGTGTGGAATGGGGGAGGAGGAAAAAGACAAAGAGATGCTAATGTAACCAATAGGGGAAAGGGACGTCAGGATGAGAGGGGCAGTATAGTCTTTCCACACATAACGAAATGGAATTAATTAGTTTTTTAAGTGTTTTTTTTTTTCATGAAGTACTAGTACTCATTTCAATTCTGGAATTGGTGTTGAAAGTTGAAACTTTGAAACCTGTGGGTCGCAACTTGCAAGTTAAAATATTACTAAAACTTAATCTCTTTTTTTTCTTTCTCTTTTTCTTTGTGAATACTAAAAGATGAAACAAAATAAAGAAAAATTGGTGAATTATTAGGGGGAGGTGGAATCTTGAATTTGGGAAAACAGGTGAACAAGTCCCTGTTGTTGTGGCCATTTATAGATTCTGCTGCTTATTGATTTGCCATTATTGTGAATTGTGATTGATTTGTTGTAGCCCATGTTATGGGAGCAGCTTTTCTGTCTTTCTAACTTTTTTAGGGCCTCATGTTATGGGGTTTATTATGCTCAGTCTCTAGTGCGATTCATTTCTGTGTCATTAAACTATTTTGGTGTGCCAGCGATTTACAGTCTCAAAAATAGTAAGACAGTCACTTCGGCCGCCGGTGTTATAGCTTAGAAGGGAAATTTTTCACCCCCCTCCCCCGCTTTCAAGCATATGAGAAGGTGCACTTTCTCCTCTTATTTTACATTCTCGTTTTTGATGAACTACAACGACTACAAATTAGTAAATGAGAAATTGTAATTAATGCTTTAAAGAGGTTCTTGTACTTTGCATTCTTAAATATGGTCCGACCATAATGATGGAGTCATTCTTTGCCATTTTCATAAAATTATTGAGTAGTACTATTACTTCATAGATCTGGAAGCGAATATGGAATCTGGATCTACCAGATTGAATGGTAGGAAGAATTAGGGTTTTACTTTGAAAACTCAAAATAGAAAATTCACTTCATAGATAAAATGCTGGTGATGACTATTATTAGAGCATTCAAGTGGTTAATTGTTTGAAATATAAAACAACTGTCACATCAACATTGATTCGTCTAACACTACTTTCTGTTGAACAAATTTTGAAACTCAATATGAATTAATTTTATAAGACAAAGAAAATACAAAACATATAATACAGTCTGAAATTATTGTTTTTCTTAGGGGCTATAACACGATCTTTCCTATATGAAAAAGGCAATAGTCCCCCATACAAACGGCAATACTAAATAAGAAGGAAAATGTAATAAGAAGGATCCGGAGACAAATTAGATGACACAATTTGTTTTATTGTCTCAATTTAGTTAGATTTAATTGAACCACAGAATCTAATGGTGACAATTTATACTATTATACATACAAATCTACTTGTAAAACGAACTTTTTACAAGTTTTGTGGTAATCCATCTTTTTTAATTGCAACTTTCTTTCGGTTGCGTAGCTGGCTGGATAAGGAGGTATCGATTCATAATACGTACACTTTCGTAGTCTATTGTATTCGGTCCTAATCAACTTTCTATTTTCATTACTAACCCGAAAAAGAAATACTACTATTTTTTGTATTTGTTATATGAAATGCCCAATGGGACACACCCCCCCCCCCCAGATGGCAGCTCACTTGCAGCACCACCCAAAATACTAAAATTATTCAACCCCATTTGCCTGCAACTAATATTTGATTCCCCATAATAAATTTAAAATTGAATAGAGTCACATCAGGACTTCTCGATACATTTGTGACACCTAATTATGCCTCTTGTTCTTGACTGAAATTGCCTCTTTAGAGTCCTAGAGGCTGCGGTTTGTATTCAAACTTCCAAGTCCTACTGCAGCCATTGGCAACTTTTCAGGGGGGTTTTTTTTTTTCCCCCTTTTTCTTTTTATCGAGGATGGTAGCCATTTCATTTGCAAAATACCTCATAATTGGCAATAAATATAGGTAATTGGAGTATATAAACATAATATGGAATATGTAGTACTCCCTCCGTTCCAAAATAAGTGTCGTTTTAGCAAAATAGAGAAATTTCAAAATAAGTGTCGTTTTCATATTTTAATGCACTTTTTGACTAAAGTTTTCAAAATTACCCCCAAAAGAATTGATATTATTAGTGGATATTTTCTTAATGAGGTTGATTGAGGATATTCAAGTAATTTTATTAACTTATTTAAGAGTTTTTTAAACTATGTGCAAAGTGTAGGATGACACTTATTTTGGAATAGAAGGAGTATCTGAGACTCGAATCTCTATCTAGCCATTGATGAGAAAATATTCCATCTACCAGCTGCACCACCACATCCTGCTGATGTGGTTCAACAAACAAATCATACAGTGACATGTGTCTTATATTTTTTTAACATATAGTTCTTTTAAGAGTAAATCTCAAAACGGGTCATTGAACTATTAGGTAATTCTAATACAGGTCATCAATCAAATTGATTCGTATAACAGGTCACCATTCTAAGCAAAAAATTCATCCGAGATCATTATGTTAATTTTGGCTGTTAAATAGTCACGGAAATCTATTTTTCACATACTTTTGTAATCAGCAGTGAAGTCTCATTATCCGTTTTTGAACTTAGGTTTAAATGCGATTTAGGCAAACTCTTATTTACATAAAATTTGAAAGACTATTAGTGTAATTGTGTAAAATAATATTGGAAGCATGCATTAGAAAAATGCCACATAGGATAAAAATTCTATGTGGCACCCTTAGAAATCTTTTTTTGTTTCTCTCTCTTGTTTCTTTCTTAGTATAATACTAGATGCTTGGTCCGGGCGATACCCGGCCGGCTCCATGTACTTTACTATAATAATAATAATAATAATAATAGATTACTATTATTATTATTATTATTATTATTTATTATTATTATTATGCATTACTGCTAACATTTATCAATTATCATAAAGAATGTTTAATAATTTCATTACACAATGAGTTGCGGAGCAAAAACATTTGCTGGCATGATAACCAACTTAATGGTGGTTGTCAACGTCAAAGTCAAACACTAATCGGAAAGAGGGAAAAGAAATGTAGGTTTCACTCTCTTGAATTTATTCAGCCATAGCAAGTAAGGCGTCCAACTTCCAAAAGCAATGTTTAGCTTTTGTTCCCAAGTCCACCTGATAGATCACCATAGTACGGATACTTCAGGAACAATGAATCGAAGTAACATCATTTGATGAAAATATAGTCTCTTCTAGTGGATTCTAAAATCATTAGAGCCGATTCTAAACTAAAATGTCCTTGTTAAAGTAAAAGTTAATGTCATGCTGCAACCGCAAATCGTTTGACCGAGCACAATATTAATTCTTTTCCAGTATAGGTTTGAGTGGAACTTAATTAAAACTGAACTGTTTATATTTTCAAGTCCCTGGCCAGCTAGAGATTGTCTATATCGAGCTATTTCCCTCACTTTTAAGCTTAACCAGCATGAGATGTAAGAATTCAAAAGTCACACCGAGAAATTAGGTGTTTTGATTTAGGTTGGATTACATTGAGGAACAATCTTTTTGTTGATATTCTAAACCTAAGGTATAAGAACTCTAGATAGAATGGAGTGCTGAAGAATTAAGTGAGAAGGGAATAAAGTTACACACCTGATAGGCATTTAAATCAAAGAAAATAAGCTGCAATTTGTACAAAGAAACAAATTAGGCACTCTAAAAAAATGAGAAGTTCAGTGATGTAAAAGAGAAGAATCAAAACAATCACGGAAGAAATCTCATCAAATGTTAAACTCAGTCAAGATACCTTTTTTCCGCGTCCAATTCATCAACCTCAGAACCCACGAATATAACATAAAGTGCAATCCAAGCCACCAAAAGAAATAAAAATAAAGCACAGCTCTACTTCTCATTAATAAGCGTATAAAACCATCATTTTTCCTGTTTCACTCACCCCTTCCATAAGGTATCTTTCAAAATTCACAGTTGATTTTGATTGCAACACTCCTCCAGCTGATTTCTGAAAACAAAGCGATCCACAGGACAACCATTGTCAAATGAATAATGTAGGCATTTAAAAGTCTACATGACTATTGCTGTGTTTCTAACGTATCCATATATGAATTAAATTATTCACTAGAGTGCACAGAAAGTTAAAATTATGTCACACTGGTGATGTACAATTGAACATACTAATATGGTTAATGGTATGTCTTCAGAAATTGTAATCGTAAGTAAATCCCCCCACCGTAAATTAACAATCACTAACACATGACTTGCAAAGCAACAACCATATAAACTAATATTCTGAGGAAAGGAGCAACTTTAAACATCAATTTCATAGAATCCAACTTCCAAAAATGCAGGTTACTAAAATTAATTGGGCACAGTGTTGACAAAACTAATCCATGGAAAATGGTAAAAAATTTATTTGTGTAAAACCGTGATTGGAACGGAAGAAGTTATTACATAAACCACTCCTAAATTTTCCTCCAAAAACTTGATACAAAATTCTTCAGCCATACAACATCAAGTAATTATACTATGAGTGAGTGTAAGGAAAAAAAATTTCACACCTCAGTCTACTGTTGATCAAGAAGAGAATCCATGACAGTACCTCTGGAAGTTTCTATAGTCTTATCAAGACTATATGTGCTTGCAGCTTAACCTATGAAACACAGTAAATGAGAACCCCATCAGAGTTTTTCATTCCACAGAGATGCAAAGAAATGTAGAAACTTATCTAACCATTCTGAAAAGAAAATGACTAATTCACTACTAACAAATGTTACGAAATAAACCTTTGATGTGTACTGGTCTAGTTCTCTTCTTGTCAATACATTCCCTCTTCCAATATTCTTCGAATACTTTTGAGAGGTTTACTTTCCTTTGCTTGAATAAGCAAACAATATGCACTTTCCATAAAAATCAACTTCTCGTATCCCATCATGAAATTAAGTAGAACGAATTAAGAATGTGAACAAATTGGATATTCTCGAGTATTTCCGGGCAGGCACGGAATTATGGGAATAAATTGAAGCTGATTAGCGATATTCTCGAGTCATTGAATGTCGATGGTAAAATTAGTGAACAAGAAATAAACGATCAGTTTTTTTTAGGGGGAAGACTCTGAATATTTTGGAGCCGGAGAAGCATGGAGAAATATGCCACATATCAGATTTTTTTGCGAATAACTTTTGGCTTTTAGTGGAAAAACATAGACTGTGGAGCTGCCAAGCGTTCTCGAGCGTTATTACTTTAATTAAGTAAAGGAGATATACTATAGATGTCCAACTTTTAAAATCACCAATTATAAAACCTTAATGCGTCATCTCAACTTGATTAGATCCTCATATAGGAAAACAGACCAATCTTAAAGGAGGTTTTACTAGTTTCTTCTATTGGTGCAATACTTTACTGATAAAAAAAAACATTACTCGGCTAAATGTCAGCCAATATTACGAGGCACGGAAGAACTCATCAAATTTGAACATTAAAAGATTTGACCAGAGAATTCGATTCCCCCATCTGAGCACCAATCACCTACCGCTTCCTCATTTATTGTATTCTTAAACTACTTGCATAAAAACTGCACCAACCATTTTGAAAAATTCAGGGCCGACAGTCAACTAGATCGTAAAATAATCGTGTGTAATGAATAATGACAATCATCACATAATGTTATTGATTTGGTTCCAGGCATTTCAGTCGGGTATTATGCATCTTTGTTGTGATTATTATCACCAAGTGAGGAGGAAGTGTCAAAATTTAACGTATTTTAGCGGCAAATGGGTTACATTCCGCCTTTGATTCTTAACAAGTACTGCAGTCTGCAGAAACTACTACCTATAATGAGAGAACTGAAACGGTCCAATATTGAAATTGAACTACTAATTATTATTGGTCTAAAGAAGATGATACGAGATTAGAGAGATACATCGGCGTCAACGTCACCAAAACTGACTTCTTCCCATCCGTCATTTTCTTTATTTCTTTCTTTCCTTATACTCTCTCCGTCACCAAAAAAAAAAATAATAATAATAATAATAATTCATATGAGTTTTCAAATTTGTACTAAAATTAGTATAAATCTCAAAACTCAATGTGAATTATTTTTTTGGGACAGGGTAGTACAATTTGTGAAACTAAAAAGGAAACCTTTTAGCTGTTCACACCATTTTTGTTGAAATAATGTATCTCCCTAGTGGTACTTTGATGACCATAACAAATCAAGAAAAGAAATGCATGATTTGGATTTCGGGGTCGTTTTGAAATTTTTGATCCACTTGGGAATAAATCCTTGTTTTTGAACTCATATCTTAACATTATTCTTCTTGTTTTCGTTGACTAAATAAGAGAGAACTTTGATTAGTGCAATTCTGGAAAGGATTGAGCCTTTCCCTGAAAGAGGAGGCATCAGAAAAGGTTGGATATCAATTCCTTTATCGCAATCAATCGCTATTTTAAATCATGATGCAACAAAAAAGTTTACTTGTATGGGGATTAGTTAAGTGAATACGAGTGATACGTGTCTATTTCCTCTTCGTTTTTTTATGGATAATGATTCGTATAGGAAAAAAATAATAAAATAAAAAATAAGGAATTAATCATAATCATTCATTTTTAACACTTTTCATTTATGATTTAAGTATTTAAGATTAGAGTATAGTTTTTTTAAAATTTTTTCTGTACGTATCATTACTTTTTTTTTTATATCTAAGAAAAGGAAGGGAAAAAAAGAAGAGAAAAAAGAAAAGAGGATGATGTAACGTTGCACTCTCCCTCTTTCTTTCCATCATCAGTTGAAGTCTGTTTGAAAATTATAATTCGCTTCCAGTAAATTATTTTTAGAATGATTCATGATGAAATATCATCTTCCATTTTGGAGATAAAATCCTAAATGAAGCTGGCTACAGATAGGATATGGAAAATAATTGTTTGAAAAAACGAAAAGTTCGATAGATGAACGAATAATGAACCGCAATATTGATGTGGTGTTCAATAAATTTCAACTGTAGAGTACTCTGTGAATCATCTATCTCTATATCGGACAAGATCGAGACATCGACTCACTCCTTAACGTAAGCGGATGGCGCCGGGGCATCAAACATCAAGGCCTGTAAGATAAAACTCACAAGCTCACATTGAAAATGACTAAATAAATCGGCAACTGTACCACAGAAATACCATAAAATAAAGAAACTAATGTTTTTTTCGTTTTTTTATGTGTGTTTTTAAATGTTTTTTATCGAAAATAGAAAAAAGTATATTGGAAATGTAAAAAAAGTAGGATGAGATGGGACACTTAGGCCCTGTTTGATAAATCAATTAAGCACTTAAACTTATTAATTAAGTATTTAATTGATTAATACTGTTTGATAACATCATAACAATTTAATTGCTTAAGAACTTAATTTATTAAAGACTTAAATTTTAAGTGTGTTTGATAACTCAAACTAGGATGTTTTAATAAATTAAGTGGGTTTGAAATGCTAGTACAAATGTGAGCCTAAAAATAAGTGATAGGCCTATCACTTATGTCTGAACTGAATTTTTGAGACGATTTTTTTCTATTTATTTATTTTTATGTTTATATTTTTGATATTTTATCTTGAAATATTTTTATTAATCATGATGTCTAGTTCTAAATTAAAATTTATGTAAATTATTTTTTATTTAATAAATATTTATTTTTATATAAAAATTAAAATCCATTAAATTCTATGATCAATATATCTTTACCATAAAATATGAATTTTTTTTTACAATGATAAAATATGACATTATTATTAACTGAAAAAATAATAACATAATAAAATTTAAATATTTTATTACATTATTTAATAATAATATTATTATTTTTGTTATCATAATTTCATATACATCAATTATTTTTTTAGATAAAATTATAAGTCGAGTTACTTTAAATTTCAGAATTCAGACTTCAGATTTCAGACATTTTATTCAGTGTTTAGATTTTGGTTTTTATCAAACACGACAAACTTAATCAATTCAGTACTTATGATTCAGTCTTCAGATTTCAGACTTCAGACCCAAATTAAGTTTTATCAAACGGGCCCTTAATAATAAAATAATCTGAAAAAACCAAAAATAAAAAACAACAAACCGAAAACAAAACACATGGGCCGCTATGATTATGGGTACAAAAACAAGCTACAATCATGGCCCAGTTTTTATGTCCATAAGATTTTATTTTCCTTTTTTAAAAAGAAAACACCCTAAAAAATTGAAATAAAATACTCCAAAATCAATAGTCCTGTTTGAATTTTCGCATTAGCATAATTTGTATTAAAAATTAAAAAAAGAATCCGACGCAAATAATTATTTTGAGACGTAATCAAATGATCATAAAATTAAATTGTTTGGCAGCATAGTAATAAAAGATCCACGCCCCTGGTCGAGACCTTCAGGCCAACGGCCAACCACTACAGAGAGTAAGATGGGGACTGGGAGCTTGGGCTGTGGATTTCCATTCACTAGGATGTCCCTTTCTGCTATTTGGCATATGTCACAGGTTCGTGCATGGTGGTGTACCTTAACAATGGACCATTCCGCACTTATGTCCCGATTATGACTTTTCCAAGGCATCTAATAAATAATTGGGAAGAAGACATTGATGATGAATAACCCACATTTGTTTGCTTACGGCATTTCTCTTCTACCACTATCGCAATTCTGAAAGGCAGAATTACTACTTGCTTATGAATAACCATGGCTTTAAAATAGCTTGCGAGGTAAAGTTATGAAACAAAGTTGTGCGCATATTCTTGACCCCACTGCTTATCTAACCAGACCCGTAGATACGAACTTAGTGTGATGTGATACGGTATAAACTATAAAGAACAGTAGTCAAATTTACAATCGAATTTCAGAACTCATTGATATACATTGTTGAGTTACAGAATCAAGCTGGCTGCAACCAGACTAAGAACTACTACTTACAGTAACATATATCTACAATTTGCATGACAAAACTGATTCTACACAAAATGAAATGGAGCTAAACAGCACCTCTATTCCAAACTAATCAAATTGTCTATTCAGACTTGGGAATACCATCATCACAAGAAGACCCGGACGAGCAATCTGGGTTCTCCATTTCCTCAAACAAGCGATCTCCACCCATCCGTCTTTCCAGGATGAATCCATCAGATGTTGAAACCAAACTCATGGCTGACATGCTGTTGGCAATTGCATCCACATCCCTTGTTCCACTGTAGAGTCCTCTGCTTCCAACTGCAAGAATGTTTTGCATGTCATTACCGTTGGACAATACGGAAGGTAATACCCCCAGTAAGGGACCATTCGGCTGATTCGAGCTGTTGATAAGCATCCGGAGAGTCTCCCTTGCACTCTTTTCAACCACTGAATCTGTTTCAGACATCAGAGGATTAGAAAGATTTGGAGGAAGCGCAGTTGACATAGCAGGGCCTGCACTGACTAGATAACCTTGCCCAGAAGAGCAAACATCAATCACAGGAATGTGGACAATCGGGTCACACATAAGAGGGGTAAAAGTGGGGATCTGCTGGGATGAAGGAATTGATAAGGGCAACATAACAAGTGGATCAGGAAGAAGTGGCGGAAAATCCAATGGAGGAAGGTCGTTCAAATTAAGAGGCATTTTGGATGTCAAAAGGCTAGGCGACTTTGATACTGACAACAAAGATGTTGGGAGTGACAGTGAATGAGATGATGAGGTTGAAAGGGGCGCAGCATTTCCAGGTGTGTATTGCAGGGTTGATCCCATAGGCGGACACCAACAGTAATACGGAGAAAAAAGGGATGGACTAGTAGGATTCCCAATATTAGACTTCTCTAAAGACTGAAGAAGACTGGACGATGAACTCAGATGGGTTCCATTCACTTCTGGGAATTTATCATCAGGAGAGTTTGAACCAGATGCATTTGTACCACTCGGTGATGGAACCATAAGACTGTCGATGCATGATAAGTAGCTATCTCCACGGCGTCGGAACCTTTCTCTGGATGCGCTTCTCAAGGAAGACATATTTCTTGCAACAGCTTCTTTGAAAGAACTAGGCCTGGGACTAAGACTACCCTGATAGAGCGGACTTGGTTTTGCTCCCTGGCCACCACTACCACTCTGCCTCAACCTAGAAGGCTTTGAACCTATGGATGATTGAAAATTGAGACCAAGTTCAGAAGATTCAATCGAGGTTTCTAGATGTGAGGTCAGAGCAAAAACAGATTTTGAATGGGCATTTGCCATTGTAGATCCAACAAGATAAGCTCGAAGATGAATCCCAAAACTTTCAAGGCGGAACTCGCTAATTCCAGTTAACTCAGCAATAGATGGTTTTCTTTTGAGTAAATCTTCCATCTACACGAGGAAAAGAAGATAGGTAAGTGACACTAAGACATCCTCACTAAAATAACTCTACTGAAAATAAAGAAAATCACCTTTCTGAGCAATTCAATCCCCAGAATCTTAGACTTTTCTGAGCACCAAAAGTAAACATCCCCATTATCAGGAATCTTCATCAGAAAAGATCGTCCTGACTTGTCAGCTAAGATCTCCTCGATCACAACAGCAGAACACTGAGCATCAGAGGTCAAGGTTGCAAGTCTTTCTGTAGAACCATCATCCCCGATAAAAGATATTCGCAGGTCAGAAGTCGGCAGAAGTGTCAGATTCAGATTTCCCCTGTTGCAAATACCAAACAGAAATAGACTGTTTCAGAAGCAGAAAACAATTCACCCACCAACAAACCAGGAGGAATTGAATAAGGATAGTGACACATTCATCAGTGACTTTAAAAATTTAGATGACCATGACTTTGCCTAGAGAAATTGCTTTATTTTTTTGTTTTTTCCTTTAGGTGGAAGGTCGAGGTGCAAAACCCTTTTTCCCAGACGAACTAAAAACTCAGCCACCAATAAAAATAAAATTCTAAAATTCCCTTGGGTGTATGAACCCCCCACCATACTATATAAGCCACAGTATTTTGCACAGAGCATAGAGAAAATCCAGATAGCCAGAAAAGAATGTATCTAAAAAGAAGGGAAAATGAAAACTCTTTGTTTCAGTAAGATCCTTAGCTCTCAATGACGGAAATGAAAAGAAACAGTACAAAAATATGAGGTAAAAGTTCCTCTAGACTGACAATCACAACTGCAATGGCAGGACTAAAGAAACACACGAAGATAGTAGGTAGGTCTACAAAAACACATAATACCAAACGAATCGTGTATGCACACAAGCTGTATCAAGAAAGCAAGTCTTAGAAGCTAAATTTATGACACAAGTAATACAGCTAATCCATCATGAAGGCAATACTAAAAACATCTGGATCCAAGTGCCCAAGTAAATGTATAATATAGGAGCATGAAGCTACCTTTACTTCTTCTTATTTCAGAGAGCATATTAGTACACGCCCACTTTCCCTACAAATAAGAAGACATTCATTTGGAAGGATGAACACTAACACCATAATAACAAAAGTATAAATTTCACCCCTGGTGAACAAGAAACAATAACAGGTAGCGAGTGAACATCACAGAGAAAGTAAGTTAAGCAGACGCTTAACATAAAAAATACTACCTCTGTCCCAAAAAAAAGGTCCACATTGAGTTTTCAGATTTGTACTGTTTTTAGTACAACTTTCAAAACTCAACGTGGACTATTCTTTTGGGGACATAGGGATAACTTTACATAAACAAGGATACAAATTAAATAAAGATTACATAAAAGGGGGTGCATAATTCAGTACTAGGATATGAGTAACAACAGATAAGCATGCCCCGAGTCTTAAACAAGCGGATTACACATCCACATAAGTGATGGTACAACAGGCAACCATTAGTATTAAAAAGTTTATATATCGTGCAGACCGACTGAAAAACAATCATTGAAATAGAAGGAAAAGCTCTACCATTTCAATTCACCAAAGATAATTTATTAAACTAATAAAAAAGCTCCACTATCTTGATTCAAGACCAATATAATAGAGAAGTATTTTCCATAACACCAACCTCCATGGTGTCTCCACATGTCAAAGGGCACCTCCTAGCTATGAACAGTCTCAAATCAAGATGGGTTGGAAAAAGATAGGATCCAGCATGTCATAGCGATCAAGAGATGTTAAGACGGTCTGCAATTCATGTACAAGACACTCAAAATATGACCCTAAACATTTTTACTGGGTCAGAATGTAACTCAAATTTTCCTAGTTCTATCAACCTTTTAAGTAAACTATAATGGAAAATAAACCAAAACAGTTCTACTCAAATTAAGACAAAGTAAGCTTCCCTTACAGCAACATATACAAAGAACTATTAATCTTGCAGCTAATGACAGCAAGGACCAAAGTACACAGATGCAAACTCAATTTTTTTTCCAGGAACGTCCAACAAAATGCCAGCCAACTAGCACAATCAAGAAGTACAGGTGAAAATAAATAACAGAAGGCAACAAAAAGCAAGAGAAATGTCAAATTTACAACACATGTCCTGCTACTAAACTAGGTAAAATATAAGGTCAAGTAACAATTACAGCAGCTTATATAAGAATTAATCAGAGAACAAAGAAAAAATTCATAAAGATAACGTGGCACAAGACATTTTTCAGATTTGATGAGGTAAAGATTTGGCAACACAAATAAAACAAATATTAATGGCTGCCCCATTTCCCTGGGGAAAAAAAGGAATAAATTATCCAAGAGGCTCCTCAACACCCCCCTTCTCCCCCCCTCCTCTCCACTTTGGCAAGAATCTAAAGAGGTGTCATAATAAAACAATCTTAGGATTCACCAACTCTGCAAATCCCCATAGATGAAATGACAATAACGGACTTGTGCCCACAGCAGAGTGCAATTCTTCCTAACATTCTTTAACAAATCCTCTCAATATCATTGATAAGGGTAATCAAATGGTATTTTCATTTGTTTTACTTCATCTTAAAACAAACTCAATCAGGAGTACCATTTACACAGATGTTTTTAGAAGAAAAGATTCATCTACATGACCAAAATGCAAACACGAGAAAATGAAGCAAACAAGCCCAAAACAAATCATTGGATATGTGGGAAAGAAATTACCTTGTAGCAGTAGGACAGAGAAGGCTTCCCAGCTTATTAATTCTTCCAACCCGAATAGAAACTAGGGGAACACACAGGCACCTGGCCAGCATACCCACCTCTGATGGATCAAAGTGCTGTTCACAAAGGAAATCAAGAAGATCCAGTATCAAAACAAGTTAAATTATCGAAGCGAATTCTACGAACAAGCACAACTTATAATAAAAAGAACATCCATAACAGAAGTCCAAGAAATATCATCACAAGACAGGGTCCATAGTTTTTTCCTCACACCAACAGAAAAATGCTAATTTCACTGATTGAAGATTGATTTGGTAAAAACTATCCACACATCAAAATTCCAAATGAAGAAGACGACTCTTGGAAAAAAAAAATTAAAAAATAAGGCAGCAAAATCAACTCAAGAACGGGGAAGAACAAATTAACGACCAGGAAAATTACGAACACGATTAGATCTCGAAGTACCTGGCTAAGATGAGATAGTAACCGATCCTCAGCAGCTCCGGTAAAGGCATTGATCTTGAGCAACGGCTTCAGTCTCTCATCCGCGCGACAAGCACCGATTACCTGCACATCCAGCGCACGTAGCCACAGCACTAGATTATCCAGTCGATCGCTCTGTTCCTGCAGCATATTCTCATGCTCCCGACGAGCCTCGAAATCCGACGAGCCGCCTCTGGAATTTGAAGAATTTTGGATGGATGAAGTCCTCAATACGTTAGACGAAGAGTGCGCCGCCGACGTTGAATCCTCCGGATAGTCGGCGCCGTTAGATTGTTCGATTCGGTCTTCCCCCTCATCGATCTTCCGATCATTTCCCGATTGATGATTCTCCGGATTAACCATTTTTTAAAAAATTTCGGAGTAATTTAGTGACGGAAATATTCCCAAATCTAAATGGAAAACAATGAGGAAAACCTAGATATTTTCCCCCAATTAATTTGATTAGACGTCCGCAATCCCTAATAAAGTCAAGTTTGGTGATAAAACCGAATGATTAATCAGAAGCGATAAAGAAAGGGGCGCAAGGTAACACCCAATCAAAATCCTCAGCAACAAAAATATAAAGCCAGAGATTGAACAAAATCCTTATATAGAGATGACGAAGACCAAACGGATTTAAGCAATTTAAATGGGGTGTGGTTTAAAGTAGGTTTCAAGTCCGAGGCTATAATATTTATGTTTTCAAAACCGGCCCGAAGAGTAAACCGCTAATATGATCGGGTTAGTCGAACAGTCGGGTTGACTAGTCAGTTCATTTTTCTAAAATTGGTAAAAATCAGATAAAATAATATTAAAAATTAATTTTTTAAAAAATATTTATGAAAATTCGTTTAACCAATACCGGTTTCTGGTTAAACAGCGGTTTTGTTCGAGTTTGAATGGATTTTTAAAGATCCAGTTCATTTTAGAAACTGGATCGGTAACGACTCCGATTCTCGAGCTATCCGGTTCGGCTCGAAAACATATTCGCTTCAGCAATCATGAAGCTATTTTACGTCAGCTGGACCGAGGGAGTACGGGCCCAAGACCGGGATGTATAGTGGGGTCCAGGTGAAAACCAATGGCTGCGTCCATCTTTTGCCACGTCAATGTAATCCCTTTCTTCTTTGGATTAGACAGTACCTTCCGGCTCCCCTTCTTTGGATTAAATGGTAGTTCATTTTGTTTCTCAAAAATAAAATTAAAAAGTTGCTTTCTGCCCAACTTCCATGTTTTTTCCCCCCCAAAAAAGTGACTAATCTGTATTTTCTTCGTGCTTAACGGCTTATCCGTCCGATTTTACTCGATAGCTTTTGGCCTGCGGTATCATTTAGAACAAGAATTCCAAGAAGACAACGGTGTAACTTGAAATTCAGATTTCAAGAAACGCGAAGGATTCCAGCAAATACATTCTCACTTTACCCCATGTATGAAAGAATTAACTGTTGAAAATTGACTTCCCATCTTAATCGTCTGCCCGGTGTACAAATATGCTAATAATAGACCGCACTTTCAATAGAGATGCCATTAAAAAAAAGTTTGATATGAAAATATAAAATGACTATGATCCACAAAAATTCATTAAAAGAATCAGGGAAAATTCCATGATACAATAGCTCTGTGGTCAATTCTCAAGTATTATCCAATATCCATAGTTCTGAGTCAAACCCCCTGAGCTTTTTACAAGCCCCGTTCCTTATATCCCCAGTAAAATTACAGAAAGCTCTTTCTGTTCCTTGTAAAAGATCGCATGTCCTACCTGGTGCTCAACAAGAATTATCATCTGAAGCACCAATCTTCACTTGTCCTTCTTACCCTCCCTAGCATAATCATTAAGCAATTTCTCCACATCTTTCCAAAACAGGCCTTCCACCAAAACTCCATCCTTGGTGAACCTGTAACAACAGCTTACACTCTGTAACCGAAAAATAAATTGCTTAGTAGCACTTTAAGAATCTATTGAAATGGTGAAAAGAGAGACCATTGGGTGACACTTTTGGTGAACTCCACAGTAGGCTTTGCAGATATGGATTTGGGATCGGCGCTGGCTATGGTAAGAGTGTACATATCGGAAAACCTTGGTAACTTTGAAGAAACCACTAGTCCAGTGCTGTAGAAAGAATCCTGCAAACAAAAGAGAAATCAAGATCATTACAACTCCCTGATACAATGGAGGAGATAATTGTCAAAAAAAAATCACCAGTGGAGGCAGTCACTTAAACTCAGGTCACAAAAAAGAAAACTCTCAAGCTACAAGATTAAAGGCAAACAACTAGTGGAGAAACTTTGATGCACTCAATCACTTGACATGAAAAATGTGAGCCACTTTAACCTTCTTCAGAACCAATCCTTCTCACTTAGAAGAAAATTTTCCAACCTGAGTGACCAAAATTATGGATCCATTTAAAATGCATCAACTTATAATATCTGCCCTCGAGAAGTTATGTACCACACTCACTGAACCTTCTTTCGTGCAAGAAGAAAGAGGCTCACATAAAGATTGTGTGGGTGATATACCTGATGATTACGAAAGACTTGCCCGTAAGGGCAGCAAGTCCCTGGCCTTTTATTACAACAGGTTCCATACAAGAAGATGAAAGTCGTCAATGACTCACCCACAATGCAAATTTAGGAAGATTCTAACAGTGACTTAGTAGAGGAAAGAAGACATTTTACATTCCAAATAATTCAAGACCATGAAAAGCCGAGTCAGTAGGTCTGTAGTAGCCTTGAGAATACATCTATTTCCAGGCATAAAACCTGAAAAGTCGTAAAGATTGCACACGCTTGGATTTTCAGAAACAGAAATAATTCCCCACACCAACAAAAATGAAAATTAAAGCGAAGGGGCACTGCAGAAAACACACACAGAAACTGTTATGATGAATTCACCACACACACATCGTGCGTAGCAATAACATAAATCGAAGCACAAGTTCACTTTAACTAACTAAAATACTGATGTGACTGACACAATAAATGGCTGGTGCAAAAGGTTCGGTAATTTAGATTCTCCAATATACAACTGAATAGTTAAACCAGACAGAATGGGACGGTGATTGTGGTGGATGGTACCCACAAGTAAGAACAGTCACCATCAAGAAGCGCCTTATCCACAACTATGACTCTCAAATGCATTATGTAGAAGAGGCAAACCTATACTCAGGGTCTGAGAACACTGAGAAATAGACTGATACACCACCAAAACAGAAACAGAATTACTCGGCATTAACTATATACATTCCCATTCAAAGAGCAGCTGACCAAAGAATAAAGAATAAATCATTTCCGGCAACACATGTTAACCAATACATTGAGGATAAACAGTGTAACAGTAGACTGAACAAGTGTATAATTATATAAAATATCAGAAGAAGTTTAAAAGCCTCAAAAGTACAAACTCAAGCGATGTAACAAAATAACCCAGAGGAAAGTTGTTTACTCATCAAAGTGCATTATTAGGCATGAACTTCATGGATCTGAAGAATTATAAAATAAGGACCAACAAAATTTCAATACAATCAAGCTGGTTACAGACACATTTATGATACAATGATGAAGAATTTCATAAACGTTTACACAGTAACCAAAAGGTAAGTATCCGTAAGACAACATTGAAAGATCACTACTTAATTTAACAGGTAGATTCCTTGTAAAAATATGATCAATTAAGTGATTTCTTTATATAGGAAATGATCTTAGAAATCTGAAATCAGAGACATTCTTTTAAGTATAGAGGGGCCTCCTCATGTTTTGTTTTGGTTTAACATATTTAATGAGTAGGATCTCCTCTTATCAGTTAGTGATTGATGCACAATGTCAAAGACTACGTAAACGGTGCCAAAAAGAACTGACCGTAAACATAAGAACGTACCGCAGGAGGATGGGTGAACAAAATTGCATTCTTCTCCTTTGTGTGCATTATCAGCTGCAGAATTACGTTGAACACAACATACTTGCCATAGTCAAAGATAACAGACAAGATTCCAGAAGAAGCGTACACAAAACATAATCAATTACCAAAGGACTTAACACCAGAAAGTACAACTATGGAATTTAGCAAAACCAGTTAATGTACCATACAACACATTATTGTTGATAAAATATTTATCCAAAACTACATACTTTCAGGGGAATTTCACATAAGCTGTTATTTTTATTTTTATTTTTTTTAAAAGCATGCTACTGACATCGGTTTCTTAGGACCTCAACTCAAAAGACCAATCCTAGAACACCATTCTAGGTTATGCATTAGCACAAGACAGACAGATGAGAGTTCAATAAAACGTTGTAAATCTACAAGACCAGTACTCTATTCATTTTAACTAAACATAACGTTGAAATCAACCATAGATTCAGAATAAATGAGTATTTCCGTTACTACCCTGTATGACCCGATACAATTTTCCCTATGTGTAAAGTTGCTTTGGAAAACGATAAATCAGAGTAGGCTTGAAGCATAAAAGAAGATCATTTCACATATCAATGGAGGTTTTTCAAATCCTAAGTCACCTTAATTCCATTCCAATTGGAAAAATAGGGGGAAAAACCATAATAAGTTACAAGCAATTTCAGAAAAGGATATAATACGATGCAGCCGATCAAAAAGTTGCGGTTTTCGGGGAATTTCTTGTTGTAGAACTGAGCAAATAGAGCAATTGTAATGATAATGCTTCCAATCAGCAACCGAATGTTACTCAACCTCACATCTTCGGGGAAACCTTTTCCAGTCACGATCTACATAGTACATACAGAAGATCGGGATGACAACATCAACATCATCATCATCTATTTCTTTTTGAAAAATAAAAAGAAAAGAAAAGAAACAAATACAAAATATATAATTAAGTATACCTCAGAAACAGACTCATCGAGGATATTCTTGATGGAATGGTGATCGAGAAGATTGACCTTCTTCGGTTTAGCTTTGTTTGTGGTGGCGGCCGCGGCGTCTCCTTTATTCTCCGGCATTTCTCCTTCGGTTGGCAAAGACTAGGGCTTTTGTCGGAAATAAGCAGCACTCGGCGCTCTATTTGTTTGTATGCTCTAATTCCACAGTTCCAGCAGTAGAAGCGCTTAAACGGAGTAAAGCCAGAAACTGGCACACTGTAAATTTCGTCATTCCACCAATTAAAAACTTACACGTAGCTCAGCCAGCGGGTCACTACGTTACAAGTGGATGGGTAATTCTAATTTTTATTTACCATATAATATCCCAGAAAATTTTAAACGACATCGTTTGCCCCTTTTCCTTATATAAAAACTGCTTCTGAATCGGGGGACCGGCGTTGACCAATTTTGAGTCGTTGGATTGGACTGAAACAACTGCTGAAGAAGATTAGAAGATGATGTTAAGACTCGCATGAGATATTTTTCACTGTTATTTGTGTTAAGGGAACAGTTCTGTTCTACACATTCCCTCATCCACAAAATATAACTCCCTTTCATTGAAACTTTTCTGTATTAAAATGGTTCATGCGTTATCGGTAAAATTAGTAAAGTGAATAAAATCAAACAAAAGCCTGTATTCATAACATTTTGGTTTTTTTTTTGTTTTTTTTTTTTTTTGGTTTTACACTCCTAAATCATAAGCAAGGAAACAATTTTCAGGATATTATTTGAATAAATCATTAAGGTCACTCAGGACCTCAGGTACGGCTTTAATATGGGCTTACATGGTGGCAACCTATATTACACATCCCGCATCACCTCCCTAACCCAGTCTTACATCCTCCGATTCACTAACAGTACGGACTACAGAGAGTACAGACTACAAATTAATAAATTTTTCTTGTTCGATGGATATTATTAGGTAGAAGGCAAAGCTTCTTTCTGCCTCTCCATAAACATCAAGGTCTAAGATTTAATCGCTTTAGCTCTATCCTTTTCCAATAACCATCTAGCTCCCCGAACAAGTTCCTCCTTGATCATGAATAAAACAGCAGCGGCAAGCACACTCTGCACAATTTTTGTGCCCATTCCCTTGTAAAAGCCATCAAACCCTTCATGTCGTATCATCTTCAGTATAGCATCAAATGTTCCTGGATATATATCATCACAGGCAATTAATCACTCAGGTCATCACAATGAGAAGTATACTTCCAGAGAAACTTGTACTCCCATATGCATTTCATAAGTTTCCCTCTTCCAAGCAGGGTGCAAGGTATGACAGTGTTATAAAAACAATCTTTTGTTCCAGTGTTATTTCTAAGCATTGCACACATAATGCCAAGCACTCTTCATGACGAGAGTATAAATAATCAGAATTGCTCTTGTAATTTCAAGAGACACATTTGGTACCTTTGTACTGATGTCTTTTGTCTCCACCACTGGCTTGCTTCACTTGAAGTCTAGACTGAAAATAGTAAAAAGATCTTCAAGGAGTTGAAAACAAATTTGCTGTCTAGTAGACTCCAGTGTGATATATATTGTCAAAGAAATTACATCTACGAAAGAGAGAGTGTTAAACAGATCTTTGCACATGTGTTTTTGTTTATAAAGCACAGTACTGAAGATTAAACTACGTGATTGAAAAGCACTATCCTCTGCAGTTCATAAAACAGTAGGCACTATGCTCTCCAAAAACTTCTTGGAACTTCGTGCTCATCCTTCACAACATGAAAATAAACAACCAAATAAAGATTACCTTCACAACCAGAAGAGGATAAGTTACAACAGTAGCTCCGAGTTTTGCCACAGCTCCAAGCAGGAAAATCTATCCAAAAATTAACACAAAATATGATTTAAAAAAAAAAAATTTATTTCAAGAATGAAGAATTTGAAGTCGAAATGTATTACAAGTAATCCCTCAGGGGATTCATAAGTTTAGCAAAGATACCTCCAGGGCAGACACGTCATCATTCCCCATGTTGCTCAATTTTCGTCGCCTTTTTAACTTCTTCAAAAGGGTTTCATAAAGCATGAATTGTATAGAAGGATTGCTAACCTGTTGGAAACAATGAGACGAATCACTAAACAAATTTTCGAATTTGAAGCAGTCAATCGTTCCATACCATGATTAATGTCGGAAAAACACCTCTCCAGAATCCCCAAACTCCAGCCTCATCATAAACTTCTTGAATCTGTCGTAGAGCATCAATGAGTAACATGTACACAGCAATATTGAGAGAAAATAGTTCCAAAAGTATGAGTAAGCATACAGCATGGCCAGTCCCAAATGGTGGTGGTTCAACTGCAGCAAGAATGGCATCTCCTGTTGTAGCAGGTTCAGTCTCACGATCAACATTTTTCTTTCTATAAGTCTGCAAATGCATAATCAACCTATGAATAACAAGAAAAAGAGAAGATCTTGGGTTTGGAAAATCAACATAGCAAAGGGAAGGCAAACAAAAGGGAAGACAAAAAATAAGAAGGCACAAGTTCTTCTGGACCATAAATAAACCATTAAAGAGAAGCATATTAACTGCACATGTTCTAGATTAACATAATGGCCCATGTTAATGTATCGATGACATTTCAAGATGTTAATCCAAAAAGAAAATATATTAGCTCTAGTTCCCCAATAATAATAAAAAATTTGTTCAAGGTGGAGGACAATGGTCTCACCTGCATTCTAGTCACCACTACCCAAATAGGATTGGTCAGAAGTACATTCACACACCTGTAAACGAACAGTATTAGCCACTGTAGAGTGCTCTCTTCAATCAATGTCCGCATGGAGAGTACAAAAAGTTAAATGATTGTGTTTATCTCAGATATTTATACGTAAAATTGATTGAAGCAAAATTTTAAAGCAGACATTGAGATAAATAAAAAACTGGCCTGAGGAGCGTGCTAATAGCATAAAGGAAGAGAACTATAAACTAGCAATGATGTTACACCATATTTGGTTTCACCGTCGCATCTATTTAGTTTCTACATTAGTTGAACATAGATACGCAAGCGCTCAACTAATCATGCGATGATTAAATCATCTAAGTGTTCTTAGCTCTGTACTCAATTGAAACTATTTGGGGGGTGGGGTGGTGTTAGTTACCCAGATAAAGCAGCCACCACAAGCGACGAGAACATCCCAACTGATCCATCACCTAGACCTTTCTTTTTCCTTGTAAGTGCAGCAGCTTCAGCTTTGTTCCTAAATATTTGATAGAAATAATAGTAAACACCCTGTACAATAGAGATTGCAATCACAATGAATCAGAAGTCTAATTACAAAGGTTGTACAGTGTATTTACTTATAAAACAATAAGCAGATGAGTAGGTTTCATGCATCGTACAAATGAATCTACAGCAATCATTTCATACAGAAATTCGGTTAAAACATGAAGCATCATCAAGGAACTCAATTCATATAGAAATGAGTGGTACAAGAATATTGAATGTGGGCAAAGGTAGCTTGTAACAAGTACCAGTAATGAGCCATATAGTTTTATTAACAACTTCTCCACAATGGAGAAGAATAAAGATACAACATAAGTCTTGTTATTGACTAAAACATTAAAACTCAACTGGCTGCAATAACTATGTAGTGGAATTACAAATGAGGAAAAATGCTTATAATGTGAAAAAAATGTGCGATAAGGGCACAAAAGTACATGTTCGCGCTTTAATGAATATCCATCCAAAAAGTTAATAGAAGTTCTCGGTACAAGGAAGTATCTGTTTGCTGCTTTTCTGACCTCATGTTCAATTCAAATTTCTAACTCTTAAGTGCAAAAACACACAACTGAACACATGCCAGCCTCCTCCCTTCCAGCCACCACTACAAAAGTGAAAGAAACAATAATTGACAAAATACGTTATCTTTGCCGAGGTACGTAGCAGCTTCACTAATCACTATTAGTTTATGATGTTGGACTCTTATTCACTGCAGAGAAAGTAACCACTAAGATTTCTAGATCCAGTTACACAAGCTTAGTTATTTTAGATTCTTCAAATGTTGAAGTATGGGCATCTATTTTCACATGAGAACTAGACCTTTTTCCCATCGTACGGGAACAGCATACAGTTCTTATATCACCAAGTCAGAAATGGTCTCATTTTTCAATTCCCTTAAACCAAACTATCCTCCTCTCTCAGTTCCAGGGTAAAGGATCCAGGATGGCCGTCAGTTTGTAAGCAGGACAACTTTGTCACAGTGTGTGTGCAAAGCTAAATCCAAAAGTTTTAAACAGCATGATTATTCCGATAATCAAACAAGTATCAAGAAGAATCATGTGTATCCCTGCACCCAGGATGAGTATTATGCTTTAACATAATGTTGAAGATAATATGCAGGTATATCACGTTATCCTAGGGACAATGGCACATTTACCAATTGCCATGGGACCACAAAACATCAGAAAACTGATGGAGGACTATTATACACCTACATTCAGAAAAAGTAAAAAGACCACAAACCTAAGGGCCTAAAATGTGAAGCCTCCCAATCCAAGTTGCATCTAATTTTCGTATAAATTTCCAATACTCAATTTCAATATTTTAAGCTGAAACTTAAAATGAAATGAAACCAAAATCTGACCAAGGACCCCACAACAATATAGTACGGATCAAAAATCAAAAGCATCCCTCTAACTTTCAAACTGATGCAGTCATCAACAACTTGACAACGAAGAAATTTCCGAAACATGTTCCCAATTGCAGCAATTTCCTAGGGTGCAAAGGCAGTAAGAAAACAGTCTAAATGACGTGACCACTTGAAATTCAGTAGAACAAGCAAGCTGATTACGTGTAGCTTATCCTATTTTGTCATTTTCCTTGATTTTAATTCTTTCTAGGCTTCTAGCATTGTCAAACAACAAGGGTAAAACAGATGCCAAAATGGGAAGGGGTGTTCTTGTAAATTAGCAAACGAGGAGACGGCGTAAGTTAGCAGCACGGAAATTAAAAATAAAATAAACGAAATGGGCTCACCTGAGATGCAGCGGTGCCGACTAGCGACGGAGTCAAACCCCCATACAGCCGATCCCAACCCTCGTGCCTTACCACCTACAGATTAAACAGCAAAAAAGGGGGAAATCAATGAGTATAATCGAAACAGGAAGAAAAAAAAAATCCTCAAAGCAACCAAAATAGCAACAGAAGAAAAGCCAAAAAAACCTGAATCATTTGTTCTATGGTTCCATGCTTCGCCTTCTTCTTATTCGGATCCCTCTCCGTTTGCTGCCGTGTATTTACCTAAGATCACAAAAATATGCATCAAGAACTAAATAAATTACAGCAACGGTCAACCAACTGCACTAAGCAGCATTCACACCATTCTGGGTAGATAAAATAAAACACACAATGAAAGAGGAATAAAATTACGGTTTGAAGAGGGTAGGTGATGAGTTGTGCGATGATACCGCCACCAGCGCCGGCGAGCCCATTAATCAAAGCGTCCGACATATTTTGATCTTTCACTTCTTTCTTCTCCAAATATTTTATTAAAAAAAAAAGGAAAAGAAAAATTCAGCTTCGGAGCAGACTCGGAATGACGAAAAAATAATCACTGGGGGGTTTTATACCCGTGGGATAAAATCACTAAGAAAAACAATATAAAAATCAAAGCATTGAGAAAGAAAAAAAGGGGATCGGAGAGGAATATGATCAGGATGAAGGAAATTAATGAAACGGGCAGGTGAGGTTTGGCTATCAGATCAAAACAGTGTAATTGGCATGACTTAAAAAAGGTTGGTGTTCCGTTCAAGGAAATTAAAAAATGACGTTGCATTCCAATTTCTTGGAAATGTTAGTACTATTTCACTACGGGTCATATTAGCTTCCTGTTTGGTTAAAAATTACTAAAATCTTGAAACATTGTATTTTGAAACCGGTTCGCCGGTCCAACCTGCACCCCAAAGTCCAAACCGGGCGCCAGTTTTAAGTTCTTTCTTTCTTTTTCAAAATGCCTAGATAATCACATTTTTAAGGTATGATACCCTTATTACATCATGTTCTAACTATGGTATAGCTCCTTATGGTAAACTTTGAAGCCATCATGGTAAAATCTTGAAACATTGTATTTTGAAACCGGTTCGCCGGTCCAACCTGCACCCCAAAGTCCAAACCGGGCGCCAATTTTAAGTTCTTTCTTTCTTTTTCAAAATGCCTAGATAATCACATTTTTAAGGTATGATACCCTTATTACATCATGTTCTAACTATGGTATAGCTCCTTATGGTAAACTTTGAAGCCATCATGTTCTAAGTTGTTTTTAACGGAATTGACAGTAAATTTTGGAAATTGATGAAATGAAAAACAAACTCAAAACTCAAAAAGGTTTTGGAAGTGAGACTATGCTTATGCTACTCAAAGGAAAAAGCAAGCAAAACCTCCGTTCAATAAGTAAGGGGTGCTTCGGCGAAAAAAATTTGCAAATATAGATGTGGATAAAAAAAAAAAAAAAATCTTATTTTAGGTAGACAAAACTAGTCGTCACAGATTTGCAAAACCCGAATCCACCCATTTTGTATTAGATTCGATTTGGTACCAATAGAAATAGTGCATTCTATAGTTGTTTTAGATGAAGATTCTAGTTTCGAGACAGCTAGTTTGTCCACACTACTCTAGGATATATATTTTTATTTAGGTCCTTCCATTAGAATTTTTTTCGATAAAAAAACTCTAATAAGTTGTCAACGGAGGGTTCAATTGGATCCATAGAAAGTAAAGGGAATTTCGCCAAAAATTGTCTAGCAGAATGAAGTTTGTAGATTAGAGATAAAAAGACTTGTTATAATGTTGTTACATGCTCTAAGTTTCATGTACTAAATTCTAAAACTTAATTATTTTCGGCTCTCCGCCAAATTTTTCAGAGCTGGTTGGTGTCCACCAAATCTAATGAAACATCTTCTTTAAGGGAAAAAAAATAAATAAATAAAAGAAAAAGAAAGATAAATGTTAAACCAAAAATAAGGTACTAACTTGGTGATGGGCATATTTGAATATCATTGATGCCTTTTTGTTTATTTATTTTTTTGAATAAATAAGAAATCAAAAAGCTTAGAAGATACAATGAACTGACCCAAAGAGGGTGTTGGAAGTATATCTCTACACACTAAATCTATAACCCCTTGAGGAGGTCGGCTAAAATAGACATACCCAAAAGGTATATGTATCCTAATTTAACGATAGCATACGTTGTTTGATTTGCATACCTTAGAAGAATAAGATTAATAGGTACATCTCAAGTTTGGGGGACCAAACTTTTGATGCGGCTTAGGATAGATCTTGGCATATCGATGAAGCCATTGTTAATCAAAATATCTACAGTTTTCTAGCTAGTTAAGCAAACGGACTGTTTTTTAAAAATAAAAATAAAGTACCTGTAACTTTTATAAATTAGAGATACTTGAATTATCACATTGCATTCTATTATACGCTTAATTATGTAATTCATGAACATCTTGCCTAGTAAATTTAATCAATTTGCAGGATTGAAAAGAAACTATAAGTGTAATTAATAGAGTAATTATTTCTTTGGTTTCTGTGAGAATTAGTTCCTCCTTAAGATCTCGAGTTAACTCGAGATATTTCTAGATTCAATGTTTCTTGGAGGGTTGATAAACAAGTCACTGCTTCCGTTTGAAAAGAGGAGAGGGCACGCATACTAACTGATCTAATTTACATGATCATGCCATAGGGTGAGGCAATCCTCTAACCTTTTTTTTTTTTTTTTGCTGCAATAACTGGAACTAATAATATTCAATGTAGAAATAGAAATTGGCTGCAATTACTAATGTGCTTACAAGGTTTTCTTGCCATAGAAATGGACAAAACATAATGGAAAAAGGGGAAACCACTAAGTAACAGAAAATGCCAAACACTTTCTATATATATATATATATATATATATATATATTTTCATGAAATCAACTAGATAAACTAAGTAATCTCTATAAACCCCTAACTTTTTATAATTTTTTATCCCCGAAATTAACTACTACATATGCAGTAAGTAATATTTATAATCCCAACACCTCAGCATGAATGTTTGATTTTAACGGCTCTGTTGGATGACTCTCTGTTGACTTCTGTGTTGATGAAATCTAGATTGGGCGCAAGGCCGCTTCAGCAGAAATAAATTCAAATCCAGAGATCCTAACCTTCTGCTCAATAGCAATACCAGCTCCAGAAAGTTCGGTCTTGTCTCCTTCTAGAAAAAAATAAGAATTTGAATAACATAAAGAAAATAAAGAGAGAAATATCTAAAGGCTACATTTTGATTGATTGACTAAATACCATAATCATATGAGTAGCTCGTTATTTATAGGAGAGCTTTTTTATAACAACCTTACAAGATAAGACTAAACTATTTTAAGTAACTATTGGAAGCAATCAATCTCCGGGATTGCGAGATACTCTAGGAATTCTTGATAGCCAAACATATCTCATCATTGATGAGTGTGATCAGCCTTGTTTTGGGAATGACATGATCTCGATCTTGACAGATTCTGTTAACATCCCCCTCAAACTGAGTCGGGCTGGAGACTCAGTTTGCTTCGAGTGTGTTGACGGCTTCTCATCTTCATGCGGCGGTGAAAAACCTTCTTGTGGTCCATTGATTCTAGCCATGTTTTGGACAAAAAAAGGCTTGAATTTATTGTTAGATTTTGTATGATGAGTCAAAAACTCTTCTTTTATGAGAAGATAAGACTTTTGTCATAATGGAGATTTTGTGGATTGACTTAGAGGTGGCTTTCCTCGTTGTCTGAAATTTGTGGATCAACTAAAGTTGATTTATGGGAAAAAAAAAACACAAAGTCTAGGGTAGAAGACTTTGTTTTGTATTGATTGAATGATTTGTAGGTTTTGTGGACATTGTTGGGAGAATCAAACAAGAATTTGGGATTAGCAGTAGAAAAAAAAAAAGAGTGATTTGGGATGAATTTGGAATTGAAATATGACACAATTGTAAATATTTATGACTGAACTAATCATGATTTTATTTGTTAAAAGAAAAAAAAAATACGCGGAAGCATGGCACAGAAGCAGGATGAACCTGCTCTGATACCAAGAAGAAAATAAGAATTTGAATAACATAAAGAAAATAAAGAGAGAAATATCTAAAGGCTACATTGTGATTGATTGACTGGATACCATATTCATATGAGTAGCTCGTTATTCATAGGAGAGTTTTTTTACAACAACCTTACAAGATAAGGCTAAACTATTTTAAGTAACTATTAGAAGCAATCAATCCCCGGGATTGCGAGGTACTCTAGGAATTCTTGATAGCCAAACATATCTCATCATTGATGAGTGTGATCAGCCTTGTTTTGGGAATGACATGATCTCGATCTTGACAGATTCTGTTAACACTCCTCCCTTCAAAGGCCACTAAACTTTGAAGGACCAATCAAACAGCTTCACAAGCTTTGTGAGAATGTCAACATCCTCCACAGAGCGGACCTGAACAACAAGATGATTCCTCATAATACCCATCCGGGTCCTCAATGGGATAAATTACACGGCAATATCTTTGAGCAACTCGTTCGAATGATTCAGTTGCTCCTCACTGACAAAAGAACTAGCCGTCCGATCGACCTTCAAGTCCAGATACTTGGCATCCTCCAAATCAAATTCGCCATCACAGACCACTTCAACGACCCAACGCTTGATTCGGATAAGCACCTTCACCAAGTGGCCTTCAGCCCGACTCATAACCTTAACCTGGGGATACAGCAACAATTCGTCGAGCTACTTTTCCATAGCGAGCAAATTTTGCTTGATCCTCCCCAGCAAACGCAGGGACTGCTTCAGGCAGATGGCGGGCTTCTTAGAGATGTTAGCCATCTAAAACAATAAATCAGACGCAGTAAATCTTCCAACTTACTGCCTTCCTTATTTGCGGGTCAAATAAGCAATCAAAAACAACCAGTAAATCCATATTGTCCCTCATCTATTGAATAATTTCTTGTGTGGAGTGGATGATATAGGAATTCTAGATGATCTTGGTTTCTGATGATTTTGGTTTTGAAAAGTAACCTCATTTTGGATGGGTCTCTAAGGCTTTGTTTGTTTAGTTTTTTTGATGGTTTTTTTAGATTAATAAAATAATAATTGTCCCATCCCATCATACCTTTTTACATTTTCATTACACCTTTTTATATTCCCAATACAAAAAAACACCTAAAAACACATACTAAAAAAACGAAACAAACATAACTAATGGATCAGTGTTTTGACTTCGCCATCTATCCAGATTATAATTAGGAATAGATCAATATCAGCTTTTGTGAAACAGACGGAGCATAATCAATTCATTCCAATCTGCTATGATATATCATAAGCATAAAATATCAATTTAAATGCCTTTTAAACGCTATATATTGCAAGATGTAGTTAATAAACATTTTAATACACGATGGATGTGTGGGAAAGAAGATGTGCACACATAAATTATCTTATTTCCTCACCCATGTAACAGCACGCTTAATATTAAGGACTAATGATAGATGTAGTGAAAAATGATTGATGAAAAGATTAAAAAAAATAAAATAAAATTACACCACTCTCTAAAGAACTATCAATAAAATAGAGAGTGGTTATGTACTTATAACTTATATTAAGCACCGGATAGAGCATGTAAAAAAAAAAAACTCTGAAAATGAACATCTAGAAATTGAAATTAAATTACTACTTAAGTATGATATCATCAAATAATAATCGTAAAAATAATATAATATCATGGATCTGAATATTGACTTCGTCGAAGAAAAAAGTGAAATTTTAGAAACCATTAACTTTTTCGTCGAGTTAGATATCTCAACGAGAAAGTAGACGAGAGGTTTTAAAGTCAAATTTTCTCCTTTTTATCGTTTTGCGTTTTCAAACTATGGCCTCATGATTCGAGCATCAAATATCCCATTTTGTCGATTTTGTTGTAGGTTTATTTAAATCCTCGACAAAGTCGACTATGATTTTCTTTTTTCTCAAACACAATTTTCATTTAAATAGTTGACTCTCTCAAATATTATATTTTATCTTGTTCGTCATGTTTAATGGTAACTAATAAAAAGAACTTCTCGCACTTTTCACATGTCTCATTTACCTTCGTTATTATTTTGTACTTAAAAGCAAAAGAAAAAAAGAAATCAATAATAATTGTTGAAAGTTGAAACTCCCCTAAACAAAAACTCTATTTTTTAAAAAAAAAATATATACAAAATTTTAAAACTCAACGGAAATTATTTTATGGGTGGAGAGTAAAAAAAAAATTGTTTCGAAAACTTTTGTGGGCCTTTGAGGTAGGGGAGCGGTTTTGGGCTGAGGTTGGAATCATGTGGGCTAAGGAAAAATAGTCCAGTATCAAGGTCGATAGTCCACAAGAACACCGGGCTTGGGAAAGCATTTGACCGATAGATCAGAAAGAAATTTTTTTCACTGACGACCTCTATCCACTTCAATAATAAAAATCTCTAAAATTCGCCACCCCCCGGCAATCATACGCCCCAACGCCACCACCGCATTTTTTTTTCTTCACAATGGCCGGAACCGCCGTCCAGCGACCGTCTTCAAATTTCTACGATCTTGATATTACAATCGTCTCCGCAAAGAATCTCAAGAATGTTAATTGGCGTCAAGGTGATCTCAAACCCTACGCCATATTCTGGGTCGAACCTGAACGCCGGCAAGCCACCAAATCCGACGATTCCGGCTCCACTCGGCCAGTTTGGAACGAGCGATTCGTCCTCCCATTGACCAGTCCCCCACAAGAATCCCTGCTGACTCTGGAGATCTTCCACTCGAAGCCTTCGGAGGCACCTAAGCCCTTGGTTGGCACTCTCCGATTTCAGCTCAAGGATTTGGTTGATTCCGACGATCCCGCAAAACTCAGGACTTTCGAGCTCCGGCGTCCATCCGGTCGTCCTCAGGGTAAGATCCGTCTGAAGCTTTCTCTACGTGAACGCCCTGTACCAGATTACCAAATTGCCCCTACGCCGAGCTATTATTACTCCAGTGCCCCTCCTCCTCCACCTTCCCTCACGACGCGTGATTACAGAGGATATTCAATTCCTTCCTACACCTCCCACCCTCAGCCATCGCCAGCGCCGCCGCCTCCTCCGGCTGCTCCGTCGCCTCCCCCTCCACCTCCACCAACGCATCCGCATTCATATCAGTACAGTGAATATTCCAGTCCGTATTCCAGCTACTATTCGGGTTACTACTCTCAGCAGCAACCGATGCCACCGCCTCCGCCCAGGCCTTTTTTTGAGCGGCAATTGAACTATGCTGCTCCGGGCCCCAGTGCGCCTGTAGATTATGCCACGTATGACCACAACAAGCGTGGTGGTAAAATGGGGATTGGGACCGGTTTGGCGGTTGGGGCAGTGGCTGGAGCACTTGGAGGGTTGGCACTGGATGAAGGGTTGAAGTACGAGGAAGAAAAGATTTCAGAGAGAGTTGAGAATGATTTGGCCGCGAGGGATGATTACAGCGATTATCGAGCTGACTACTAATATGACAAATCATATAAGCGAAATTTGTTTTCTTCTATTGTTTGTTTTTTTTATGAACAGAAAAAAGAAAATTAAAAAGCTTGCCTTTGAGACAAGGTCAGGGGCTTATCTGGATTGTATGATGGGAGACTATATGTATATAGGGTGCTTTTGTGCTTTGTGTTCTGAAGGATGATTTTATATCGCTTACGGAGCTATGTTTATGATTGGATGAATAAAGATTTGTGCTTGCAGAGAATTCTACTTTGATTCTTCGGAGTTTGGTTATCAGCAATGGTTAAGGCTGTTGAAATGTTCCTTTTCTTTACTGTCCGTTTGTGGTTTTTGTGCTGAGCAAGGTTTTTTGCTGTGTATGAGTAGATTAAACATAGACATTGGTTTTTTGTCCTGCTCTCTCTCTTGTTTTCACGTGAAGTTATTTTGTATTCATAACAATTCCTTGGTTCAGATTACTGTCCATTTTGTCTATACATGTCTTTTCGTCGATTATATCTGTCAGAAGGATTTCTTGTGTTGTTGCTTCTGTGATCATATACTAGTTATGTGCTTCTCTTCTCAATTTGTTAGCATGGTATGTCATTTAATCCAGTTACAAATTCCCCCTCTTCAGAACCTCATTTGATCACACTCACACTTGATATACAGGCTAATGAAGGTACATAGTCCATATCTCTCACATTGGCTTAGCTATTTATTGATGTTGTCATACCTATGCAGTCTTCTCAGATTTTGTTTAGAAAGACAACATTGCTATCTTCTTCTTTAAGTTGTGAACGTATGTGGGCTTTTGAGCACCTGGATTAGTTACACTTAGTGTGGCTGTGTAATTGAGTCTGTTTGATACTAGAGTTGGGCCGTCAATGAAATAGTGACATAGCTCTTTCATGGAATATTGCCTTGGTTTTATTCCCGGAAAGAAAATGCTTTTGTTATCAGTACCACAACAGTGTTGCACGAGTTTCCTTCCACAAACTTTTTCCCATTTAGTTCAAATTTTGATCATCAATGCTGCAAAACTATAGGTATTTAAGTATTGCATCCGTTAATGGGTTATTGTAGTCACAATTATTAGTGTGGAATATGGGGTTCCATTCTGTAGACTTTTCAAGGTTCACTATACAAATAACTGAGCTTGTTTCTTGCCATTGGCATTGCTGATTAGTACTTCATTCTTCTGGATCTTTGCTGCATCTGTTCATTTTTTTCACCTTCCCCTGGGTTGAAATGTGTCCATTGTCCTTACGAAAGTTCTCAAGCCCCTCATAGATACTTCTTAATGCCATATATTCCACAGTTAAAAGAGGCCTCTCGCCATTCACTAAGCAGGATTATTAACATTCAAGTGGGAGCTTAGCCCAAGGTTTTAAAGGTGCATTTTGGTTTTGACGCTTACAACAAATGCATTGTGTGTGTGTGTGTGTGTGTGGTTCCCTATCAGTGTCATGAATGAAACTCTAGAGGAGTGCTCTGTTTCTAGTTCTACCTTGTGCTACACATTAGCGAGTTCGTCACTCGCCCTTTGGTTAAACAAAGGGATGCTCTATGCTTGTTTAATGGATAAAATATTAGCCACCTCATCTAGACAGAAGCATCATTATAAGATCAATAATGCTTGAACCATTATGGTCCCTTTTTTATGGTTTAATTACTAAATTAGGACAAAACCATCACTTTTCACCAAAGAGAAAAGGAGGAATATCAGACAGCATCTTTTTCTCTGTAATCAAGTTGCCAGTTTGGGACAGTTATCCTAGACCTTGTGGAAGTCATGAATTTATCTCTTGATTACTGCTATCCAGTGTCCACTAAAATTGTTGTCTGTTTACGCATTCTAATGTTAGTGCGCTAAGAATAATAAAATATATGTGAAGAGTTTATCATGTAAGAAAAAGTTATGAAAACAAATGATTCAACAGATCAGTAACAGTAGCCCAGATATTTGGGGTAAGCAAATCGTCCTCCTCCATTCTAGAATAATCTGTTTGTCCTTGACATATTTTTCCTTAGATGGAGGCTCTCAGGTGTGTTCGCCGGCCTTCTTCCGTTCCACGAAATGCATGATTGTTGGAACTTAAATATTTAAGTGTCTACTTTGCATAAAATCGATTCACAAAGTTTGCACGCGGATACTTTTTCCATTACAAAATAATTGTTCGGTTTATTTTCACTTTTATAGTATAAAAAATTGAATTAAAAAAAATTAAACTGAACAATAAATTTGGAACAAATAGATACTACTACCTATATTTTGTTTGGCATGAGTACTTTATCCGCGGATTGGAGAACTAAGGTGGAGTTCGATGTTCAAATGACGCAATATTCATAGGAGATTAACTTGCATTTTCCCCTGGGAAAGGACCGTGAGGAGTTCAACGGCGCAATCATATTCCAGCAAAGAGTGTCAAATTTAAGTTAACGTATGATGTTTCCTCATTTCCCTATGATTATCTAATCTAAATTTTCACTTTTAATAAATAAAATTTTTTTTTTAGAAAACTTTTAATAAATAAATTAGACAAACATTTCAGGATAAAGAGTAAGCAAATATTTGAATTGAATGTATCTAGTTGTTTCCTTACCTTCACTAAGAAATTATTTGCCAAAATAAACATGGGGGAAATCATCATCCTAGTGGCAGGTGTTCCTGACACAAAATACTTTAGATTATCATCGATCCTGAGTTAAGAGTAATTAGACACTTTTCGATAAAAAAGTTCAAGAGCTGATGAGATTGGAGTTGAATCTAATGTTGGATGCTGAACTTTTCTAATATCACTGTCAAAATGAAAAGAGTCACATGTTCTAAATTAAAGATACAGGGGAGGAATTAAAAAAATAAAAAAGAAAAATTAAGAGGCATTTTTGTAATACTCACAATTTAGATGAAAAAGACAGGTCCCCACTTTGTGGCATATCAATCTAGCTAAGATAATAAAAATCCCTCATCACCTTTGAGAGTGGAGAACCAAATGATGTTGTAAATTGTAATTGTTGTTCAATGCATTTGTAGCAGAAAAGTGGTTCGGACATCAAACCTTCTAACAGTATGCATAATCTCAAAAGTGGTAATAAAATACATATTCTGTTGGTGGCTTTATCGAATTATGTATCACAAATTCAATTATCAATCAGAATAGTGATACATGAAGGAAATTTTAACAGAAAATAATATAATTGAATATTAATTATCATTTAACCCTTAAGTCGATAAATTCGTACGAGTAAGGTTGAACTGTGAATGTTTATGATTCATTATTGTATATATTCTTCACAAATTTTTACTACAACAATCATTACTCGTTTTACAATTTAGAACCTAAGAGAGTACTCTCAAAGTATTTGACATAGATATACTGCAATCCCATAACATTTTGGGAGTTACTGTCCAGACATGATAGATGCATATCGTGAGGCAAGAATCTGTCTTGTCGATTAGAAAATGGAAATCTAATTCTACGTAGATGGGAAGCAGGCTTTCCCTCCTTCGTTGTACTTTGCATAGATTATGTTTCATCAAAGGAACCCAAAAAGAGGATAGTACTAAAGTATAAGATGATCATTATCTTCATGAATATGCTATATTTTTAACTATATACTATAATTATTCAAGTCCACCCATTGATGTAGCGCAACCTGTACATGTTAATGGAGGCACATCAACATCAGCTAAATAGTGTTGCACTTCGGGTAAATATATCTAATATCTATTTAGGGGCAGATAATAGGAGAATTCATTGAGACAAAAACACACGCACAAAAAGAAATATACGAAAATCATAATTAAGCAAGTGTGAAAGTCTAGCTAGTTACAAAGATAAATTAATTAGCAGGGTATAGATACGTCTAGGTCATCACTAATTGGGACTGTTATGTAAACAAATGTGAGCAAGAGTCACATATATATTTAAAAAAGAGAGAAGGATTTTTCTAGCATTTCTTCAACTCATAAATTACTAAAACTAGAATTAATTTACTTTTACAACTTATAATATACTCCCTTCGTCCCATAATTATTGTCCAGTTTAAGTTTTTATTTTAGTTCAAATTGTACTAAAAGTGAAATCTCAAACTGGACAATAATTATGGGACAGAAAGAGTATTTTTTTTTTTCTGTTCAAAAAAATAGTTAGAAGTGAAAAAAGGCCGGGATCTAAACAACCGCGCCTCGGCTATGTCCGGCCTTGTGGCTTTTGGGAATAAAGATTATGCCCCTTAACAAGTTGTGTTGTTTTGCTTGGTGTGGGACACTTGGGTGATGATGTCAAACTCGAAAGCATCACCACTACCCACAGGAAGCAAACTTGGGCAACTTTTCCCTTAAGGATATGCAGTACAACGATTCTCTCCCTTTTTTTTTTTTTTTTGGTTTTGGTTGGGATGGACGTTGAGGGCTTGAGGCAATAATTAAGTTGTGATAATTTTCTTTTTGACCGCAGAAATTATTGAAAAATCTGGGTACGTACAACGTATCAATGTATCATGCATATCTGTAAGAGCATTTTCCTTTTTTTCTTTTTCTCAGATGATCATCGATCCTATTGCTTACCCACAGTTATTCCTCGACTGGTGTTTTTTTACGGTGTCTTAAAAATCAGTCAATTACTCATTTCGCTCCTTATTTAGTTATTATAAAGTATTTCGATTTATTTTAAGTTTTATAAATTTTTTAAAAAAATTATAATAATTAGAAAAATGTAATAAACGAGAAAATACATTTGTAATGTTTTTTTTTCATCAGAAAAACATACTAGATGAACTTTATGAAAAATCGAAATAGTTTATTGAGTAATAAAGATCGTAGAAAGTATTGATTTATTTAAGTGACCTAATTAGTCGAAACGTAATAGAGCAGGCCAAACGTGACAAAAATTCATAAAAGTTACGATACATTAATGTTTGGTCGCTTTTAGTATGATGCAGGGGATTACCAAAGCTAATCAGACTCTACTTAGCACCGGTCCAAGTTAAAATGTTTAGGCACGAAATACTAATGCATAGTTAAGACAAAAACACACACACACACACACTCAAAACAGAGTGGGGTTATCCCTTTTTTAAAATAATTAGATGGAATGCTATTTTGTTTGTTTTGTGAAGTTGCAAAATTCTTTGTTGAGAAAAATAAAAACACATGTAACAGAAAACTGCAAAGCATGCATTAACCTGCAGAGTTTTCGTTGTCTAGGCATTTGTCGTTTTGGCCATTTTCCCTTTAATTTTATTAAAACCGGAAAACATACAATGCACCATCTACGTTCAGCTAACGTTGGCGCCGTACTAATACCGTTTATCTTTTTTTTTGTTGTGCCCACCTAATTTGCGTTTCTCTCCTTTCGAAATTGTGCACACCATGATGGTGATTGGTCGTGTTTCTTTTATTCTATCAGTGCAACCTTTTTTCTTTTTTTTTTTTGTGCAATGAAGGGTTTAATACGACCTAGAATCGATCATGGAATAGAGTTCTGCTTTGTCCTGGCATGG